CCCCCAGGACAGGAGAACCACGTAAGAATAAATGAAGAAAATCAAGGAGCAAAAGAAAAGTACAAGGACTCACCCCTCAAGGCGTCCGCAGTGATGGCGAGTAAACCCTGATGGCTTCTACTGTGATGATGTATCTGGTAGTGAAAATCCGACCTAGCCTGCTGTTTGATCCGCTCCTCGGTCTGTGGGTCGCAGCAGTTGCCGCCGCAGATTGCTAGAAAAGAAAAGAAAAATTATAAAAACAAAAGGTTATTGGTAGGGCCTAGTTTATTACAGAAGAAAATTATCGGCCACCGTGTAGAAAATGAAGTAAGAGAAAGATATGTACGTACGGATTACAGACACATGGTATCTGACATATGTATACCGCTGATACATAACCTCGAAGATCCTTGAACCTAATACATAAATACAAGGATACCACGGGACGAGCTGTGACATTCGTTAGATTTATTTGACTTGTACCTAATACAGGAATTACGTTACGGATCATTAGGTTAAGTCCTGCTTCTCTCCCTACGACTCGAACTCGCTGACACTAACTCTCGCTCTCTACGACGCACATCCCGGATGGAGGTGAAGGTCGCGTTAGGGTAACTCATAGGTGCTACACATATTACAACGTGACATGCTACAACAGCTTGATATTTTCTAGTCGGTGTTAAAGTCTAACGCCACGAGGAAACAACGAGAAAGAAACAATTACTCGAAACGATCTGTCATACCGGCCAACAGTCAGCCGCCATATTGTTTCGTAATACCCAGACACGACTAGAAGCAAAAAGAGTGAAAATAAATTCACAAATAATCCAAGTCAAATTTAGTACCAAATAATACCTATAGCCAATCTCGGCACGAGGGTAAGTACGCCAGTCCTCGTATTCTGGGAAGGCCAGTGTACAAGGTAAATAAATTATTATTTCGGTAACGGCAACGGCCTGTACAACTTTAAGACGCCTTGGTTAATATCATGGCGCTGCTTCCTCGGTGGGAGATATGTAAACACACCTTGTCGGCGGTACTTCCGATTCTCAAACGCCAATAAACCACGTCGTATTACAGGCTGCATCGTATGCAGAGGGAAAGAGAAAAATTGTCTTCGGGAGTGGCATATGGCCATACATGGCCAATGTAGAACGCATGCCAATATATGTATATACGAACAAGAGGAAGTCATAGCAGGATGTAGGCGCTACGATGAGAAAGGATATTGTAAATCATCGAGAAAGAAAGAAAAATATATTAACTATCTTGTAAGTATGTACCTTGTATCGTAGGCACCTTAACGTACCAGTACTAGTATCTACTATTCTCTTCACCATGCTGGTCTTATGCTATCTTACCAAGTTAACATGAGTGCGTATTAATCCACGCGTCACTTATCGGTTCCTATCGCGGCCCCGGTTTCTATACACGTGTATCGTGTCTCCCTAGGTACGTCAGTACGTGTTCCTCGCTCAGGAGGTACGTGCACGGAATAGCATAGAGAATATTCAACGTACGCCTAAGTCCAGCAGAGAAACTTATCCGTATCCCTATAACGGCCATTTTCAAAAGAAAACTTCGAGATACATACGCAATACACCCTTAGCAATTCATATTCACTTGATTACTGTGGAATCTGTCTAGTATCTATGCTAACGCCCGCGTGGAATAAGGTGACAGGCCTATCGAAATCGGAGTATAAAAGAGAAATATAACATAGTCAGTTTTATGGACGGTCGAATGGGAATTACTGTAGTTTAGGGTTAGATCTTTCTCTACGAGGCTTTTCAGGAAGGTCTTCTCCTGGTATAAAGCTATATAAGTCCTTTATCTCTTTGTTCTTTTAGCCTTCCTTTTTTTCCTGCTCATTTTCACCGTGTCAAAAGGACTTGAAACTTTATCCAATGAGACTTCGTCTCGTTGAGGATTCTTCGTCTTCTTCGCGTATTCTGATGCGAACTGCCGCAACACCTTTAAATCAGCGTACCGAGTTAACGCGTCATTCCAGAGATACGATCGTCTTGATTATTGAGATTTTTTTCGATCAGAACGGTAATATCAGTGCGATTGTATCACATCAGGTACGTATAAATACAGCATCGTAGTAGGTGTACTAGGTGATAATATTAGATTCGATTACCTGCTCTTAAGCGATACTATTCACCAGTGATTTTAAGGTACGGGTCTTTGACACGCGACGACCCTTTACTACATCGAGATTCCTGGTCAAGTTTAGGACACGCTTCTGCTCACTTACATTAAATAAGACTCTTGCTGATGGGATGGAGTAACTTGGGGAGACTAGTTCTCACAAGGTGGAATTCACGACACGTGTCCGAGGGGGAATGCTCCAAATTACCTCCTCCTGGTTCATTTATCTTTTTTTACTTTTTTACTTTCATTTATCTAAACACCGTGGATTATTATACCAGTCAACACAGTCCGTAGCGCCTATAATTACTGGGCTAATCGAGTAATACGTATCCTAACTCCAGGAATAATTTATCTTAGACATTTTTACTTCAAGATTAATAGTCTGCATCTGCCTTACAGTGACCTGGTCCTTACAATCATTCATGACCAAGTGCTGAGTACAGTACATGCTCCAAACCATGAGATGGAATGGACGAATAAGTAAGCAAAGTTCAATCTTACTTTTCTCAACATCCTCAGGGTTTTTGATGAACCCAAGGGCTATGTTCTTGCTAACGAAGAACGGCTTGACTGCCTCACAATTTTCATTGGAGTCGAGGGACCTCGTGCGAGCACCTTCAAGGCACAGGGCACATACTACAATCACAAACGCCGCGAGAGCCACAGGTGAACGACCGTCTATTATCATTTTGGCGAGCGAATCGTCGCGTTAGCCTCGCACTGGCACTATAATCCGTTCTCCGTATTCTCCTCAAGCACTTTACTCCCACTGCCGAGGCTGCACGAGGACTAACAGAGTCATGAACTGTAGTGGATACGGCTGCTGGGACCGCTGCTGTCAGTCGGCAGTGATATTTCGCTACGCGAGATACATTTGGCTGATTTGGGATGTGCCGCACAAACACACACACACACCCACGCACGCATGCACCTAGTGCACCTCGCCGATGGCTCGAAGCAACTGGCCAACTGGGATCTCGATACAGACACCGAGACTCGCTAGACCTTCGGGCTTTACTTCGGTCTCCCGCTTATTCAGCTATACTATCGCCATCTAGTGGGATAATCTTTAAAGCATACTGGTATTTGGTGACGTAGTACATGGTAGGATTCGCAGCCCTTGCAAGAAACCGGCTACATGGGAATCGCGTGATACTCCTAGAAGCGACACGTGTACCAGCTGCTATCATAAATCTATTAGCTGTCAAGCACTGTATGGAGTTCCCGTGGGATATCTGGATGATCATTGTTATGTGACCCTATTATATTGTTATACAAGTAGAAAAATTTTATTGACATTGCTCTTATACAAAGTGATTCCCTTTGTCTAAATTATACAACACTATTAGATGAAGGTGATTTGCGTCCTGGCCTGATTCACTTGCCAGACGTTCAGCTCCTCGTACTCTTCTATACACTGGTCGACCTGATCAGGTTTAAAACCTTTGCTAGTGCAACGTTCTAATATGGCAGAGACTTTGACAGTCTTATGATCCCCTGCGAGGTCTCTGATCAGTGCGAATATCTGGTCTGATGGTGTCTGTGTGCGAGTAATTTGTGCTTCTGAATGATTGATCGATGATTTCGACATTTCGATTAAACGGATAGCTTCGATCACGTCATCCTTCTCTGTCACGTTTGATAAACGCAGTCGTGCCAGGGCAGTAGACAGGCGTATCACTGCTAGGAGGTTCCTGGGCGAGGTGAAGGTCCTGTCAAAGCCATTACGAGCTTCTTTTCGCATGTCCACGTATGCAGCTGATGGATACGAATATACTTAGACTTTTTTTTTATATTCTAGATAAATACGTTTTGTAAAAAGCTCTCTACACTTACAGACTATCATATCTGTCAGATCTTCAGTAATCACAGGCTCCTTTTTTTTGCACAGTGATATGTACTTCCTCATAAGATTCATATCTAGCGCTTTAGTTTCTGTAGGCGGCTGTGCGCAATGCCGATGCACATAAGTTATGTGTTGCGCCAATCTGTAACAGTCGATATGTTCCACTTCCCGTTACGTTTTTCTTTCTTTATTTTATGACTGTGCCAGGACGATGAAGAAGTGTACTACTTGCCTGAGATCGTTATCCCGGTCGGCCCTGTCCTGAATCAGCCAGAGTAGATCAAAGCGGGAAAGTAAAGCAGCGGGAAGCTGGATATTCTGCTCGACGGATCTTTTTGGATTGTATCGGCCATAGGCGGGATTTGCAGCAGCTAAGATAGAGACTCTTGCATTCAGGGTTGTCATTATACCAGCCTTGGCTATGGAGATAGTCTGCTGTTCCATGACCTCGTGAATGGCGGTTCTGTCTGAATCTGCCATCTTGTCGAATTCGTCAATACAGCAGACACCTCGATCGGCTAGGACCAAAGCACCTCCTTCGAGAACCATTTCACCGGTTAATGGATCTTTCAGGACTGCTGCAGTTAAACCTACTCCCGAGGAACCACGTCCTGTGGTATACTGGGATCTTGGTGCTAATCTCGTTATGAATGAGAGTAACTGGGATTTTGCTACTCCAGGATCACCCATTAGGCAGATATTAATGTTTCCTATTTGAATAAAGGAATACATGTAGTGCATTTTTTTTTTATTATTCTTCGTGATACATACCCCTGATTTTTATGTCGGTCGTTTTTCGGTTTGTACCACCCACCAGGAGTAACAGTAAGGCCTTTTTCACATCTTCTAATCCATAGATTTCAGGAGCCAATGAACAAGCCAATTTCGTATAGAAGTCGTCCTCGGATAACTGCGCCATTTCCTCGTCAGTCAATTCACCAGACGCTTCATCCTCCGTTTGAGTGTTGTTCAGGCAGACGATTCTCTTTAGAAGGATGGATAAGTTTTTTTTATAAGGACAGGTATTCTATTTAATTGAAATTAGACTGATTAGATATTATTTTTACATGCGCGTCCAGGTATGTTTCACTTAGCAGACCGGCCATCATTTGTCTGAATCCTGATCTAGTCAAAGGTAGGAATATCCCAGTAACATTAACATGATCACCAGGAAGGCACTGACGAGTTACTTCACCACGGCAAAAAATGGTCAGGGATCTGGGAATATGACCGACAGGCACTTGATCGCTCTATAATAAAATTAAATGAATTGAGAAACTCGTCTAAAAAGAACAATCGTAATCCTAGAAACTTACGTGTTCTTGCAACTTAATTTCCTGGAACTTTACAAATTTTGAGCCTTTTGTTTGCATATATAATCGACCACCAGATTTATTCACGCGACAATCATCACCAGGACACATTTGTAGTGGCAGGAAGCTCATTGATTGGACCTGTAACGTAGTTGTAATTAGAATATGATTTTACAGTATAAAATTAAGGACAGTGATTCTTACTGGTTGATATGTCTCTGCACCACATTGATCACAACTGTATGTGGCTACTACCATCATGGGTTTAACTTCAGTACACCTAGTGACTATTCCACGGACGGTCACTAGTTTACCAATCTGTTCTGCTTTTATGTCGCGTACGGAGAGTGGCTTGGATGCATCAAAATTATGAAAATATACTTCGCTGGAAACGAAAACATGAAACTGTATATTTTGGAGCAATTATAAAAAACAAAATACTTACAAACGTCTCATTAACTCAGGAGCATATTTTCTTCTAGGATCCTGTTGATCTCCAGGATGTCTGTTACGCGATTCCATCATCAATCGATGCTCGATATAAATATCTAAAGCATCCTTAGCTGCTACAGGATGCTCTTTAAAATCAGGCAAGATCTCCTGGACCAACTGAAATTCCAAAAAGTATAAATATTGAATCTGGAATATCATTTCTACAAATATCAATACCTCAGCAACAAGATTGATGTATCGTCTCGTGTTATGAGAAATTGCACGTGCTAAATCATCATCGAAATCCTCAACATCGTCCAGATCAATGTTGAAAGCTACTTGCTCTCTGTGCGCAATCTTGGTTAGTTGTGTTCTATACTTAAAAAACTTCTGACCAGTCTTATCATCCATCTTAACGTATTCATTAAAGAATGTCTTTAATTGTTCTAAAACAAAAAAATTATTTATGAATGTATGTTGAATATTATTTAATAAAATAAATATTATGCAAGATTTGTCTCAAAACCATACAGGATTTTCATTTATTAGTAGTAATTACCTTTATCCTTTGTATAATCTCTCATGCCTTTCCCAGTCATTGTTAATTTATATTATAACTAAATCTTTTGTAACAAGTATTAAAAATATTCTTGGTATTGTTTAATAAAAACAGTTGTTTAGTTTGTTCAGCGTGAAATTATTCCCGCGTAAATTTACTCTATTTTTGAGCACGAACCATATAATATTTAGATAACCTATGAAAGCAGGAGTATTACAGGCAGGATGCCTCCTTGAATCTGATTGGTTATGCAGCGAACTCTCACCCTTTATTTTGGCTTCAAACCCCTTGCCAAAAATAATAGTTTATGCACCATACCGGTATTTTTATATCTATGGCTTATTTTCCACTGTGCAGAGTTTAAACAGAGTTAACTAATCACGTATCGGAGTTGAATGGAATTGACCAATGAGGCTGCATCACTCTGATAAACTCTGCACGGTGGAAACTAAGCCTATGTGTGCATTTCCCTACTCATCTCTGGCACGTGTATCGAACGTACATAGAGAAATAGGTATAGATTATTGTGAAAAATATACATATTTATTAAAAATGGGTAAGGCAAAGAAACTTAAAGCATCCAAAGGTGAGACAAATGTACCCAAAATTGGTTTAGCTGATCAAATGGAAGATGATAAGTTGGCTAAGATGAAAAATCGAAAAAAAATTCGAGTTCGTAAGGATGAGGACGAACAGGTTGGTAATTTGAGGATATATAATTAATAAAAAAAATACCAAGAACATATTCTATCGAATAATGTGTATTATAAGTTCGTAGACCCAAGTCTGTCACAGAGGATTCTGTTTCAAGCGCGACGACAGCAACAAGAAATAGAAGAGGAAAATGGCTTTGGTGAATCGTCAAAGTCTGTTAAGAAACCTATTGCCAAACTAGGTCCTGACGACAGTGACGATGACCAACAATCTAGTGAAGATGAAATGTCTGGAGACAATTACTACGAGAATATTGAAATTGATGAAGAGGATGAACGTGCATTAGAAATGTTTATGAGCAGAGATAATGCACCAACAAGAACTCTGGCTGATATTATAATGGAGAAACTAACTGAAAAGAAAACAGAGATTCAAACACAATTCTCTGATGTTGGTTCTTTACAGATGCAGGATTTGGATCCTAGAGTAAAAAATATGTATGAAGGTGTAAGAGACGTTTTGGCAAAGTACCGTAGTGGTAAACTGCCAAAAGCATTCAAAATTATACCAAGTTTAAAAAATTGGGAGCAAATTTTGTATATAACAGATCCTCCCAAATGGTCTGCAGCAGCAATGTATCAAGCTACTCGAATATTTGCTTCAAATTTAAAGGAGAAAATGGCACAGAGATTTTATAATTTAGTTCTCTTGCCGCGAATAAGGGATGATTTAGCAGAGTACAAAAGGCTCAATTTCCATCTGTATCAAGCTGTTAGAAAAGCTCTGTTTAAACCTGGTGGTTTTATGAAAGGTTTTCTCTTGCCTCTTCTAGAATCTGGAACATGTACATTGAGAGAAGCAATAATAATTGGCTCGGTCGTAGCGAGAAATTCTATACCAATTTTACACTCATCAGCAGCAATATTAAAAATTGCTGAGATGGAATACACTGGAGCTAACAGTATCTTCCTACGTATATTCCTGGACAAAAAATACGCCTTACCCTATCGCGTGGTGGATGGTGTAGTTTTCCACTTCTTGAGATTTGAAAGGGATTCCAGAAAACTACCTGTGCTTTGGCATCAATCTCTCCTAACCTTCGTACAAAGATATAAAGGCGATATTAGCTCAGAACAAAAGGAAGCTCTTCTTAATTTACTGAGGAGACAATCTCATCACTCAATAACTCCAGAAATTCGAAGAGAGTTAGAACATGCCAAGTGTAGAGATGTAGAGGTGACAGCACCCCAACCAGAACCGATGACCACCTAGTAACTGATGCTTCTCCCAGTGGAACTATTTCTTATTGATAATGAACTGAATCACATTGAAGCAACATTTGTATATATACAACAAAAGGTGTAAGTTGTTAATTTCTAAATAAACCACAAAATCTTATTCTGTAAAAGATCTTTCTCCTTATGAAAACAATAGAAATCATTATAATCACTCACAAAATGCAATTTACTATATGCCTAAGTACTATTCTAAAAATTCTGGAATATTTCACAGTTATATTTATTAATATTACATACACAATACGCAACGCAATATCTCACTGTACGATAGAACTGATATAACGTACTTGACGCGCAACCATCCTATCAATTATCCGCACTCATACAACGCGAGAACAAAGGGATATAATTAAGTTTTTAAACAGAATTAAGAAAAGGACATGTTTGACCGCGAGCAATAATACAACAAATTAATGAAAAAAAATGGAATTAATGAGAATAAAAAGAAATAACAATGAACTTCGAACTTCACATTGTTCCACAGAAAATTGCTCATTTAAGAAATCCATATAAATGCAATATGTACAATACTAATGAATATTAATAAAAGTATAGAGAATTAAAAAAAATAAGAGTGTATACTATCAATGCGTAAATAGAATTCCCCAAATTGATTTAGTTGAGAAATTCAAGTATGCACGGCAGTTACATAGGTATCACTGATATATCTGACAAATATCAGAATTCAATACGTTCAGAATCTAAAATCTAATTATGTAAAAACATTCAACGAATTCAATTTGTACCATATATGTATATGCAATCAGGAATATCCAACTAAAATGTATTAGTGATAGTTGAAAGCTGTTGTATCATCCAAGTAAATCTAATAACAGTTTTCAAGTCTCATTAATACGTTAAACCTGAATAGACCTGCTTTACGCCAATCTGAAAATCAGTCTCCAAATTCAAGTAAATCCTTCAAATGTAAAGTGTACGACAAAGCCATAAGACATTCGCGAGTGCTTTGGATATTGCTTTTGTTGGACAGTCTTTTTAAAAAGAACTCGCACAGAATTAAGCGACGGGATATCATTTCTATACTTGTAATTCCAAATCTTTATCTTTCTAAAAACTTCCTGGACTATATCGTAACTTAATCTATGTACGATGCATGATCCTATATGTCTTATTGGGACATAGATTGGGATGGATCTAGATTTAAAAATTCCAATAACATGTGGATATACTCATATAGGTATATCCCATCGAAAAATTCTACGATCCCTCCTGGATCGAGTATTCGTTAATTCCAATCAATCCAAGAGGGCAGTTTTATTAATTGTTTGCTTAATTAAATTCACTTGGACGAGAGTACAGTATTGTGTCAGATCTTACGTCTTACGTTATTCGTACGCGACATTAGCTGCCTTTCCTAAAGGCTCAAACCAGTCCGGTCTATTCAGACTGTTTGATGGGACCAATTTTCAAAAGTCTATATAATTAACCGCTACCCGAAGAGGAGCACACGACTCCTGATAAAATACTTGAGCAACGCGAGTACAGTACTGAAAGTAAAATGGCGTGATGTTTGCGATGATCATTATTTGATATATCATTGCTTTTACAATGATAATGCACGACGAGTTCTCTTTTTTTTTTCCTTTTCTTTTCGGAAGACAGAATTTACTAAAGAACCTGGATATTCAGATTCTCTAGTAAATCTTGTAGGTATGCGAATGATTTTGGGATTACCTATCTAACGATGTGATTCATTTCTTTTTTTTTCATGCCTGTGACTTATGAGTTAACTCCCTTAAGATTCGCTTAGATCCTTAGACCCAGTTTTTCAATTGCCCAATTGCTGGTGCTCGTATTTATATTTTTAACAGAAAAACGGGGTCTTAGTGATTTATATCTAAAGAGTAACATCGATAGGAACGCAGAGATTCGTTAGAATAATCTTAGCCTGACATTGTCTGACTCATTTTTTCTTGAAAAAATTGGTAATACTCTTGGATCCTGCAGCTGCTTTTTGTCGGGCCAGTTCCTTCTTTGAGATCAATGGCGACTTCTGTGGCTGCAAGAACACAAAATTCTGAGCAAGGGGCACTCGTTCCTTCACCGAAAAGAATATAGCAATAGTTAACCTTCTCAGGTTTTGTTAAGTCCAGGGCTCCGTTCCTTGGTAAGGTGTCTGCTTCGAGCATTTCCTTCTTTGATCGTTTCTCCTCGTTGCCATCTTTTGGACCACTCAGTTTTCTCTTTTTGCTATCCGTGTCATCTGGGACATTTAAATACTGTGCCAACTTTTTGGATAAATCCTCTGCCAGATATTCTGATACTATGCCGTGTGCGTATTTTAAGTATTCTGTAGGACAATTTGGAGGTTTAGTTCAAAACTATGTTGTAATATTATTTTGTAATTGTTATTTTTTAAGTAATGCTTACCCATTTCTGTACTTGATTCATACTTGCTACTTTTAACGAATGTGGCGCTAACTGCACCCTGCGACACATGCACTCCTTTTTGCCTCAAAATTTCTGCAACCCTCTCCACTTTTTTCTGTAACCAATTGAGTGCTTTATCTTCGTTAAATTTAAACGCCTGGAGTTCCTCATCACCCTTGCGATCAGCAATTAAAGATAGTTTCAGATTTTGACATCGAGCAAGGCGACTTGTTTCTGGATAATCATCGTCTCTTAGACTTTGTTCAAGAGGTTGAACTTGTTGTGACTATAATAATAAAATATTGTGATCAATATATAATAAAAACATTATATCCTCACTAGTAAATGATCTCCTTCATCCATTACCTTTCTTAAATATGGTAAAACCAAAAATATAGGGTCAATAGGTGTCGACAAATGCATCTTTCCATCAGACTTGACATTGTCATCTATGAACCAGGACCTCTTGTTTTCGTCGAATGTCAGAACCTCCTGCACTGTAACGTCTCCTGGACTGAAAACGAACATTGCTGGCTGATTGGATGCTGGATGCCTGAGTTTCACAACATCGGGCAAATTCCCATCTGTAGTGTCCAGGCCATCTCCTGAGAAAAATGATATTGCTTAAGAAAAACGACTTCCTTATCAGTGCATTTCCACTTTAGATTATATTGATCTCATAGTAACCGTGGAAAACGGCGACAATAGCGATATGACCTGAAAAATTGATTGTGCTATTCTTCTTGTTCTATTTACCTTTCATAAGGAAGACCCAGGTGTTGGCGGCGGGATGTGTGTTCGACGTTTTTACACATTTCTTCGGTGATGCCTTGACCCGCGGCATATTCTTTAACACTTTTTCCACCAAGCTATTGACTTCAATTCACAAAAATGTACTTTTATCCCCTTCAAAATTATAGTAACGAAATTCACAAGTCAGCCATTTTTTGACAACTAGCCGGCAGCGGGCAAGACCAGACCCAGCTTGCCATCTACTGTATATAAACTCAGCTGAGACATCAAAGCCTTCCATACCACGCCGAGTACATGCTCCAAAGATTCATATTTTTTCGGATCTATATTAGTTAATGAGATAAATTTAAATTCACAGAGATTACTTTCAAACAGTATTATCGTTATAACACTTGACTTCGATTTGTGAATTTTGTACAATCTTTTCAATATTCCGAAAATACGATCAAATTCAGTGAACTATAACTTGTGTAAAGATGATATTACTCAGGAAGCTGTAGATCGTGAAAATCTATATTTTACGGTATTTTAAGAAAATAATAACATTACAGGTAAGTTTTACCGAACTATTTAGTGTACATAACAATGAAAAGAGTAATGATACTTTCAATTATCATTGAAATGTTATTATTGAGAATTGACAATGATGTTTTTTTGGCGGGACAGGTTCTTCGCAAGCTGTGTCGTGATAGACGGTTACAGAAATGCAAGCATTTTTAAAAACTGGGAAATTGGGTGCTGGGGAAACTAATAAATTACCGGGATCGTCATCTAAAGAGCAACGACAGTTGCCGCCTACACCATGGGTAGAAAAATAGTGCGTACTTCAAAATCTCTTTTGTAATATTGTAGTGAGACATTTTTTTAAACAAAATTCATTTTTACAGTCGTCCAAAAACTGTAGATGACGTCGTAGAGCAACCTGAGGTTGTTGAAGTTTTGAGACAATGTTTAAGTGGTATAGACTTTCCAAATTTGCTGTTTTATGGACCACCAGGTACTGGAAAGACTAGCACCATCCTTGCTGCAGCTAGACAAATCTTTGGAGATATGTACAAAGAAAGGATCTTGGAGTTAAATGCCTCGGATGAACGTGGAATTCAAGTTATTAGGGAGAAAGTCAAATCATTTGCACAGTTGACAGCTGGTAACACAAGACACGAGTATGTTAACTTACTTAAAAACTATTGTATTCTTATATTATGCATTGCCTGTGATGCTTTAGTAAAAGGTTTGAGATTTGCATAGGACCAACACCCTTAAAATCCATTGTTTTTGACATCCTTACTTGAACTCAAGAGTCTTAATAAAGTTTTTTAAGATGTCTTATTATCAAGTAGACACTAAATATGCTTTAGTCGCACATCAAGATATATTAAGCATTTATTCTTGAGCCACAGAGAAGCAAACATACCTATGTCTGATGAAAATTAAATTCAGTGGATTTTTGTGTTGATCGTGCTAATCAATGACGACAAAAACCTTCTCTGAGGCAATTGCACTAGATAGTACAAAGATCAATTACACACCATGTATCATGTTCTCATCAATTCAATTTTTTGTATCAGTGGCAAACCCTGTCCGCCTTTCAAGATTATTATCCTCGATGAAGCAGACAATATGACAAATGCAGCACAATCAGCATTAAGACGCACGATGGAAAAAGAATCTCACAGCACACGCTTTTGTCTGATTTGTAATTATGTATCTCGCATCATCGAACCGCTCACATCCAGATGTAGCAAGTTTCGATTTAAACCTCTCGGTCGGGAAAAGATCGTTGAACGCTTATCACTGATTTGCAAAGAGGAAAATTTGCAGGCTGAAAATGATGTCTTAGTAAAAGTATATGAAGCTTCATCTGGTGATTTAAGAAGAGCCATTAATTGCCTACAGGCTGTTGCGCGTCTTAAAGGAAAAGGAGCCGAAGTCACAGTAGATGATGTTCTTGAAGCTACAGAAGTATAATTCCCATTATAATTTCTTATAAATTAACAGTCAATTTTAAATGGAATATGTAGAAAAATTTTGCTGCAATCTCTTACAGATAGTACCGGATAAGTGGTTAGATGAACTATTAGAAGTTTGTGAGTCAAAGGACTATGGCCAGGCAGAAGCATTTGTAGAACGTTTCATGACTGAGTGTTACAGTACAACTCAGGTATAATAATGATTTACTAAAATTGAGTGCAATGTTCGAAACTATAATAATCCTATTTTTCTTTAGGTCATTGAACAACTAAATCAAAAGGTACTTTATTCGAGCACCTTGACGGATAACCAGAAAGCGTTAATCGGCGAGAAACTTGGTGTAAGCATTTATAGAAACTTTAATTCTTTAATTCCATTATCCATAATTGAATCTTATTATTTTCCCTTTAGGAATGCTCTTATAGATCCTTGGACGGTTGTAGCGACTACATACAATTAATAAATATTTGTTGCGCTATTATGCAAGCTTACAAATTGTCTTCATAAACATTACAACAAAAATACCAATACAATTTACAGATCAATTTCACTTACTCACCAATTACATATATATTTTTCAAATAAAATGTCATTCTCCGTTATGTTTTTATTCCCATTATCTCAAGAATATTAATGGAGACCATACTGAATTTTAAGCACTGATATTTTAAGTCATAAATTCTATCTTAAAAGGACATTTATTACACAATTTCCGCCGTAGTAACCTTTGCGGTAAAAATATACAATTGCGCGCAGCATGATACAAATAGATCTATCATGGCGAGCAGTTGACATTTTTAGATATCGACAAAATATTTGGTACATATAAGCAAATAAATGTGAAATTTCCTGTGGCCGTAGAACTCGGCAGAAGTCGATTCTCTGACGAATAAGAGTCAAAAGATGACAATGATACAATTTATGTTAACAATGTCTCGTGGTTATCAAGCTGCATTTCCCTTGTCGTATCAATATTTTTTTGAAACAATTTATAATTAATTCGACCATTGCTAATGGGCTATTATATAATTTAAGGCGAGAACATTTCTTATACATCATCACCACAATGATACAATCAATGGCATTTTACTAATTGAGCGTACATGGTAATTCATTAGAACAGCGGTGGCAGACTTCACGTATAATAATACTTAAGGATTAGAATAGTAAATATACAAGGGTGTAATGAAATAGACACTGCGACCGCGTCTTCGTGCGATCACAATGTTCAATTGAAAATTCTACACTATCATTAACTAATTATATGTTAGTTAAGTGTCTATATACTCTTATTTACGCATTGTAGGATACGAATCTTTATAAGTAGCTATATATATATATATATATATATATATATATATATATATATATATATATATATATATATATATATATATATATATATATATATATATATATATATATATATATATATATATATATACGCATATTTCCGGAACACATTTCTTCGACGTGGCGCCGTATATTGTTGATTAAATTCTTAATCATTCTGGAGAAATTCAATTAAATAATACTATTTTTCTAACTATAGAACGCCTGCGTAACAACGAAACTTATGTCATGCATTACACGCGTTCCTCGTGGTATTAGATAAGAATCCGCGACAAGATTCCCATTTTTATATTTCCAGTATTTCACTTGTTTTTTAAATCAACTTGTAAACTTCTCTCGTTTTGTACATGAACAGAAAAATAAGTTTCCACGGATAAATGCAAGAACCAATCCATGGATATCGAACACACTTAAATGCAACGCCACAACATTAAAACATGTTTTCTTGTTAACTGGTAACCATGGTCCTTTTTGTTCTTCTTTTTGAAAAACTCGTGACAGTCCAGAAGAATAACGGGAAGGAGACTTAATCTCAATAAGGAGGAGGTTGATGTTGATAAGGATGTTGAGGAGGTTGATTTAAGTGCCTTTGTAAATGAGCAACTAATTGAGGTGTTGGTTGTTGTCCGCCAGCGCCACCTTGTTGTTGCTGCTGTTGTTGTTGCTGTTGTTGTTGTTGCTGCTGTTGTTGCTGTTGCTGCTGCTGCTGCTGTTGCTGCATAGCTAGCATTTGTTGTCGTATGCGCTGTTGGTTTATCGCTTGCTGCCGTTCGAGAAGAAATTTTTATTAACATCATAAGTTACAAGCATGATTAATGGTAGGAATATTTTCTTAAAGGGTATAAAAGTTTACTTGTTGGAATTGCTGATTTTGTTGCTGTAAACCGACACTTGCTGCACTAACTCCAGCAACTCCTACAGCTCCAGGCTTTCCTCCTGCTTGTCTGTAAGGTGGTGCTGGTTGATTTTGAACTCCACCACCCATAGGACCCATGGCATTCATCGTAACATTTGGGGCCTGCACATTGATATTCAGGATGAAGAAATATACTTTTTTATATACAAAAAATTGCTAAAACGTTACCTGTAAGTATGGAGGTCTTGCTGCTCCAGGTTGCATTCTTTGCTGTTGCATGTATTCTTGTCCCCTCTGTGCTCCCATTATTTGTTGCTGATTCTGAAACATCATGTTCTGTTGCTGGTTCATCATTCCCTGCTGCTGCTGCTGCTGTTGTTGTAACATTTGCTGCTGTTGTTGTTGCGGTAACATCTGTTGCCCACCATATCCAGCATAGTTTTGATTCATGCCTGAAATAAAAGAAAGGGAATCTAATTATTACTGACTCAAAGCAAACGTAAATTACCAACAACTTACCTTGCTGCATTCCGGCGTATAATCCTTGCTGCTGTTGTTGTGGTGGGAACATACCTTGCTGAGGATTTATTCCAGGGCCACCATGCTGTGCTCTGAGCTGCTGCCTGATAAACTGTTGTCGCTGCATACCTTGGAACGTTCCAGGATTTGCACCAGGAGGTGCAGTAGGTTGTGGCTGGGAGCTTATGAACTGGTTTGCAGGTAATCGATGTCGTAACATATTGGATAATGCTTGTTTTGATTGGTTGTTCATGCCTGGTCTCTCATAACGAGGGCCGCCCACTGGTGCTGGTGGTAATTGTTGTCCATAGGCATATTGCTGTTGAGGAGTTGGTCCTTGCTGAGCCGGATACCATTGTTGTTGTGGTTGTGGTGGCTGGCCAGTGAACATTCCAGACTGTTGTGCAACTTGTGGTTGCTGATTATAGGGAATCTGTTGCATCTGCGATGGACCCTGTTGCTGTATCTGCTGTGGCAGCGGTGCGGTTGGTGTTGCTGGTCCTTTATTTCTACGGTGCCTCCTTGCTTTCATAGCTTTGCCTTTACCTCCTCTGCCTGGAGAATCTATACTCATAGGAGTATCAGCTTTTCCAGGTTCTGATTCCTTTTTATCAGGTTCGAGATCTTCTGGCGGCAGCGGAGGTGGGTCCAGGTAGTGGCTTGCTGGTCTAATTTGACTATGAGTATGATAACGCAGTAGCTTATGAGCTGCTTGATAAGTCAAAGGTTTGCGTTCTATTTTTACAGCACGGAACCATGCCCAGGATAACGGGGCCGGATTCTTGTGACCTTCTAGAAGTTCCCAAGCTGATACTCTTTGTGAATCACATACTTGGAGACCTTGCTTCTTGTCGATGCTGTCGAATCCAGCTATTTTATTACCCTTAGTATCTGTTAGACAACCTACAGGTTCGCACGTGATCACCTCCATGGTCAATTTAGGAAGTGGCAATAATTGTCTCACAAACAATATACTTTGAGAATTCCTATCTCCCAGTTCCTTTTTGAGTTTCTTCATCAAGTTTTGGTAATGCTTCTTGTTCTCGTCCTTCTCGGATTGCGAATCCGATACGAGGGTGGAATGTATTAGAGTGGCGAGCATATCTATAACTGTAGTAAATAATTCAGAGTTATTGTTTAGATCAATAACAAAATAGCTAACCAGCTGCACCAATAAGATTGCCCAGTCGGTTGTTACAGTCGTATTTCTTTGGATCGTATCAAAGACACCACCGACTAAACTGAATCTTAATTGTAAAGCGTCTTGGAGTACTTCCCGAGCTTTAGGATCTTCGGCTCCAATATTCTTCTCTTCTTTGCTGGTATTTAAAAATTGTGATAGTTGCGAGTGTAACGATGTTAATAGTCCTTCTCTCTGATCATCCTGTCCTTTTAGACACGTTAAAACCAGAGATAAAAATGGCTGGTGATTGAATAAGGACGGAGACTTCATCTTGCCTCTCTCTCGACTAGCCTTTGACCAGTTTCCTGACTCTAAGACTTGACCAGCTACCTTCAACACACGTCCCTGTACTGCACTAGGTAATTTAGATACAAGGGGTGCGACGAGCCAGATAGAACCAGATTTCTTATCTGGTTTTCCTGTTGAACTATTTAACTGAAAGACGTCAATAGCTGCTTTGGCGACGGTATCGAGCCATTGTGAGAGATCACTGGAGGCTGGTGGAAATTGCTTGTACATTAATTGCAAATCTAGCCAAGACATCCTGAGGCTCCACTGTTCCAAATTCTCAAGAATATTCGTGATGTGAGTTTTCTGATCCAAGAATGCATCCGGTGAAGTCTCAGGGTAGCAGATCATATGTAACAGTCTCTGAGCCTGTCGCGGCGTCAACATATCATCCAAGAGGGTGTCAGGATGACACAGTTCTTCTGGATTTTGCAGGCATCTTTCCAGTACCCATTCCTGACTACATATTTGTCTTAGGACATGTTGTGCAAAATCAGAGAGTCCTTTGACATTCTCTGTTGTCATTCCTGTACTGCTAGATGACATGGCTAGGTCTAGACCAAGGTCGTCACCACCACCCAGAATGTCACTAGTACCAAGGATGTGACTGATTGACAGTTCTCCACCACCGACACTACCAGGACCACCCTTACTGGAATGTGTCATCGGGACGTCGGGTTTCTTAGGTGGTTGTTTCCCCGCTGTAGCATCTCCAACGACTAAGATAGCCTTAAGTACAGCTAACACGGGACCGACCCTGATGTTATTATGTGCAGCAGCGAGAAGATGTCTATCGCAGCTTAATTTTATGCTGTATCCTCGCGGATTACCACTTGGTAAAGGATGAGGACTGGTGCTAACTGAGTACAGAGCAGGTTGAGGACACTCTACCGTTTTAAACAATCGAAGAAGAAGGTGACAGGTCAAACGAGCTCCGGCTTCAGCCTCCATATCGGCATCGCCACGCCCTTCGTTGCAGACCTTTACCAATGACGGCAATGCAATGTGCAGAACGAAATCTTCCAGAGAGAAGCAATGTCTCGCTAAAAACATAGTCATTACGTACAAGATTATACGGCACGTTTTATAACTTATATACTGCGTGAAATACTTTTCAGATCATCTTACCGATTAAAATCGACGTGAACACTGCTAGAGAATTGTGTATACTCAAATCCTGAACATCCACCTGATTTAGTACGTCTATGTAAAACGCAGAACTGTTCGATGAACAACATAGTGCCATTAGAACGCCTAACCACTCTGCGCTCAGTGCATTGCAGCAAGCAGTCAGTTCTGCACAGGTGATAGCAATGTCATTCAACTTATCGTTATCGGTTTCACTGCACACAGCTACTATTGCATTACACACAAAACTATAACGATTCGCAGGCGTTTCATTCAATTGTCTAGCCCATTGAGGTTCAATTCTACCTCCGCGTCTAGGACTGTTAAAAACATCCACCATAAATTGCGAATTGTACACGTGATTCGAGGGCGTTGGCTGAAGCGCACTGTACAGTGCAGTACGTATTTTTGGATAGGCATTGCTAAAGGCCTCTACTCCGTGAGGTTTAGTCTTCAGTAACGAACAACTGGAATATAAATCATAGAGATGCGCCAAGACGCAACGTTCAGCCGAACTACAGTCACTAGGATTCGATACGTGTTTAACGACCTTACACAGGAGATCGAACACGGCTGTAGTCTGTTCCGGTGATACTGAAATAAGTAAAATGAAAAATAAGTTACTGAATTATACAATTGTATCGCTAGGTATTTCTACTGAGGTTTTAAACGTACGCAATAGACAGCAGTGGTATCTTCTAAGAACACCGACGACGTAGAGACTCAAGCTAGTCGTGTAGCTTCTGACCAGCTGGCTGTTTCTCGTTGTCAATTGAGCCTCTACTTCCGGTAGTTCTTTTAATATTTGAATACACACGTCGATTAGTCCGTATATATTCAGTGCTAGTTCCATAAGATCAAAGAGGAAGGCTACGTGTTCCTGGACGGGTAAATAAGAAGATCCTGCCAAAGCAAAGGTGTTCAACATCTCCACGACCTGTGTGGCACATTGCCAAGTTACAACATGTTGATCGAAGTAGCTTAGATTTTGAAATTTCTGAGTGACGGCTTCGAAATTGAATTCACTACGTGAATGCTTCTTCACTTTACCACCCTCAGCTACATCAATGCTGAATTTCTTGCCAAAGAGCTTACACACTTCCTTAGACATTTTCTTGACCACATGCCTCGCCTCATCCCGAACACGACCTACTCCATAAAGTAAAACATGTCTCTGGTTACAGTCGTGTTGACTGCAGGTTTCATCCTGGAAGAATAACAGGATATAACTTTTACCATTTAAAAGGGTGTTAATGCGACTGAATACAGAAACAAACCTGTGGCAGTGGGAAGTGTGTTGTATAAAGTAAATGTCTACAAGGACTGGAAGTTTTAAAATCTAATCCTTCGTGAGCTCCATGACCACCAAGTGCGTCATCCTTGGGACTATCAGGAGCGTCCATACTATTCTGCTGATAATCTTTAATATGTTGTAACAATTTACCCAAATCATCATCGATTTTGCTATCATCACAATCCATTGTTCTACCATGGTCTGATACTTCTAATTTAGCTGGTTTTAAATCAATACCAGGAAACAGACTATCCTCGTCAATAGGTTCTCTGTTACTGGGTGTACCAGGTTTACTAGCTGCTGGTCCTGCATTATATAGAAGATAATAAGATATAAACACGTCAAGGAATTTCACTGCTTAATTCAGTGTATAGTATAATATTAGTACCTTGTATAAGATCACCCCTCGAGATCAACGTGCACATGTAAGCATCGTGCGAGAACACATCGTGTCTTATGAGTTCTGAGAACAAATGAACCAAGTTGGTAAATTGGGCTTTCGATTGGACCGACGTGTTATCCAATACCGGTGCGTCGACGTCCAGGAATTTCATGAGTAGAGGCTGAAAAATCGGCAACCCTGGTGGAGTTCCGTTACTGCAAACGCTATCCTTATCGTCGTTATCATTCGTTTCACCAGTTGCTTCGCTCTGCCGTTTCTCCAGTAACTTGGCAACAGCCATAGCCCTGTGCTCACCCCATCTTTCAGCACTGACAGCCCATTCGCAAAGAATCTCCACAATGGCTGCATCCTGTTGGGGATTGTATTCCACTTTGGAGTCCCTCTCGTTAGTAGTTTCTTTAGGAGTCGCGGTGAATATCTTTCCATAAAGCGTATCCAGGGAATTTGTAGCATCCATCCTGTCAAAACTGTGACGATCAAGAGCATCCAGGGCAGCTAGAACCTTTGTCGTTGTCATCCCGGCACTGCTCTGCTGCCACTTGTCACAAGACCATCGTCCTTCAGCAGCTAATGATCTTCTTCGTATATTCTCTTGTGCTAGCTTCAGTTGCTTCATAGTGGGATTTGCTGAACTTGCTGGTGGACACGGTAATGCTGCTGGTGGACAGAGTAAATGATCCAGAGGAGATCCATTGAGCACTGACGGTGCTTTGCCTTCTCCTACACTATTCCAAACCAGTGCTGTTGGACATTCTAAAGTGATCACCTATGAAGAGAGTATGAGCATTTATTTCAGTAGCTGACAGTGGTGCTGGACTTCTTAAATTATTTTTGTAGGATCTCCTGGATTATAAAAGATTATCCTACCTGGATTATTGTGGAGAGGCCATAAATTATGTCTCTGTGGTGTGGACAGCTTAAATAATCATTAAACGCTGCCATTAGTGGATTAATAACTATTGGTACAACACCATTATCCTTTGTACCATTCATTTCGCTTTTAACAAGTGGTACTATCGATGGGCTTTGAGGATTGCAATTAGTCTCAACGTTATTGCACATATGAGCTATCTTTCTACAGCATAGATATGCTAATCTTCTCGCTAATAATTCTGATTGTACGAATTCTTCTAAATATTGTAATGCCAATGGCAATAGAAGCTTCAGAATTCCATCCTCGGATGGACTAGAGCGCATCTTATCCAGTAAATCTAAGATCCACTGAAGGAGTTCTTGCCTGTCTAGTAAACCTTCCTCAAACATATATTTTGCCAACTGCACACAGTAATGCCATTGTTTTAGAGCTAACTTGTGTTCATCATTCATGGTGGATCCTGGAGTTGATACAGAATTTCCAGTTGGTGTTGGTGGTTGATTGTTAGCAGTTGTACTACCACCATTGGTAGTGCTTGGAGTATTCCCGTTACCATTACTACTTGTACTACTTGTTGGGTGATTATTAATATGATAATATTCTTGTAACTTTGAAAGCTGATCCTTTAAAAATTTAATAAGTGTTCCAGTCCATTCTGAAATAAAATAGAACAACTTAATCCACTATTAATAACAGAGTAAAGTATGTACATAAGATCTATGCATTTTTTACCAGTAGTCGGATCTGGAAGTTGTCTTTTCTTGATTTTAGCTTCGGAAACGGCCACAGTATACGCAGAGCTCAGCTTGATAAACCATGCTGCTCTAAGCATGGGAACTTGATATTCACAGAGCATCATAAAGATCTCTTCTTTTTTATTAAAATTTGGTGCCTTTTTCGCTAATGCCACCAATGGCTTACAACCAGATAAATCCTTGAACCATGCTTCTATCCCATTTTTTGTTCTTGCTGTAACTGGCCAAAAGTTATCCTTAGGATTGATCTGTTGTCTTTTCCTTCCAGTATCTGGCATAGTTGCAAACTCTTCTTTCTTAGCAAGTATCGCATTAAAGTATGCTCCAACTTTAGCAGCAGTAACAGTACAATGCCTTGCAGTTCCAAATTCATCCGACAATTGAGGCATAGTGGCAAAACCATGTTTGACATTGACAGACGTAAGTTCATCCTCTTTTTGTTTCGGTTCCTGAGGATAAACATCTGGCGGACCAAGTCTGGGCCTCTTCAAGGGCCGTTTCTCATACAGTATACCCATCATGGTACAAGTGTTAACTCAGAGAACACGATAAAACCATAAATGAGAATGCCTTCAATTCTTAAGAAAGTATTAGGATGTTAGGAAGAACAGCATAATTATGAGCTTTGTAATGGAAGACGATATACCGCAGTAGAAGTGATTCCAGATATTTCACAAATACTTAATCATCACGAAACAATAATGAAATTCTTACAGATAGTTTTATTTACAAGATTGTACTTCAAAAAATTCGTGTTAAGTATAACCTTTAAAAATTAAACGATAAATTTATTTAGCACTCTTCGCACGCTCGTAAGTCAACTCGCGTACCGTAACTTTTCTATGTAATAATTTATAATGTACATGATTTAAAACGGTCGAGCGAGTAAATTCTGGCTAAAACCTTTCCTGAACGTCAATCGTTCTTTCTAACAAAACTCTTCTCGACTCCATTTTAGCATGAATAACGAAGATTGGCTAAGCTTGTTTAGGAAGGGTGGATGCTATACGCGTATCTAATGACTAGCCAATCCCACGCACGAACGTTGGGTAGCCATTTTCATGAGTCTCATTTGAAACATTTGAAACTCGTACAGCGATGAAGAAAGTAGTGTAGTATCAGACCAAATTCATTGTATAATTGTATCTTTTGATATGACACATAATTTCAATTATTATCAAAACATTGCTAGTATTTTGCCATGAGGTTTCATTTGGTTAATACGGCAAAATATGTGAATAATGAGATCACAAAAATCATTACATAAATCATAAGTTTGTTCAATTATTAGATATACATATTTTCCTTCGTTCTACGGTATGACTTTCGTGAATATGTAGTAACCAGAAAATACGCCGATGAATTAAGTTTATTGGTAATATCGCTCGGTTAGTTTTCGTCTCGTTCAAATTTCAACCGTTCATAATTTCCTCGACATTGCTTCATTCCATTGGATCTCATTAGAACAAACCAATAGACGAAACCAGCCTAGGTCTCGTTGAATATTCATTGTTGCAGTTATGAAGAGCTGAAAATCGTTTGAATTATGAAAAAAGGCAATTATTACTTAATAATAATAATATATTATTTTAAATGAAATGTATTGACAGGATTTAGCAAGTAGGACACAGTCTCTGCTATGTAGCAAGGCATTTTTGAGGTTGTATTGTTGCTAATGCTCGATAAGTATATTGGCGTTCGCGTGACGCCAACGCAAATTTCTGATAGCAGGGGCAATTTCAAATTCCATTAATGAATGTTAACGGTGTCAGCATGGCGAGGCGCCAACCCTGATGTATATTTTGCTTTCTTATATTTGCCTGTGTAATTTTGTATAGTCGGCCGCTCTTTGAGGAATTGCTAACGTTGGCGTTGAAGAAACGCTGGCATGTACCAATATGGCGACAACAGTAACGAAAAAGGTGAACCTTAAAATAATGTTATAGACAATCAATCTGGATTGTTCATTTGCATTTTCCAATATCGACAATATCCCAGTATTGCATAGAATATTTTGTATGGTACGTCTACCACTGTAATAAGTAATAAAGAAATTATTTTGACAGGTTATATGCATACCTCGTTTGAATTTGAGAACAAAGATTTGTTTACAGTATCAAATATTGCAATTAAATGCTTATTCATGGATCTAAATGTGTTTTTCAATAATATATTTCTTACAGGAAGAAGATGGAAAAGACTTTGAAGTGCAGCAAACTGATGAACAGTATAGTAAGAACAATACTTCTAAACTTAAATAGGAATCTATACATAAAGAATATACGGAAGAAGTAATACAGTACTTATTCCAGATTTTGAATACGATACTGTAGATTATGAGGAACTATTAATTAGTGCTGTTAAAGCAAGACCACCATTATACAATTGGAAACTTCCATTGCGTGATCGGAGCAAATCAATCAAGAAAGTATTGTGGGAAGAAGTGTCTAATGAGGTGCACAGTATGTATTCCATGTATTTTACTTACATTTCCTCTATTATTCATAATAATCACTAGCAAGATCAATTATTTTTTGATTTTAGATATTTGGTCTGCAAAAATATGTGAAACAAAATTTAAAAGTATGAGAGATAGATATAGAAGAGAAAGAATGGACAGACAGTATCAGAACATAAATGGACCTGGGAATGTCAAGAGAAAACCATGGCATCATATGAGACTCCTTTCATTTCTTGACAATGCAATGAAGATGAAATCGTAAGAAATACAAAATTTCTATTATCTACTACAAATAACAGTAATAATCTTTCAGTGGACAAACTATACCTCGTGCCTTACCTGGACTAGATACTTCCAATACACAAGACGAACCTAGAGAAAGCAGAGTTTATATTTTACCAAGTACACCACAGTCGCCCTCTTCTTCATCCTCTTGTAAGAATCAACCCAAATCTAAATATAAAATTTGTCACATTAAACTTGTATGCACAAATAATTTATATTATTGCAGCGGGAATCAGAAAAAGAAGTTTGGAAAATCCGCAGGACGAATTCATTTCTGCTTCTATACGACCGGACGTGGTAGGACACCACGTTGATGATTTTTGCAAGGTTCTCGCATCGCGTATGCAACAATTAAGTCCGGAAGCACAATCAAGACTACAAATTAAATATCTCCAATTGCTTCACGAAGAAGAATTTAGTAAATAGTGAGAAACCTGTATTTTATACATGTACATAATGCCCAATCGGAAATATAACAAATATCGTTTGAAAGTTCACTTTTGATATGACATATACGTCATAGTATATAATATAGTAATTGCTGATCGCATTCATATTATGCATACGTATCTAAATCTGCATTAAATGCATTAGTTATGTGTGAATCTTTCCTTCCTTTGTTCCTTTCCTTTAAGGCTGTATTTCTCATGGGGGATATTTTCCAGCCACACTCGTTAAACGCGCGTTTTCAATTATACGTATCACAGCGGTATATATTATAAAAAGTTTAATAAGTGTCAAAATATTTTCTTACGTATGGTCTAGATAGATTCTGACGGTTGACAATATTCTAATCATATTTTTGAATTGAAAAAGGTTCACACTGTCTAATGTTTAAACTTTTAAAATTCAATCATTAAAGATAAGAAGGCATCAAATTGATCTAATAAATATCTTTAAACAGCTCGAATCAACGCACAAGTTAGTTTTATGAAATTTGAAATAACATTAAACAGTAGTTCGCGCATGCGTCTTTCATATAAAAGTGGATCACGGCGTTGTACGAGCCAAGAGTCTATTACCACACTCTGTGGCATCCAGTCTGTGAGAGTATGGCATCGCGTGGCGACGCACGGTGCTGTGTTTGACGAGTTCCTCATATCCGAGGCGTGGGATTTAGTTGTTGTTTGTTGTCATTAGTACCATACGTTGTGTACGTAATTCGCACTCGACGTACACGAAGTGATCGACATGCCGTAGCCCGTGAACACAAACTTGTATACCTGTCCTGTGCGTGAAATATGTGCGGGAAGGCATTTTCGCGCAGGTCCTAGGATGGCTTTAAGCGCCCTTCGAGGCATCCTGGCTGCTGCTTACCTTTTCGGCCTCGGCGTTGCTCTCTGCCATGGTGAGTCTATGCGTAATATTACTCCTTGCACGATAACGAGGAATGCATCCTGCTGGATATCACTGATCTTATTACCACTTTATCATTTTCTTTGACGCAGTAGGAGCTCGTTTTTAGGCGCGCGATTCGCACTTGTTATCATTGTAGGATTTATGAAGAGTGACGTTTCCGTGATTCTGAGAGGTTAGGTCGCGATACTATTACATCGCTACACTATTCCAATGAAATTTTGTCATTAAAATTTGAATTCAACATTTTTGTTGGATTTAAGATCTTTAGAAATCTTGACGATGTTAATAAATGTTTTACTCTTCCGGCCTTTTAAATAGATTTAGTACAGAGGCTTTGATACAGCAGAATGATTCTTTCTGTTTTTGTTTTATTACTGGTACAGTTATTGCAATTGTTGCTTTAACAATACCATTTCGGGAACCCGGCAAAAAAGCAGTCGGAACACTTAAAAAAGTAATATAATTATTTAAAAAAAAAAACTGAAATTCAAAGCTCTTGTAAAGTAAATGTTTTTATATTTCATTTTTTCATAAACTGTAAGCATTACGTAAAATAAAACTCATAAAAGAAATGCTTTTTTTACTCATTAAATGCTTTTTTTTGCCAAATTTCGAAAAAAGAATGCCCATCCTACATACATTTCGTTAATGTGCTAAAAAAGCATAGAGTGAGAGAAGAGACTTATGTCAAAAGTAATATTTGGTGTTTGGGTAAAGGTTTCTCGGTGCGCCCAGACTCCCGCTGCGACCATAACCGGTCGGTCTTGCAAGAAAACACGTCGACCATTTGTCAAATTTTTGCCCTTGTCCTACAGGCCCGGTCGTCTTCTTATTATCCCAGAGATATACGCACCATCATCCAGTATACTATGCTTCATGTTCAGCATACACAGTTTCACCCTGTTCATATTTAAATCGCATTGCTGTATAGTGCATATGTAGTTTATCCCGTGCATAGAAGACATCACGTGACATACCGTTAAATTAAAAATATGTATTATAGAAAGATAACGATACGCATCCTGAATTTATTCGTGCACCCAAGTCATTAATTGCACGTGCATGTTGATCGTAGGTAAATTTTAAAGCTATAAAAATGTTCAGAGTAAAGTATTACGCGTTTTGAGGTTAATGCGTCTCAGCCAGGGAGGTCAGTTTAATCCACGACCTCCTGCTTTCTCATTATCTCAATTGTTTCCACAGATAAGATAAAGGGAGCCTCTGCCAATTCGATTCTTTTTATTACCTCGTCGTGGAAACTCCGTTCTAATTTATTTAAACCAACTAGTCAACTTCCTATTTAGTCAGCACGGAACCCCATGACATATTTACATGGTCAAGTGTGGTAAACCAATAAAAAAAATGAGGCTCCGTAATTTTTGTACGATAACACCCGCAGCCCTAACGGTTGTAAGAGTCTTAATATTTGACTTCAAATTTTTCTGGCTCCTTACAATGTAGAAGTTGGAACGATCAACTGTGATAACTTCTCCAATGTGTAGATAGATAGCTGCAGCATCCTCGGGGTAAAGATACACTCGGAACGAGATGGACTTGTGGCCTTGCCAGGGGGAAAGCATAATACATAATTCTATGCTCTATGGGGCCCCAAGCTGGCCTGTCGGTACACGGGAACCCCAACCTCAGGAATGTAGACTCTAAGAGGAGACCCTACCTACCATCTTTTTCTTCTCTTAGCCATACTCATCTCACTCGTTCTCCCTTCCTTTCTTCAGCCAATGTATCTCCTCCTGACCTCCTACTCTCTTCTTGGCCTTTTAACAAGCTACAATATAAATAAGGTTTCCAGGTGCACGGCAATCAAAACCTGCAACTGGGGGCTTCGTTTTTTTTGTCCCTTCTTTTTCTTAGCCTTGCTTCCTTTGTATTTCCATCTTTCTCCTGCATCGCCACCTCCTTCTCATCTTTCATCTTAGATCCCCGGTTTCCTACGTTGGAAAACTTTGTCAGAGCTTCACTACACTGCGTAGGCGTTGACTGAATTTTTCTACACTCCATACTCTGGAATCGTTACCTGAGCTAAGAAGAAAATTGATACCGTTACCGATTGAAACTGGACTATTTTCCATCTGTCATGACAATCTAATAGGTTTCGGCGGCTTTTGCACAATTTTTTTCGGTTTGCAACCATAGCTAAATGGTGTAGTCGTTACAGTAAACGGACGTCGTTAAAAAAAATGAAGAGATGCAACAAAAACAGCGTTGCCAGGTTCCTTTGTGCTCCCCCCCTCGTCGTCATACTCACTAATTTTCTCGTGCTTTCATTTTCCTTTTCTTTTTTATATATTCTATATCTGTCTTTCTCTTTCTCTCTCTTGGCCTTTGCGTCTACCAGATGCATTTTAAACGCACAACACCCAGTCAGTTTTCTCTTACAACACGTGCTACCATCTGGTTACGTTTCACGAGAATTCGAGCGATTTGCTTCTGTTTCCTGCAAGAAAGAACAAATTAAAACTCTCCAAAGTAAAGTGTACAAGGGTCTGCTTAATTCGTTTTGGCATTTTCACGATTATTTAAAATAAAGCACCAACGTTAATTATATTAATTTATTCATATATATATATATATATATATATATATATATATATATTTCGCTATATAGTTATAAGACACGCCCGCGCGCGTGTTTGTACATATCTATATATATACGTCTTATTTGTACGTACAGTCGGGCCGTGACCTCACGCTCCACTTTAAGGGGCCATCTCTTTACGAAAGAAAACGTATGCAAGTCCCCTCAAAGTGGAACCGACATCGTGGCCCGACTATGCGTAAGGTAATCTATCAGCTATGTGAACTTGGCACCCGACTTTGGAAAATCAAATTTTTTTTTTATAGGCTTATAGATTTAAGTATGTAGTTGTTTGTAGTACCAATTTTTTCGTTTGTAGAAGACCCAAAAAAAAGTTATAGCATCATAAAAAAAGCCCATCCACCGACTTTGAAAAAAATAAAATCTAATCACTGATTCCTGCAGAGAATCGTTTGTAGTTGATTGTAGTGAAAGAATTTCCGTTTGTAGTAGCATAGAAAAAAGTTAGAATTTTTTTTTTCTTCAAGTTATTTGTAGTCGTATATAAGTAGTAGCTTCGTTTCGTTTGTAGTTGTTTGTAATGACATTCTTTTGTTTGTTGTCATTACAAACAACTACAAACGAAACGAAGCTACTACTTATATACGAAACGAAAAAATTGGTACTACAAACAACTACATACCGAAAACTATAAGTCTATAAAAAAAAAAATTTGATTTTCCAAAGTCGGGTGCCAAGTTCACATAGCTTAATCTATCGGTACGTCAAACCGGTACTCATGAAAGCCCGAAAATATACAAGTGCTTGTATTCCCTCCGATGGCTACTTGGTACATACGGCTCATCCTCTTCACTTCTGTTGCCGCCAAAAGAGAGACCGTTGGGTTATCAGAGGTGGAAAAAATAAAAAAAATAATTGACGGTAGAAAAAAAAAAGAAAAGCCCGGGGTTCCTGTTGGCCATCCTCTTTCAAGCTTCCTTCAATTTTCTGAAATTTGGTGTCTTATTCAAAAATGGCATTTTGTCGCGTGTTATTTTCATCAGTAACTCCTCTGCTATTCTCTAAGCATCAAAGAATTAAAGCTTTGGTGTATGTATAATTGTATATACACTTGTAAATATATATATTGTGACGCAATTTTTATACTTCAACTTATTCGCCAGTGCTATAAAACTGAGACTAAAGCGTAATCTAACCCCAAAGTCTACTCGCCGAGACGCAGCTATCCCGACGCGTTTTACGCCACAAATATAATGCTCTATTCCCCCGGGACGCGATACCGAAAGTCACCGACTGGGCGCCAGACGCACCGTTGCGTCACGTAACGAGACTACGAAAATTCCCGAAAAGAATAGAGTACGGCAACCGAACTAACTCAGATGAGGGAATGGCAGAGGGGCAGGGAACGCCAAGGTGTTGGTAAGGTAGCCAGGAAAGAAGAGTGAGAACCCGATATAGAAAACAATAACAACTGTCCTTTTATTCAGGACAAACTTAGTATGCAATAGTTAACAAGTATGAAATTCTGAAATACGCTAGTCTATGAGCCTGGAGTTCTTAGCCGGTATCGTGCTGGGTTGCCAGGAAAAGGGACGGAACTGCGTCCCGCCATTGAAACACGCGAGTTACTTTTCCAGAGTCTTGTGACGGTATAAAATAACGTCACAATATATATATATATATATGACGTAGAATCGATGGTACCCAACTTGTTATATATCTGCGACAGAGTGAATCGCTGAATCCTGAAATCAAAGAGAATGTGAGATATCTCACCGATTGCGCTTCATTAAAGAGGAGAACTTCCAAAGCTGGCTCTCTCGACACATTGACTCTTTTCATTGTACGTTTTCCAAAGTTTGCTCTCGAATCCTATGTACCTTCTATCTATTTCCAATAGACTGTACAGATAGACGTTACGCGGTTTTTGTAAGTCTTGCAAGGGGCAGAAAGCTTTCAGGAGAAATAAATGGAGTACATTTTGTTTGGGATTTTGTAGAATTTTGTGAATCCGTTTTTTTTTTGTTTCTATACGTATACACTCGTCTTCATATTTCGAAGAACTCGGTACGTCGTTGCTTTGAGATTTTACGTGGGAAATTACTGTTGCTGCAGTCGGTGGAAAATTGTATGAGACTCTAACTAGCCGGGAGCAACTTGCTTTGTCGTAAATTGGATTCCTTGGAGAATGGAGAATGGAACATAGGGAAAAACAAAGCAAAACAGGAATCTCCAATCGACTCGAGAGATTTTCTCTTGAAAATTCATTCGGCCGGGATACTGTAAAGGGTTCAAAGGCGGAAAGTTCTTTTGAGTCAGATAATGAAAAAAGGATAATTACGAGGGTGAAGCCGTGAAAAAAAAAATAAAAGTGCGCGTGGGGCGTAAAAGTTTTATTTCGTCAAAAATTTGCATTTCACGCGCGCAATACGACCTTTACGGGATCCTCACTAAATTATCCGCGATGCGAGCCAGGGAGGTGTGGACGAGGAGAAAAGAGAAATGAAAAAGTAAATTATTAAAAATAAAGGCTCGAAATTTTCTACGATCGTACGAGACTGGGCGTGGTACCAGCAAAGTCGTCTAACCTCACGTACGACGTATTAGAGAGTTTTAATTGCACCTGAGGCATAGCGTCATAAATGTTGGCTGGTATCGGCTAATTGCACGGGCAATGAGAACGAACACATGGAACGGTTGAATTGCTCGGTTAACGCGTCGCTCGAATAAATATAAGAGTGAATAAAATCGCGTCAGTTAGTATCACGGGCGTGCGCGCTAGTTGGTGGTAAAAATAAATCGAAAATGGCGCCATCGCTGCTGCCTATAAATACGGGCGAAATTAAAGTAACAGTCGGCATCTTAGTCGCTTAAGATTCGATGGGCTGAGCGCGACGTGAAATAAAGTTGCTGGAATGAAAAGTAAAAAAAAAAAGTTAAATAGAGCTCCATCTATAAAATTAGATCCTCACAGGTGGTGGAGTGGATGTAATAGAAAAAAAGAAAACTACGTAAAAAAAAATCCTGGTAAAAAGAAATCCACTCTGGTTATGTAGACCTTTTTCTTTTGCTCTACCAGGGTCGTAGTAGATTCGTATACAGAGAGATGAAACAAAGGCTGCTGAACGAGTTCTGGGACTTAGGTCCCAATGACGGCAAACCTTTCACCGCACACTACTGAAAGGTTAGAGGCGCGCTCCTTTGCGTTTTAAGGAAAAGCGTGCACTTTGGGTTTACAGCTTTTTTTATTTTTTAGGGACTTACATTTCTTTCTTCCTACTAAGCTACAATTTCATCTTGCAGTCACGGGAGCTGACTTTCGGACTTGCAATGTTTTTGTTCTCCTTTGTTGATCTGGTGTTGCAATATATGACGTCAGATTTGCAAGGTCTGATACCGAGCATCCTCACTGACACCAGTGCACCCAGTGGAAAACATAAGATTCTCTTCTTATATGTGCTTCGAAGAATAGTTTTCGTGGCTCCCCTGTATACGAGGGGGTCTTAACACGCTAACAAGGCGCAGGAAGGGCCCCGTGCTAACTGCCGAGCCTACCGCTCGATCCAAACGAGCCCACTTCGTCCCATTGGCGTCCCATCGAGTCCCGGTCACCGTTGTCGGACCCATCCCGCTATTCCTTGTAATGGCGTAGAGCCTGATTTACTTAAAGTCCCTAGCAGCGTATTACGATCCTTAAAAATTTGTCTGCTCGCCATTGTCGTAGAATTACACTTTCTTCATCGGGACTAAGGCCCTATTCTTTTTAGGTCCTTCTTTATCCTCATTGGTCCAGAATTAATCTGGCTCCAAGATATTGTTCCGTTAACCTTTCTCCGCCCGTACCTTCTTACGCACGTCAGAGGTAAAAAGTTTTTCTTCACCTCCGTAAAAGTCAATTAAAAGTACAATATAAATTTGCCTCCAATTATTTAAAGTACAATGATTTCATTCAGATCGAATGACGTTGTCAGTGATTTCTGGTGCAAAATAATTTTTCTTCCTCGTCTCTTGCTCTCACATCGGCTAATGTCCAGGAATTCAAAGAAAGTATCATCCCTCGTCCTTAGGATGAGTTCTCGGCATAACTTCCTCGCATACCGCGACACTTCGACCTCACTTCCTCCGAATAACAGGCTGATCTTTTCTTGTTCTTTCATTCCTTACGTTATAAGCTGTTATTATTCTTATTCTTTGTTTTCCTGTAATAATCATTTGTAAGAATTAGTCGTGACGACCACGATGCATGGGGAAATTTAAATGTGCAACCCACCACGCAGTCCTCTTCACGAATAGTACACTGAACATATGTGCACATCCGGCGTTGGGCGCGTTTATAACCGACGCCATTCAGTTAGGCTTGTGAGAATCCAACAGTCGAATCCAGCCCGGGCAAGCTCAATGAACTTTATTTTTTTCCTGTTGTATCTCTCCAGCATGCATCTTTGTGCAGTAGCCAGCCCTTCTCTCTACTATTACATACATACATGCATCTTGTATGCACTCACTCCCTTCCGTACACTTGGGTCCTATCTCTCCCTTGTACGTAGGTATATGTATGTCTCCTCTGTCGTGAGGAGAAGGCAGTCTAAATCTTCGCTGGATCCTTTCCAGAATTCAGGGAGACGCGAGACTTTCTGGAATTTTTAGAAAAAGGATTTAAAAAATATATACGCTAAAACTGCGAAGAAATCACATAATATGGTATTGGTACGATGTACTTGGAAAGACTGATAATACTCGTTAGATTTTTAAGAATGAGAATTGCATCACTGCCGACCTAAGATGCACTTTGAGATTGCAATGAGACACACTGCAGTATGTGTTCTCTTTGAATAGCCTATGACTGCAGTTACAATTAGTATGCATTGCTCTAGAATTCACGTGTCTGCTGATAACAACTGATATGCTTTCCTTAGATGGATTTTGCATTTTTTTAAAAATTCTTTTCATCTTAAAGTTCTTTGCGCTTCCCTACCCTGCCCGCCGTCATACTTCATTAATGGCGTCATTTCCCTATTCATGCATGTTTCAGTGAACTTCGACCCTCCTTCAATTTTGAACTGCACCTTGAAATTACATTGGCTCTTTTTCACAGACTTTTCGTAAAGGCTGCCTGCCGTATTGGGATAGTGCGTGATCGTGATCCGAATCCTTACTGTGAAACTTGCCTCTTCAATGGCTGTTACAATTGTCGATTGCATCTTGCTCTTGGATTTTAATTGAAAAAAAAATCCCCACCGTTCATCCTTCGTCGATTGAACCCCTGTGAAAAAAAAGGATGCATTAACGACAATCAAAGACTTAGTGAAATGAAAGTGCAAAATTTGAAAAATTGCGTAGGGTCAGTTTCAGGCAGGTTGCTAAGTAATTTTAAACAGACTCGCCTTTGTCGCTGCCCTTGAGATGCCAGTGGCAAAGAGAATAATAATGCGTTAAAGTGCATAATGAGGTGAAGAAACTCTTGCTTGTTGGGAGTTCAAAGTAAGAGCCCTCCTCATATTATCCTCTTTCGTGCCTGGTTCACGGCTCGGGTTTGCTCCTCCTCAGTCAGAACCACTTCGTTTAAAATGCCATCGTTTACGGGCTAGACGTGCGCCATCTTCTTTAATCTCATGAACTCATTGAGGATTTTCGCACGATTCGTGACGTATCTTACGATTTCAAGCCTCTTCTCATTTTATTTTCTCTAGCGCGAAAGGACGCGCATCCACGATCGTCGTCTCCATTACTCTTGAAGGCAGGATAATTTATTTAACTCCTTTGGCAGTCACGTTCCTTGCCTCGCATAACTTTGACCACTAATCGTTAATGATTATTCATCGTAGTCGCTAAATGGATGGCTGACGAGTATCATTGTCGTTTAATGAAAAACCTGCTCCTTTTCTAGCCTCGCCGACACTCCTCTTCGCCACGCACAAGGACATCCGAGTGGCTAATGTATCCCGGTCTAACAAGGTCAGCACGATCGTTAAAGACCTCTCCGAAGGTGCGTCCTTGGACTTCTACTATGAACGCGGACTGGTCTGCTGGTCCGACAGTTTCCAAGAGATGATCCAGTGCGTCCGCTCGAACGGTACATACACTGGCGAGCGGATGATAGTTGTCAACTCCAGCCTAATATCACCAGATGGCCTTGCATGCGACTGGTACACTGGAAAACTGTATTGGACCGACGGCGAGAAGAATCGGATAGAGGTCACTAGTATAGATGGACGTCATCGTAAGGTCCTATTTTGGACTGATATTTATCAGCCCAGGGCAATTGCTCTTGTACCTATGAGCAGCATCCTTTTCTGGACTGATTGGGGCGACGTGCCCAAGATCGAGAGAGCTGCCATGAATGGTGATTCTGATACCAGGGAGGTCATTGTATCTGATGACATTTTTTGGCCCAATGGTCTCACTGTAGATTATGATTCTGAATTGGTATACTGGGCCGATGGTAGACTTGAATTTATTGCTGTGATGGACTATTATGGAAAAAATAGAAGAAAAATTATTAGCGAGGGCTTGGACTATCCATTTGCTATCACGTACTTTGATCAGAAGCTCTACTGGACTGACTGGAAGACTTGGTGCATTCATTCTCATGACGTGAGATCCACTCAGGGCCATCCCAGGGAACTTTTTCATGGAGAGTATATACCTGGTGATATAGAGGTCTGGGATGCCAGAAGACAACCCTTTGGAGATAATCCTTGCCGGCATAATAATGGAAACTGTTCGCACTTGTGTCTGCTTAGTCCAAAACCTCCGGGGTATTCTTGTGCCTGTCCTACGGGAGTCAAATTGATTGACAATTTCACGTGTGCAAAAGGTCCCGAGGAACTGTTGCTCATTGTTCAAAGAACAGAGATATGTAGAATCAGTCTGGACTCACCGGACTATACCAAATTTGTCTTACCGCTTACTGGGATCAAGTATGCCATTGCCATAGACTTTGATCCTGTAGACGAGATGCTTTATTGGACGGACGAGGATGCCTTTGCAATTAGAAGAGCTTATTTAGACGGTTCTGGTCAAGAGGATGTTGTTACCACTGAAGTTGAGAATCCTGACGGCATCGCCGTTGACTGGATCGCCAGGAATCTCTACTGGACCGACACTGGTACAGACAGGATAGAAGTAGCCCGACTAAACGGTACTAGCCGTAAAGTCTTGATAAACGAGGACCTGGTGGAGCCCAGAGCCATTGCACTGGCTCCGGAGCTTGGTTGGATGTTCTGGACCGACTGGAATGAAAAGAAGCCTAAAATTGAGCGCAGCAATTTAGATGGAAGCGAAAGAACTCTTCTCATAACGAAGGACATCGTCTGGCCTAACGGAATTGCCTTAGATCTAGACAGGAAGAAAGTTTACTGGTGCGATGCCAAAACAGACAAAATTGAAGTCTGCAATATGGATGGATCTGACCGAAGGGAGGTTATCGCTGATAATCTACCTCATCTCTTTGGGTTCAGTCTTCTTGGAGATTTTTTATACTGGACCGACTGGCAGAGAAGAAGCATTGATCGCGCCCATAAACTGACAGGTGATCAGCGCGAGGTCATCGTCGATCAAATTCCAAATGTCATGGGTCTCAAGGCTGTTCATTTAGGTCAGATCAAAGGTGACAATCCTTGCGCTAGAAATAACGGAGGCTGCAGTCATCTTTGCCTCAATAGACCTGGAAACAATTATGTCTGTGCCTGTCAAATTGGATATGAGCTTACCAAGGATAAGAGGACCTGTGTCGTACCGGATGCTTTTCTTTTATTTGCTAGGAAGGAGAATATTGGCAGAATCAGCATTGAGAATGCTAACAATGATAATATCATTCCTGTGACTGGTGTCAAGGATGCCAGGTACTGTGATCTCCAGACTTTTCTACTTGCTGTGATAAATTCTAAAATGAAAATCTTATGATTATCAAATTCTGCATTATTTTTAGCGCTTTGGATTTCGACATGCGTGACAACCGAATTTATTGGACAGATGTCAAGGTCAAGGCCATCACCAGAGCTTTTATGAACGGCTCCGAAGTCGAAAGAGTTGTGGATTTAGGACTAGAAACTCCTGAAGGATTAGCCATCGATTGGGTAGCACATAATTTATACTGGAGCGATACAGGAACGCACAGAATTGAAATGGTTCGATTGGAAGGATGCAGTAGAAAAGTTCTGATCTGGCAGGATCTTATGGAGCCTAGATGTCTAGCTTTAGATCCTGAGAGAGGGTAAAAAATCGTTAAGCATTAAATAAGAATTGTTTTACAGTATAATTACTTAGAAGTCTCTTTCATTTATAGTCACATGTACTGGACTGAATTAGGAAATTCAGGCAGCATAGAACGTTCCGGTCTGGATGGTTCCCGTCGACAAGTAATTCTGTCGAATATCGGTCGAGCCAATGGCCTAACTATAGATCATGTTGCTCGAAAACTTTACTGGGCTGATCTTCTCTTACTAGCCATAGACAGCTTCGACCTGCAAACAAAGAAAAGGAAAGCCATCATTACCCACGACATAGTGTATCCCTTCAGCATTACGCAGTACCTAGATTACATTTATTGGACTGACTGGAATACTGGAGACATTGAAAGAGCTAATAAATCTACCGGATTAAATAGGACAAAAATTCATAGCAAACTTGAATCCGTCACAGATTTACTTGTATTTCATGCTTCAAGACAAGCTGGTTGGAATCCTTGTGCAGTTAATAATGGCGATTGTAGCCATCTTTGCATAGCACTACCTGGTGTAGGTGGAAAATCCTCAACTACTTACAAATGCGCTTGTCCTACTCACTATGATCTTGCTTATGACAATAGAACTTGTGTCGGTGAGTTAAAATCTATAATTTATATGACTGCGTTTAATATTGTTTTATAAGTGGTAGTAAAGTATCACAAGTATTATTATTTTTCAGCGCCTCGACACTTTATGATATACAGTCTTCGCAATGTGATGGGTCGTTTTCTACCTGATACGAATGACTGTCTTGATATAGTTCTGCGAGTTCAGGGATTAAAAAATGTCAGGACTATAGAATTTGATCCAATAACACAGCATATATTCTGGATAGATGGTAGAACATCATCGATACGAAAAGCACTGGAAAATCGTACACATTCTGGGGTAGTGGTCAGTGGAGGATCTGGTCATCCATACGACCTGGCACTTGATCCTCTGGGTCGTCTGTTATTCTGGTCTTGTGCTGCTAATAACGCGATAAACGTCACCAGGTTGGACAATGGTTCAGCTCTTGGTGTAGTGGTTAAGGGCGACGGAGAGAAACCAAGAAACATCGCAGTCCATCCTGAGAAACGGCTTTTATTCTGGACTGACGTTGGTGGGAAAACAAAAATTCTTCAAAGCAAAATGGACGGCAAGGAGAGAATAGTCATAGCTGCTGACCTTGATCAGTTCACTAGCCTAGCAGTAGACACTGTATCGAATTTAGTATTCTGGGCATACAGGAAACAAATTGAAGTGGCTGATCTTAAGGGGAATAATCGCAGAGTTCTTGTATCTACAAATCAAGGGGCAGTTGCGCACCTTGCTGTACTCTTTGACTATGTCTACTGGTTTGATAGGGATAGTCAAGAAGTGGAAAGAGTCAATAAAACTTCAGGATCAGGGAGAAGGACTATGATGAGTAAAGCTATTACTGATCTAGTGACTGTCAGGACACCGGATGATTTGATCATGGAAGAACATACTTGTAGTCCATTTCATGATTATGGTGGATGCTCGCACTTCTGTATTGGTACCACATCACCGCGTTGTTCCTGCCCTCAAAATCTTGTTTTATCTGATGATGAACGTACCTGCAGAGCTGCACCTGCTTGTGGCACTGACCATTTCACATGCACCGCGCCTAGTTCTGCTGTGGCCAAAGATTGTATCCCTGCTACCTGGAGATGTGATGGACAGACTGATTGTCCTGATGGTAGCGATGAGCTTGGTTGTCCAGCTTGCAATCAGGATCAGTTCAGGTGTCAGAGTGGACATTGTATAGGTGAGAAATCTTAAAAGTAATTCTCGTAATTAGTAAAGAAAAACATACAAATTAAATTACATTGAACCATATTTGTAATTTTATATTAAAGTACAACTGATCTCTTCTTCTTAGACATGTCCTGGGTATGCGATGGTACCGCTCAATGTCACGATGGCCTAGACGAGACTGCGCCAGCTTGTGCATCTGCGAACAATCACAGGCAGGATGCAGGACCTGCCCCGGATACTGGGAAGAGCACCTATGTCGTAGCTGTCCTGGTCGTTATGGGTGCTGTGATAGTCGTTGTCCTAGGATTTTATTACTGCCGACGAAGGCTAGCTGGAAACGAAGAACTTCCTGACATTCTTCACGACTCTGCTGGGGATCCACTCTCTCCAAAACCGGGTAGAGCTGCCAAGCCAATGCTCGCCCAGAAGAATACTAGGAAGGATCTAAAAGCCTGCACTGTAGCAGTCAGAATGTCTACCTTGAACGGAAGTAGTATTGGCTCCAGTTATGATCGCAGTCACATTACAGGTAATAAAAGAAATAAAAGAAGATACACATAATAATGATGATGAAAAACAATTATTTAAAAAATAAAAATTATTTTCAGGCGCATCAAGTTCAACAAGAGGTAGTTCTGCTGGAGGTTATCCCCAGGAAACCCTGAATCCTCCACCAAGTCCAGCAACAACAGCAAATTCAACAAGGTAAAGAATAACATCTGCTCAATTTACTATTTTATTAAATCCAATTGTCATACACGTTTTCTGTTTTCCAGGTGTTCTAGCAGTAATGCCTCTAGGTATCGACCTTATCGTCATTACCGCAGCATAAATCAGCCTCCGCCACCAACACCCTGCAGTACTGACGTCTGCGACGAGTCCGATGGGAATTATCCAACCGCCAGGTATCGCTACGAGAGCGAACCGTTTCCTCCACCTCCGACGCCAAGATCACTGTACCACAGTGATGCAGCCATAAGTTGTCCACCTTCACCTTCGTCAAGGTCGTCGACTTACTTTAGTCCATTGCCGCCGCCACCCTCTCCGGTGCCCTAAATTAAACCTGGCCTATCCGGCAACGAATGATGAAGCGGACTTCGTACAAGGAATATTCGGGTGACATTTTTCACTACTTACTAATGCATATCTCATCTTCGCAAGTCGTGCGGATACACATGAAATCGGATGACCATGTTTGGTGAAATCGGTGACCATTCGAACATTTCATTTAGTATAATATTTTATTCTTCCATGTACAAACTTCTTTATTACCGTTGTGCCTACAGAACTACGGTCTCGGCATTTATAATTAATCGACCGATCAAGGTTACTTCCGTTCCTTTCAATTAATTATACTGGATCAGGCTAATCTAATCGATTAACGATTAATTCACCGTCGCGTACCGTAGTCAATTGTATATAAGACTTTTTAAAGATGAACGAATAAGCGTGCGGGCTTATCAAATTTTTTACCACTGAACAGTTGACGTGTAATGTATAAGTAGGGAGAAAAAATTGGGACGGTGGAAGTTAAGAGGCCTGAGAAAGAACAGAGTAAAAAAAAAGTTAGTGGAATTAGAATCTGTAAAAATTGTACATGACACTTTTCTTTTATCAACTGTAAAATAAGTCGCGGTAGCCAACCAGCGATGACTTTAATCTATACTCTGTTAATTGTGATATAAAGTATATCATAATATTATATATATATTCGTTAATTATTATTATTATTAATTAATTAATTAATTAATTACCATTGAGCCGTGTCTATATTTTATGTTCCTCTATACTTGACGTAGCGATTGACCAAAGGCTGCACCATTTAACTTTTTTCATCTCATTGGAAATGCTTTTCGCTGTAAGATTTTAGATTTTTATTCCATTAATATCTTTTATAATGGAAACAAAAATAATAATACACCGCGCAGTTCTTTTACAATCCTATCCACAAGTTAGTCAGTGTACATCACATACCATTATTTCGTTCTTTTTTTAAATGTACAACGTATAGATGTACAAAAATGATTTAAAAAGGAAACAATGACAGACACGCTGTAAGGCGTCTTCTTTTAAATATTTTTCGTGCCATAAACAATTCTGAATTCGCTTGTAGACACGAGACAAAATATTGTAAGCTGAACTCACGTTGTGTCCATATGTCTTTATTCAGTTTCTTTTTAAATCTGGCATGTGCAATAGCACAAAAAAAAAACAAATTTCTGCAGATGGCTTTCTTTATCGCGCTTCTTATTACGGTGACGATTATTCTTTTCTTTTTTTACACTCTGCCACTCGTCTAACTAGTATTTTCCACATGAACAGTTGTACAAAGCTATAAGAAGTATCATTCGAATGCTCGACAATTCTATTATTATACATATTAATTATTACATATATGTAGGATGAATATACTGGATTAAGAACGTAGATGACGAAAAATTAAGGAAAATTGGAAGATTTTTACCTCGCACTGCCGTTACGAGAACAATAGAATAGATAATGATATAAAGACAAGCGCGTCTTCGCCTTGATGTATGAGAATTACTGTCAAAATTTTGAATTATTCTCATTATTCTCGTTTTTAACGTCCAGGACTGAACATTATCGTCTATATTTTTTTTACATTTTGAATCGATATGCGTATCTTGTCCCGAAGACTGTAAAAAATGTGTACAAATCGCCAGAATAAAACTTTTGTTAATGTATTTTACATAGATATGTTTTATTCCGTTGAGTTTATATTTATAATAGGATAACTTAATAAAATTAACAGCACATAGAAATAAATATCTATACTCTGACAACAAAGTATGTATTGCACTGCTAGAGCCAAGATAAAAATATTCATTCAGCAAACATAATGTAAATAAATTGATCCTTGCATATTTTTTCTGGAGTTTTAGGATCTCTTACCAGAAAACTGTTATTTATTGTTTCGATATTAGTCATGTCGCTTATGGGACCTTGATAATTTAACTCTTTGTTATTTCCATTTGCTTGACGATCCCCGACATTTTCCTGTTGCATTTTCACGTTCCTCTTGAGCTGCTAGTTCCTCGTCTAGTAGAAGTTCAAAGTTTCCCATTGCTTCTGGCGATGGGCACTTATTCCACCTAACACTGTTTAAAGATAGAAACATGATTCTGTAATTGAATTATATTCATCAACTCATTACTTACTCAGGAACGCCATCCGGTGGCAATACAACGGAGACAATATTGTCAATAAGTTTGTACTTTAGTATTCTGTCATTTACAGTTGTCGATGTTAAGGATGGTGATGCATTTACCTATGAAATGAAAAATAATGTTAGATCCGGAATTATTTTATTCCAGATATAAAATACTTACCTCGATGAGCCAGGGTTTCAATTTGTTGTCAATGATGATATCGTAGCCATAACACTCGAAACAATGACGATCATTCGCCATAACTGGTGCTACTGCCTTCAAGGAGTGAACGATGCACCAAGAGATGTTTGCAAAAAGCTTTTCAGTCACTGCCTTGCCTCGCGTACTTTCCAAGTATAAGCGTAGATTTTGTACACTTAGCTTGCCACCATGCAAACTGTTGTACTCATCCTATGTTTTATTAAATTTTTTTTAATGTTCTGATATTGTGAATATGCACTAATCATTTATGTTGTAATCTTGTACTTACTCCATGTTTTTGTACAGAAACATTGGTAAGGTGCACATACATATTATCCAATTCCTGAATACTAGTATCATACTTGACTGTACAAAATCGACAGAAACCCAATTTAAATAAATATGCTTTCAATGGACGAAAGGAAGTGATGAGAACATATAAACGAAGATCAAATTTTTTGCCACCAATTAATAAGGGATTATCAATATACCTGTAATGCAAAATAGAGATTGTATTAATTCTATATTGTAATTGTATCAAACTCTGATACCTGGAAATCACATAAGACTCTTTGGTGAGATTTGGATTGAATGGATTCCTGGCTTCTCTGGACCATTTTTTTAATTTACTCAATTTATTTATTAGAAATATTCCAGCTCCCTGAGATTTACCACAGGGTTTCATTATCCATGTACTTTGTGGAGATTTTCGGTATTCCTCTACAAACATGTTATAATCTACCAAAGATTAATACAGCATAGTAACTGTTATTGCTATTTTGGAAATATATTTAATCAATTAATTAAATACCTGCTGGTAAAACAAATGTAACTGGGATAAAATCAAGATGAAGGTATTTTCCTGGTCCATCTCCTCTTTCAGCAAGAGGACTTCCTTCCCTCTCTAAATCTTTTCTGTACCTCTTTATGTTTTTCACTAACAAATCTTTCCTTGTCAATTCATAATGATTTGGAAAATGATTAATTGTTCTATAAATAAATAATATCAACAATGTCAGTAACATTATATGTAATAAAACTGCCTAATTAATTTGACTATAACAAATCATTGTATTGTTTAAACAAATTGCATACTGATTGTCACCCATTCTATATCCAGTTTCCACACTGAAAATAGTTCTGCAGGATTGTGTGACTGCCCTAAAATTAATTATTTAATAATTATCTATAAAGGTTCAATAAATTATCTAACAAAAAAATGTACCAATAGAAGTTCCAATCATCTTCAGGACCTACTTGGGTCCATCCCCGTTTTTCAAAATTATATACAATCACAGATTTATCCATATCCGTACAAAACGTGACTTTCATCTTGTCAGCTCCCACAGTCGGTACTCTGTAAATAATGAATTAATCAATAGAAACAATTGTTCAAAGCATTAGTAAATTTCATCAACTAATACATTTTCTCTGTTCAATATGTAGTTCCTATCACAGCAAACTCCTTAGAGTATCTAAAGTAGTAACACAGAAAAACAAAACATAAATTTCAAAGAAATACGCAATTCGAGAAAAAAATTAATAATTTGATGAACAAACAACAAATCTAATAATTATTAACAGATTTATACCTCCCATAAATAGTGGATAAATTTGAATTTAGAGGACGTTTCCCATCCGTAGCGGCGTTCGCCATTGCTGTTTCACGATTTAATTAAAGTTTGATCAATTCTCTATAGAAACGCATTTATCTTATGAGTCCTAAAAAGTACCATTATATATGATTAAATATATAAAATCACCTTGAATAAAAGAAAAACGCCGAAGGATTTTCAATCAATCTCTGAAACCTTTGTCGCAGTGCATCTTATTATTACTTATTATAAATATACACTTTATAATTTATTAATATTTTTTATTTTGACAACCTTAAACTCAACGCAGCATTTGAATAACATTTGAATTTTTGAAAATCGACGGGGTACCAATCTAACCGATATTTGGCGCTGTATTACCGTCGTTCTTTGAATTTGTCAAATGTGTACCTACTCAAACAAAGAATCATACGCAGATACAGCTTCATAGACAAAAGGTAAGTTACACAAAACTTTTAAAATTCCTGTATAAATTTTAAATCGAAAGCTGACCTCATGTTTTAGTTAATCAATGCAATTATATATCAAGTAACGGCAATCTTATTCGTGTATGTTTATCGTTTTCGTGGGCTGAATAGCAAAGTATGATTCCCGATTGTTAGTTAATCGCTATAATTCCAAAAAGTGGTCATAGATTTAATGGTTTCCTTTATTCTTTTAGTTTATTCACTTTCGTGCAATTTATTTTCCATTCTTTCTGTTTTACACCTGATGGAATTATACGAACCTTTATATTCGCACGTTTTTTTGTTTCTATTATACTGTTTCTATAAATCTTCACATGATTTTTTTTATATATTGTCATAACATAGTGTTTGGTCTTTTTAATGCTTGATTGAACTTAATTAGTTAAAGTTTGAACGTAATCATTGAGAATATCTTTCAGTCATATTTTATCTATTTATTAATTATTATTCATGTTTGTAGAAGTGACCACAAGTGACAAAGAATGGCTCCCTTAATTTCTAACGGAGCTGCTGGTGTGATTGGGACTAAGAGAATGGGTCGTGGTCGAGGGATAACAGTATCCAAATTGGCACCAAATAAATGCCTCTGCCAGCGGCCACGCTGTCATGTTTTATGCAACGTCTGTGGTTTTCTTACATGGGGTAGAATTCGCTATGCATGTCCAGTTCATCCACAGGTCTGGTATATCCTTATATGCTTTCTCATTTGCTTCTGTATTTATGTTATTAATATTGATCCTCATTATTTTGATATTTTGTTGCTTTTTTAAGTTTTTTTCTTTAATTTATCTTGCAGACTATGTTTTTGATTGATGTCACCCAGTGTCCAAACTGTAGAGCCTATGAATTTATGCTTTGCGAGTTTTAAATCTATTTCTTTGATTATCATGACATTTTTCTCTGGTAGAAAAATTTTTCAGTGATTACTATGACTATAAGTGTTGTTTTGTTTATGTAAACATACTCAGTAATGAAAGTACCCATTCTGTTAAACGAAGGATTCTTTTACCAAAGAAGTATATAATCTAAAGTGTAAGATGTCAAAGTGTGATATTATTTTTTAAACAAACTTATAAAATGATTATAGATTTAGAAACTATTACCTGTTAACATTGCACAGTTATGCAGTTTAGAATAAGAATTATTTTGCGTTTTACGAAGTTTCTTTTTTTTGTAACTAGATCAGTTGAAATTACTTTTGTTACATTATGTCATGCTAGTGCTGTATAAAGAACAGCATTCAAACTATTATTATTGTTTTGTTTAGAATTAGATTCTTAAGTAATAAAGTTAATGTAATAAACTTATAGGAAAGAGATGAAATACATTACAAAATGACCTTGCATTGTTTGTGTTGTAAAAGCATTTTATTATATTAACTATCATTGATCAGTATCATTAAGCAAACCAGCCAGGTGTTCCAGGCACCTTATTTCGTTTTATGAATGCTTTAAACCCTTTTTTTGCCTCCTCAAGGGCAGCCATATCGTCTGTTACATTTTTGTCCTTGGTATCATCTTTTTCAAATAAAGGTGGGTATTCAAATGTTTGATCTTTTGGCTGTAATGAATGAACAATGCTAATTAATAAGCCTTTTAAGATAGTTTTCCATAAAACAATACGAAAACTCACCAAAACCACATAGGCTACTTTAACATCCTCCTCTTTAGTAAGAATAGACTTGTATGGTTCTGGACGTATTTTTCCAAGTTGAATTCGTGTATTTACTTGAACTGGATGAACGTCATATATTTTCTTTAGGTACTGTTTCACATCTAGAACTGTCATTTCCATAGAACAGTGAAACTGTACAACGTTTTTTGGCTGCTTCATAGTAGGGTTCACAATTTTTAACCAGAAATTTGGTAGGAATACTCTCAGTTGAGGATTGCCTTTTTGATAAACTGGATACCTGCATATTTTAAATTATTATCAACTAACATTTTCATATAAGATATTTATTCTAGAAGACATATTAATAGAAGATGTATAAAATCAAACATTATAGGTTATGGTATGCAGTATATTAATTAAAATTTTTCCAAATAGTATTCATGCACATTGATAAAGATTACATAAGTGAACTATGAGTATATGAACCAGTTATTCTTTCTGACATTTATAGATATGCTCACCATCGTGTTGACATTTTACTATTTTGTTATGAAAAATGGAAAAATATTCCCATGAATGTATTACTTGTTTGACTTAACCTTAAAATTAGCAGAAGACATATTAGGGCTACCAACTTCCATCAAAATATTACTAGACAGACTATTTTTTTGTCAACAATGCTTTTATGCAATTCCTTTTGCACTTTAAATATAGTCTTTTTATTAGAACTCTACTTCAATCGTGGGCAATTTAGTATTTACAGTAAAATTTAAGTAACAATCTTATGAATGATTAAACATGATTTTCAGGAGTACTCTTTGAAGATGCTGCATCCTTATTTAAAGAATCTTTGGAGTCGAGTAAAGGATGTAGATGAAATTTAATACTGCCAGCAACATGTCTCTCATTTATTAATCGACAATTGTCTTTTGTATCTTTGATTATCCTCTGAAACAAGACTTCCTGAAAAAAAAAATAACTGATATTAACTTGCATAGAATAGTTGAAACATGAATATATATCAAGTATAATTGCTTACAGATGTTTCTTTATTGTTCTCAACAGAAATAAGAATGCGAACATCATGGTTCTTGATCAACCATTTATTGATATTTTTAATCTTTGATACCAAATCAAATTCAGCTATACGAGTTGAAATTACCATTAATTTAGTGGGTTTTAATGCGTTACTCTTTTGAGAAGCTTTTTGTTCTTTACGTTTCATTTCTTCCTGAAAATATTCTGTGCCTGTCATTAGTTTATAAGTTGCTCGGTCAGTTTTTGTATCTATATCCACAATTTTTACTAATTTCAAGTTACGTCTTTTAGCTATTTTTTGTGCCTCCTCCAGTGTGATAACAACAAGTGTTTCATCAGGATGTATTAATGTGATCCTAGGGCCTGATAATTTTTTCTTTCTCTCAGGTTTTGGAAAATTATCTTTTGCTTCACCCATTGAATTCCTTTTGTCAATATTAGGAAATGTACTTTTGCTCGATGAATAATTAGGCATTTGTACTTTGTGAAAAGCAGGAAGCATGTCACATATTTTTGGAAATATTATAATATTGCATTTTTTCAGAAAATTAAGATTTGTTGATATTCTTACAAAACTCAAAGCTCGTGTCATACAACACAACGCCATTTTTTACTCTACAATGATTGTACCTTAACAGTTTCTACACTTCTACTCCAATGTACCCTGCTAGTTTTGTTATAAGCAAAAAGGCGTGACTGGGCATAGTGGGGACAAAATATGCTGTTTCATTGGTCGTCTTTCCTCCTACTCTCTCAAATCGCACGTCATAGACGTAGCTGCTAAAATAATGAGAGATTTTAGAATTCTTATTTAGAAATAACATAACCTAACAAAAAATAACAATTTTCGACTGATTATTCAGGTTATAATTTCTAATCATTCATGACTTAAAAATCTGAGGATTTAGAATGATTGTCCGGTATACAGTTTGCTGTTTGCTGGGAAATCGTTTGAAAAATGCTTATTTCAATAATCAAAATATTAAAAGTACAAGGTGAGTGTATTTGCATACATAAAAAGATATATATCAGTTTAACTTCGTATAAATCATGTTTTTTTTTCAGTTTCATCAAAATTATTTATAAGAAACTCTATTGCACTGCTTCGAAGGAATATGAAACACCTGTTGAAAATATACGTAACTTCAGTATAATAGCTCATGTTGACCATGGGAAGAGTACACTTGCTGATCGTCTTCTGGAAATGACAGGAGCAATACGTGCTAATTCCGGAGCTCAAGTCTTAGATAAACTGCAAGTTGAGAAAGATCGTGGGATAACAGTGAAAGCTCAAACAGCGTCATTAAATTATACATATGATGGAGTAGAGTATCTATTAAATTTGATTGATACTCCAGGACACGTTGACTTTAGTAATGAAGTATCACGGTCCTTGAGTGTCTGTCAAGGTGTATTATTGTTAGTAGATGCTAATGATGGTGTTCAAGCACAAACTGTTGCAAATTTTTACCTAGCTTTTGGACAGGATTTAACTGTCATTCCATTGATAAACAAGGTATATTTGCTAATCTTTGTTCAGTGTTGAACATCTGTAATCAAAATGTCTATTGATAACATTTTTACTAAAGGTGGATCTAAAAAATGCTGACCCAGAAAGAGTTGCGAAGCAACTTAATACACTGTTTGATATCGAAGAGTCAGATATCCTTAAAATTTCTGCAAAATTTGGAATGGGAGTTGACAAAGTTCTGGAAGCTATTGTCAAAAGAATTCCACCTCCTGTAGTGGATAGGCAGAAGCCATTCAGGGCTTTACTATTTGATAGCTGGTATGATCGCTATAAAGGAGCTGTCTCTTTGGTCTCGATCAGAGAAGGTTCCGTATCTGTCGGACAATATATCTCATTTGTACATACTAAAAAATCCTATGAAGTAAAGAGCCTTGCATTGTTAAGACCAGAGGAACAGAATGTCAAATCTTTGTAAGTTAATAATACTTTACCTTATTTGGTTAATTTACTTATTTTATTATTGTAGTATGCTTTACTTTGTATACATATGTAGAATCGCAGGCCAGGTCGGCTGCATCGCATGTAATATGAGGTCATCAGCAGAAGCCCATATGGGTGATACAATCCACTTGAAGGAAGCTTTAGTTGAGCCGCTACCAGGATTCAAACCAGCTAAATCTATGGTGTTTGCCGGAATTTATCCAGCAGATCAATCACAGTTGCCTGATCTGAAAAATGCTATTGAGAAGTTAATTCTTAATGACAGCGCAGTGACTGCTACTACTGAGTCCAGGTGAATTATATAATACTGTTAAACAGTTTCCCATTTTATAATACAATAACTTTAGTTGTACGTATTATTATCTATATTGTATTCAGTTCTTCTTAACGTGTATCTGTTGCAGTCCGGCGTTGGGACGTGGATGGAGATTAGGATTTTTGGGACTGCTTCATATGGAAGTTTTCACACAGAGATTAGAACAGGAGTATGACGCTGAGCCTATTCTCACAGCACCAGGAGTTACATACAAGGCGAAGATCGTTGGACGAAAAAATATTATTAAATACGGGTCTGATGAAATATTCTTTAATAATCCGGCACACTTTCCAGACCCTGTGATAGTTACCGAATTTTATGAGCCAATGGTTATGGGTACTATAATAACACCAGGTATACATTGTTATCCTATTCTATCTCTATTGTAGCATTAATCAAGAATTATGCAGTTTTTATGTCTTTATTGTTTCTTCACTGTTTGTATTAGATAAATTTGTCGGTGGTGTAATATCACTGTGCATGGAGCGTAGGGGTGTTGAGAAATCTACAATGAATGTTGATAATGAACGTGTGATGCTGCAATTTATTTTACCACTTAACGAGATCATAGTTGACTTTCACGACTCTTTGAAATCTATGAGCTCAGGCTACGCTAGTTTCGATTATGAAGATTATGGATACCAGCCATCTTCTATAGTAAAGGTGACTTAAGACATTTGCATGGCATACTACTAGAAAAGTTGTGCAATATGTGTTCATGAAAATTATACTGTTATATGTTCTTTAGCTGAATATTCTTTTAAATGGTGTGGAGGTTGAAGAACTAAGTACGATAGTTCACAGCTCCAAAGCTGCTCAAATGGGAAAGAGAATGTGTACAAGATTATTAGATATTATACCACGACAACAATTTCAAATAGCTATACAAGCTGCAGTAGGTTCGAAAATTATGGCTAGAGAGACATTAAAGGCGTTTCGGAAGGACGTGACAGCCAAACTGGTAATATTTTTTAATATATACTAGGGCCAAGGAGATACTAGTAAAGAGGGTATAATTTTATGGGACTTCGTGTGCAATGGTTTGCGGGCACAGGAGATAACTTTAAATAAGCATAGAAGTTCTGAAAAGAATTAGAATGCAGTACATTTCATTTGACACCTAACACACGGGAACTGGACCTCTTTATTAAAATCTCCTACATAATACTTATACATTTACAACTTGTTTATTTATGCTTTTATTGCTTTAGTATGGCGGAGACATTACAAGAAGAATGAAATTATTAGCAAGACAGGCAGAGGGCAAAAGAAAATTGCGAATGGTGGGCAATATTGCTCTGCCAAGACAGACTTTTATTGATGTATTGAAAAAATAAAGTGCATTAGGCATTTAAGTCTTCTGTAACATACTTTGGAATAAATTATTTAGAAAACTCTTTGATGTGACTATATGAAATGTTGATTACTGGTGTCTGACGTTTTATAATTCAAATCTGTAGTGATAGAATAAACTAAATATTGAAAAAGTTTTCTAAAGAAATTCTTTTATTTTATTTGGTTCTTTACACCTTTTTAACAAAACAAAGATTATCATTGTAGTTATTTCCTCCAAACATGATATTCTTGATGCGTGAATAATTCGTTTGAAATTTAGAAAATGTGAAGTTTTGATGTTGGTATGAAATATCACTAAATTCATTTTTTGCCATTTTCCCCTAGGGATGCAGTTGATATCACGGGTAAGTAAAGATGATTTTGCTAAAACATTGAATGACGTAAAATCATCCGATCTTCAGGCTGCTCCTGATTGGCGAGAATGCAGTGGCACGATCATTTGTAATTTTTGGTTACTACGTTTTGACACATCGTGCGTGAAGTGTTGACTCGGTGAGATAATATTTAATGAAATATAGGAAAGCCCAACGAGTAGAGGATAAAACTACTCCGAATGGCCGAACCTGGTAGCTGGGTTCCACCCGGCCAGGAAAATGATTTTACCAATATCCCAACTAGTGACAGCTTTAATTTGAACGAAATGACTGGATTCGATGGTATGTCTCTGGCTTTCCTGACGAATTCTATCTGCAAATTGCAATTTATAGAATTGCGACACTATAAAAATGTTAACTGTTTCGCTTCTTTTGAAAGCTTCATTTATGCGAAACAGTAATAATTTTAATGCAATCTGGACTGGATTCTTAAAGAATTTTTTCCTATGTTCCACTGTTTCTCTTTAAAGTAGAAATAATTGTTTTTCATCTATTTAAGTACTTAAAAGAAATTTTAGTTATGGTTGTAGTCTGCTTGGGTAAATAGGTGTATTTAATTTTATTGATCCTTTTCCAGATCTTTTATCGAATTGTGAAACGGAACTTTTGAAGACAGAAAATCTCTTCAGTGACGAGACTCTTATAGCTGAATTGGAAGAGTCCATGACAGGACAACTTGATGACTCGTCTCCGTTTGATTTCATGGATACAAATGAATTTTTAAATGCATCAGATAACAGTGATTTTAAGGATTCTAGTATTCTTGATCCATTGAAATCTAATGTACAGTCTGTACAGCAAGTTCCATGTGTTAATCAAGAGGCTGTGACTCCTCAAGTTAAATCACAAAGGATTTCTGTGGCTCCTACCCCAACAGTCTTTAGTTCCCAATATACCATTCCTCAAGGAATGAATTTCAATGTTCAACAACCAGTTGTGACTTTAGCTCCAGTTGCAACACAGCAACGACAGCTTCTCTTACCTGCTAAACTCATAAAGTCGGAGTCTGTTGTTTACTCAAGGGGATCACAGGCTGTCACATCTTCTCCTGTTCCACATCAGATTCATACTTTGGTTAATACAGCCAATGGCACCGTTCTTGCTACTGGTAAGATATTAAATAAAAAAATAATTATTTGAATGAAGAAGGCAATTAATTTTCTCTAACAGGAATACCAGTGGTTTTGGATACTGACAAGGTGCAAATAAATCGTTTAAACACTGGGAGTCATATAGGCGTACCTAGAGTTCGTGAAGTGAAGCGTAGTGCTCATAATGCAATAGAAAGAAGATACCGTACTTCTATCAATGACAAAATCATTGAGTTGAAGAATATTATTGTTGGAGTAGATGCAAAGCTCAATAAGTCAGCTATCTTGCGGAAAACTATTGATTACATAAGGTGAGAACTGTTTATATTCGTTAAGAAATCACTCAATCGAATTGATCAAACATTATATTAAAAAATTATTTGTCTTTAGATTCTTGCAAAATTCCAATGCCAAATTAAAAGCAGAAAACATGTCACTTAAAATGGCTGCGCATAGGCAGACAATGAGAATGGATGCTTTGACACCACCACGTTCCGATACCAGTGAACCATCTTTGTCACCGGTTCCTGATCCTCTGTCTCCTCCATCCCCATCATCAATTAAAGATGAGTCTGAAAGCTTGCACTCACTTCACCACTCAGTATCCTCAACCCGAGGTTTAAGAGATCACACGAGGATGACACTCTGCGCTTTCCTCTTCGTATTTCTCGCATTCAACCCATTCTCTATCCTGGTGAACAATGTAGGACGTTTCAAAGATTATTCCAGCGCCCGCGTCGACGGTAGAACGATTCTTAATTACAATGGTAAATATTATAAAACACAAATCAGTTATTCGAAATATAAAGGCAGATGATATTTTCGTATTAATCTAAAACTTTCATTCCACTATAGATCAGTCGGAGACGGAAATTGGTATTTGGGGTAGTGTTCTCCTAGGATTGATCAATATAATCCTCCTGTTTTGTGGTCTGTGTCGACTTTTACTCTACGGTGATCCAGTTCTACCATCAGATAGCAAAGTCTTCCTGGATGTACGCCGATGGCGTCGCCAGGCAGAGTTCAATATGTCCAGAAACGATCATGAACAAGCTTGCTCTGACTTGCGTCAGTGTTTGGCATTTTTCGGTAAAACTGTACCATCCTCAAGACACGAAGCATTTTTGCCAACTACTTGGCAGATAGTACGACAAGTGTTGCACACTCTGCGCCTTGATAAATTCGTCAACCATTTTGGCAAATATTTTGCTGACAAATCGGAGCGAGAGCAAACTCAGTTATCTGCCTTAGAGTTGTCGATAGTTTATCAACATTTGCTGTGTCTAAGACTCTCTAACGGTTCAACAGAATCTGTCTTATTCTTGGCTCTGTCTGCTGTGAACTACGCTGAAGCAGCTGGAAATACTGCACCGAAGACGTACCTGGCTGAAGTGTATGCGAATGCTGCCTTGTGCTTGAAACTGTTACCTTTTCCTTTCGTGTACAAGCACTATTTAGCCAAATTCAGAAATGTACTCACTACCTGTGCTGTACCTGAAAAACTAAGATGGCTCACTAGTCCTGAAGGATTCAGATTCCTAAACTCTCAGAAATGGCAGTATGATTCTCGATGTCAGGATGAATTTTCGTCTCAAGCTAGTAATACTCAACCGCTGTCGTTTGCTGCAAGAGCTTACAGGCAGCATCTCCTGGGACAATGCTTGAAACTCATTACTGGAACAGCTGAAGATTCGCACGCTTCAGCCGTTCTGGAAATGGCTAGAGCAGTCGTGGCTTCGGCACAGGTAGAATCCAGCTCTTCCTTAGTCGACAAACTTTCTATCAACAGTAAGAATCATTCTTACCTCCTGAACAATGTTATGTCTTCCATCTTTCATGTTTTCTTCCTATTAATTTCAATTTTCTTTCTTTAACCCCTCAGAATGCGAAGATGAAATTGGCTTATGGTGGGGTGCTGTGATGTGTGTCGCAGCCAGTTGGAGATTAGGAGAAGACGACACAGCTGCCTGGAGTATAGTCGTTGGTAGATTTCCCTATGAAAAGAGTCCGCAATCTGGTAAAGGTAGTCCGCTACCTCATGCAGTTCTCAATGTGCTTCAGGCTGCTAAAAGAGCTGGTGGGCGAGCGCCAATGAGATTGATAGATCAAGCCGGAACTTTCTTGGAACAATCAATGTTTTACTATCATTGCAAACAGCAATCATCTCAAAACATAGTGGTAGGTAGCTGATGAAGGATTTAAAATCTAAAAAAATCAGTATGGTGCTAGTACAAAATAATAATTTATGATGCCTGTACCGGGCATGCATTGTAGTTGCATTGCATGGATGTAAATAACGATGCAATACTTCTGCAGTGTAAACCCCGTGACTGGTCCATTCAGCAGTGATACAACATTTACTTTAACTGTTAACTAGTAGTGCAATTGTATAATAAAATCTATAAATCTGATACTTATAATCAATTCAATTACAGTTAACTCAATTATGGATTTGTGACTGGCTTCTGGAGCTAAGAACATCTTTATGGGAGGAGCTGGAAACTGAAAATGTTAAAACTTATGGACATTCGGCTCTAGCTGGTTTTCAGCGTGATCTCGCATGTCTGCGTCAATTATGTCAACAGATTCCAGTGAGTTATTACAAAATTATTAGTCATTAATAAAATATCCGATACCATTACATTCTTCCTTGTTTGCAGTCTGTACTCACAAGAGTTTTCCTCTACGAAGCCACAGCGAGAATAATGGCTGGAGCTGCACCAGTGCGCACACAGTTTTTGCTGGACCGTAGTCTTCGGCACAGAAATTCTAAATCTTCTATTATTTGTGGGAAAGATCGTTCCCAAGAACAAGGTACTGGCGAACGTGAGCATGCTGCGGCTCTTTGTCTGGCCTGTCGACACCTACCCACAGTTCTCTTGGCTTCACCCGGTGAACGAGCAGGAATGTTGGTTGAGGCCGCAAAGACGTTGGAACGAATTGGCGATCGCAAAAGGCTGCAAGAATGCTACGAGCTCATAAGGCAATTAGGACCTGCAATTTCTGTTAACTAAGGTCAAGAGCAACGTTCAAAGATTTAGTGCGTACCTGATCAATTCGACAGAAAACTTATAGTTAATTGAAGGTCTGCCAAATTTTTATGAGAAGAAAGGGATTATTATTATTATTATATTTATCCGGTCCAGCTTGTGTATTTCTTAATATTATTTATTCACCGCTGGACGTTAATACGGGTCACCGCTTTCGATTTTAGCTTTACTCCCTTGAAACTTCCTCGAATTTGACATATATTGTATCTACGTTTAGCTTTTAAAGTAAATATATATTCATTTATATATAGTAATTTTGTTACATCTATGTAAACTACATATAATATATAATTATTATTGGCATTTAAAAATAAAATATTTTTATATTTTTAATTCGAATTGAGAAATGTGTTCCTAAAACGGATGAAATGCATTCATAAATCTCGCAACGCGAGATATGATAATCGATTCTTTTAAGTATTTCGATAATCTAAATGCGAGAATGACGCCATTGGACGCCACTGCGATCTGCCATCTAGACCTTCTTTCTTTCACGGCGATCCTAGAAGTAAGTTAAATGCATGTTTTCTTGTGAATTTCGCACTATTTTCCGCATAAAGTTCTCCGACGATGTTTTAAATAATATAATTCATCAATTACGTTTATGTTGATCTATAAAATGAACACTATTTTCCAGAAGATCACTCAGAAATACAAAAATTTCCCCACAATAAGTTACCACCACGTGTATAAAGCTCGTAGATGGAAACTGTATTTACTTCACATAATCTAATGTATTTCAACCATTATTCATGATATTTTTATCTATCGTTATTTTAGTTTACTTCAAATTATTTTACTAAGATACTCCAATTGATAGAATAATTGGGAAATTATTTTCTTATACAATTTAAGTGTTACACTTTGCTTAATTGATTATCCATTCATAATTTCATTTATCTAAATATTTTATTCATTGATCTATAATTTAATATTAACGTTAAATTCTTATATTTTACAGTCTAAGCCGACAGAATGACGAATTCTAAAGGTTACCGGCGTGGAACGCGCGACCTGTTCTCCAGGAAGTTCCGCAAGCATGGAACAATCCCACTTTCTACGTATATGAAGGTGTACAAAGTTGGAGATATCGTGGATATCAAAGGCAATGGTGCAGTCCAAAAGGGTATGCCATACAAGGTATACCATGGTAAGACTGGAAGAGTCTTCAATGTTACTCCCCATGCTCTGGGAGTGATAGTCAACAAACGTGTCCGTGGTCGCATAATCGCCAAACGTATCAATGTGAGGATTGAGCATTTGACACACTCCAAGTGCCGAGAGGACTTCTTGAAGCGTGTTAAGGAAAACGAACGTCTGCGTAAGGAAGCGAAGGAAAAGAAAATTCAGGTGCAACTCAAGAGACAACCTGCACAGCCATCGCCTGCCCACATTGTGTCAGGACAGGAGGCTCCAATTCTTCTAGCACCTATTCCATATGAATTCATTGCTTAAAAGTCTAATAAAGCCGTTTTGACATTATACAATTAGTTTTTCATACTCTTCCTTACAATATCCTTGCAAAAAAATGACTAAATGCCACAGAGATCTGTGATTGCGTTATACAATGTTACTAAAAGTATTGCAGTAAGGAAAAAGGACATATCCAATATATTCTTATAGTACATAATACTTTATTATTGTTGGCATATTTAAATTAAAAATTCTATTTTAAATACTTTAATTACACATAATACGATATTTACATAGAATAGATATCCTGGGTCCAATTGTAAAGCTATCCTTGTAATATGTCTTCTCATATAGTCCTGACACTAGATACCATTGTATCAAAGCAGGTCAAAGCTGGACACACTCAACACTTTAAATATAAGCTCGATCGCACCTAAGCTTGTTTGTAACAATAATTTTATTATCAGTCGTATATTTTACATTCAAATAAATTCTGATAGTGCCACAAGCTCATTAATCCTGAACAGCTTTGCCATTGTGATTTTATCTTCCTCGATGGTAAGGACCCTGCCTTGCTGGTTACCTTAGCTTTGGACTAGTTGTAGGGTATCATTTTAAATAAATAGATCTTACACGACTGCCTCGGCAGCGCGGCTTGGCCATAATCTTTTTCTTTCTTCTAATCCCATTCTTTTATATACTTCTTATTTAGCAAATCTTCTCACATCAAAACATCACTTCCTTCGGAGTGAGCCTGGGGCTCCGAAACCCTGTCCATTTGCTTCTAGCTACAGTCTCTTGACTGATAAAAAAGAATGTAACCAGTTTCCGATGACTTTTGTATATCAGACGTCAGACCATAGAAATCTTCAATCGTCGACGCATCGATTTTCTAATCAGAAAAACAGCAAGTATTAATTACGGTTATCAATAGTGACGTAATTGAAACCTATTGCTAAACTTACATCGACCATATCGTCATCAAAAAGTAACCAGAAACCATGACTCTTTACTATAGAAATATAGTGGCCACGATTTGGACCACTTCCACAATGTATTACCACAGCCACGAGGTCGTAGAGACGGTCTGGATTAACAGCATCATCACTCTGAAATAAACTCTTCTTAGGATAGTGCATATGTGTGATTTTTTCAATTAGATATGATTATTTAGCGTATTAGTGTTATATTTAAAAATATTGAAGGAACCTACAGTATTAAAGAGGCGAAGCTCCAATGGAAATACCACCCGATGAGATACTTTAATATGTCTGTTGTATTGTTCAACGTACTTGAACCGTTTCAAATGGAGAGCTAATATCATTGGCAGCTTCTTCACTCTCATTCGTTTCTAAATTCAACGATGAGCATTATTCATAATTTATTCAGATACAATCTGTAATTAAATAGAATTTAATGACACTGCTTCACTTACTTGTGCTTCCTGATAGCTGCTACAGTGATCGCATTTAAATTTGTTATCACTACAGAGAGTTTCAGTATTTGAAAAACACTTTAGGCAGTGAGTGATGGAGGTGTTTTGATCTACATCAACCTGAAGGTCAAAAAAATCCTCGTCCTTACTGGAGACAGTCTCACAATTCAGACATCTAGTCTCCGAAGTAAGGATACCCTGAAAGATTTCGTGAACCCAGGTTGGCTCCGGTGGGGAACCTGCATCTCCAGAGCCGCCTTTTCCTGCAGGTTTGCTTTGGCTTCTCTCTGCTATAAATAGAAGAATTGGAATTAATTAAATAGGACTGATTATGTTACAATGAATAAAATAATAACAGATATACATAATTACCAAGAATAATCTCGTTGATGTGGTTTATTAAGAAATTTAAAAATTCGTGAGCATCCTGTTGCATATAATTGTCGAACTCCTCTGCAACATATTCCATAATGAATTGTCAGTTATTGAATTACAGATAAAATATTTATTTACACACCTTTCTCTTTCCGTAAACGGGCAATAAACTTCTTTGGGGCAATAGAACCTACTTTCTTTTTCTGCGTTGCTATACTGTAAAATAAATCTGCGAGACATGTTAACAATGTCTCTTTAGTTCTCTTATTACGTGCTTTGTACTCCAAAACTTTTTCACGAAACGGTCTACAGAAATACAATGCCTGAAGTACCGAATTGCTGTAGCAAGTATTTCCAAACTGTGAATAGAGAATATATATAAAGCAATAGAATATATATTCCCCACTATATGAATTAATAGTAAACTCACATTCACAAGGCCAAAATAATGTTCATTTGGAGGGAACTGATCAGAGCCAATGTCTCTTTCTAGCTGAGAAATATTTGCACCCTGAAACATAACAGAGAACATACATTCTATGACATTTCATTATAACTCAGGATCTCATATGGCATGTCATTTAATTATTATATTAAATTACGGTCCATTACATGGGTTTCAGGTTAGATTAATAAAGTTTTAGTGTTGTAAGAGTACCAAGTATTACATACCATTTTACAAATAGTACACACTGACTGGCAGTAGAATATCATTTAACATGAATTTGGCCGTGAGAAACAACTCCATCATACTGGAGAAATGTCGAGTATTATTTTAAATATTACAGCATTAACACATTCATCAAGCCATCTTAACGTTTATATTGGAAGTATCCCGAAGTATAGTGGTAACGAAGATAAAGGTACGTGTATTTTCTTCGACAGAAAACTGCGAAATGAATTCCTTATAAATCACAGACGATGAAATATTCTGCCGTCTGAAATTAATCAAACAAATCTTTCATATTTTTAAACAACGAGTTTTTACGATTTTCCTCTCCACATACGGCCTAATGCGTTCTGGCAGACGATCGCCGCTGCCTCGTTTTCATTTCCTCTAGTGTTTATACCACGGTCTTACATACAGGTCTTGCAACTCCCTTGGAGGGGGTAGTCTTCTTTTAGAAGCATTTTTCATTTCGCTTCATGACCACCAGAGGCGTTGCGATCAAGCAATCCGTTCCTATTTCTCTCTCCCGCAGCCGATTGTAGAGTGAGATAGATAAGGGGCCCGTTCCTATTTCTCTCTCCCACAGCTGACTGTAGAGTGAGATAGATAAGGGGGTCGCTCGATCACAGCGACGCTTGTGACTAAAATTTAAAATGTGCCGTGCTTCAAAACCAGGTCTACCCCCACCGCTGAAAATTGGCCGAGTTGCAAGACCTGTATGTAAGACCGTGGTTTATACAATAGAATTTATTTGCCCTCCTACTTGTCGCTCGATTCTGGTTATTGGTGCAAACAATTCTCTTTTCTGATTGGTTTGTTTTTAACCTAACTTAACCTAACCTGACCCAACTATTTGCAAGAGCATCAGGACAGTGACGGTCGTGGTTGACGCGATGTTTTTAAAACTAAAACACTATCAGGGTCACTGGGACGTTAATTAAGCTTATAGCTGTCTCCTGCACTTATTCCTACCCTTGTCTGTCTTCCCCTTATCAATTATTATGTTTACCATAAATTCACTTTATTATTTAACTTTTTTATAAAATATTCAGCGCAATACATTGCATACATTTATTCTAGATGTATGCGCTCATAACTTTTATTCTAAACAATGTAGGATCGTTCGTGCAAGCTTTTTTATGTGCTCCGCAGTTCTATAGGTGTGTTCGAAAATAAATAATCCAGAGCGCAGAGTGCATCGTTGCTTCTCTATTTATTGCATGCATTTGATCGAGACACATATTCTCGGCGCTCTTGTCTCATTTTCGAATACACCTATAGTGCTTATGAATCTGGACCAGGACTTTGGTCCAGTTTTTACAGTCCTTTTATAACTGACAATCTTATCGATTTGTTGAATCTTTAAGACAAACCTTCAAGTCACTTGATAATAAGAGAGGCACCATTTTACGTCCAAAAATATGTGATTGAGTCACCCAAGGTTATTTAAAAATGGCTGACTGATAAATAATAATTTTCATAATCTATTATGACTTAAAATTAAATTTTACTGTTTACTTCTTATATAGAAATTTTTGAATTCATAAGGATGCTGCGCACTGTTAGGAGTATAGGTTTTAAACCTGCAGGCTTTAGTTTTCACACAGAGGTACGCATAGATTATTAGGATTTAAGTTTTTATGAATTAAATATACGTTTTAGAAGCATTGATATCAAACATGCTTAATATGTTTTAATTACAGAATTGACATTAGTAACCTTTTTACAGTGTACCAAATGCTCCAAAAGTTTCTCTGAAAAACTTGAAAATGGTCCTTCGCTGAAGGACTTTGTGACAGAACGGTCATCTGAATACGGTGGTAAATTAAAATTAGACAAAGGAGATAGGTCTCGTCTAAGACTCCCACCATGGTTGAAAACAGAAATTCCCATGGGTAAAAATTATAGTAGAATTAAAGATCAGTTACGTGAATTAAAATTGAGTACTGTTTGTGAAGAGGCACGTTGTCCAAATATTGGAGAATGTTGGGGTGGTGGCACTCATGGAACGGCCACAGCAACTATAATGGTTTGTATTCTAAGCATAGTATTCATTTTAAGCAAGGGAATAAATAAAATTCAAAGTCTTAATATTTCTGCAGCTTATGGGTGACACTTGTACCCGAGGCTGTAGATTCTGCTCTGTAAAAACTGCACGTATTCCACCGCCGCCAAATCCTGAGGAGCCTGTTAATACAGCAAAGGCGATAACAGATTGGGGTTTAGACTATGTAGTTCTTACTTCAGTAGATAGAGATGGTTTGTAGCAAACATTTGCTTAAAAACAATATCGTTTTCCATGAAGTTCTAATATTCTGTGCTCCTTTTTAGATTTACCTGATGGTGGGGCATCGCACATAGCAGCAACAGTAATTGAAATCAAGAAACGTAGTAATATCCTAGTGGAGTGTCTTGTTCCAGACTTTAGAGGAAATCGTGATTGCGTGTCGACCGTCGTGCAGGCGAAGCTTGACGTTTTCGCCCATAACATAGAAACGGTTGAGCGACTAACTCCATTCGTTCGGGATCGTCGTGCAAATTACCAGTAAGACATTTCTTCAAGTATAAATAGTTGTAGAAGATTTTCTAGCTAAGTGCGTTATTATGGTTTATAATAGACAGTCCCTGCGCGTTCTGGAAGCAGCCAAGTCTGAAAATCCTGATTTGATAACAAAGTCATCGATAATGCTGGGTCTTGGAGAAACCGACGAGGAAGTGGAGCAGACCATGAACGATTTACGAGCTGCAGGCGTAGAAGCAGTCACCCTAGGACAATATATGCAGCCGACAAAAAGACATTTAAAAGTTATTGAATATGTTACTCCAGATAAATTTAAGTCCTGGGAGAATTTTGGAAATGATCTGGGATTCATTTACACTGCTAGTGGACCACTCGTTCGATCTTCTTACAAAGCAGGCGAATTTTTCCTCACAAATGTTATAAAAAATCGAACGAAAAATATTGATCAGAGCAATTAATAGTACCTTTTACCGATAATGTAAATAACTAGTCGAATGAAAATTGTGTATAAATGTAACTATAAAATACAAAGTTAACTAAACCCATAATCAAACTCTTTAGCAACAATAATATGGAAGGTTAAGTGAAAAGCATACACGATATTTAAGCAAAAGCAAGTACTTTATTATAACGTATATTGTAGAAATGATTTCAAGTACTGATTTACTCAGTATCCATGGCGACGGCTGGAATAGGATCACGGGGACCTTCATCTGGAGGTGGTACTTGGGGAGGTCGATTGTCTTGCTCCACATCAGGCTCAGTAGGTCTACCTCGCTCTTCCTCACCTTCCATATCCCACAAATAATCAGCAGTTGCAGTCTCGTCCAAGATCGTGAATTCCGTACCCTTTCCAACTATCGCAATAGATACGTTCTGTGAATAAGATTAGAGATTTTGGTGCTGATACGCAATGCAATTGTCAATCAATTAAAATTTCTAATTAATATTAAGTAAGGTTACCTTGATCGTAAGAGCATCCTCATTGGGCAAAGTATCCAACAAAGCTCTAAGACCATGTTTCACAAGTTCATTTAGCTCACAATTAGCAAACTCATTTAAATGTTTCTCTAAGTATGTGCGAGCACTTTGAGATCTAGCACCCATCGCCATTGCTTTGCAGTCGAAATAATTTGCTGATGGGCAAGTTTGATAAATATGTGGACCTTGATCCTGAAAGATAAGTAAAAAATCAAATTTCGAATTATGCTAATGACTATTCAATTTCCATTAGATTCTTACATCATATCCAGCAACGAGTAGACCCACTCCATAAGGACGCCTATCATAGCGCTGTGTACACGTTTGCATCTTATTTCCCAGGGCAGCTATTAAACGGCTCACTGGAAGTACATCATCGTGCGAGTACTTGTAATTCAGACACTCCGTACGCATATAACGACTAAAAATAAATGGAATTGTGATTTATGTTAAATATTAAATTAATTTTTGTATTGTAGGAATGTACCTGAGCATCCTGGCATCAGCAGTAAGACCAGAGATCGTGATTCCCATATGCTTATCTATGGGAATGATCTTCTTTTGATAAGCTGAGAGCTCAGAAGTTGCTCTTTTTAATGCAATTAATACAGCATGAGTCTTGTTTTTTAAGCCTAAGGTTGCTGAACCTAATTTCACAGCTTCCATGGCATATTCAACCTGATGAAGACGTCCCTGAGGACTCCATACAGTTACATCACTGTCGTACTGATTACGAAACTAGAAAAAATAGATATTGTATTAATAAAAACATTAAACATTTAATTTATGCAACTCCATTTCAAAATGCATGTGCATTCACACATAGAATATACATTATGATAAAACCATAACCAAAAATCTTATATTTATATTGGAAACTGATTTTTAGATTAAATTTAAATAATCAATTTAATCATTTTACACAAACAAGTGCAATTGGTTTAATATTGTAAACACAATGTATCTAACACATAATGCACATTATACAAATAAATCAAAGTTTTCACGTTTGATAGTGACAAAGCAAAAATGTATAAATAGTAATTTCAACGTTTAATTTTTATATTAAAATTATGAGAATTTGTTATTTATTACTCTTAACTTACCATATTTAATTAATAAATGTATAGAGTGGCAGGCAAATGCAGAATTATGTCTTTATTAGTTGTTAACGATGTACCGCAAAGTAACTGTCATGCAGCCGCCATAAGATACTAAGATGTGTTCTGAAAGTCATGAAAAGAATATCAGTATATTGTGCAAAGCACAACTGCTAGAAATATATCATATTTCTCTGTTTATTCCTATCAGATCGGTAAACACTGTAACATATTTATTGTATAATTTGTATGAAAATGTATGGACGTTTAAAAGATTCCATATTAAATATAACGTGAGCGACAACGAATGGATCTGATAATGAATGTAAAAAACTATCTACTTCGTTTTGAATGAAACTTCAGTAATTTCCGAAATCGAGGATTTATTTTTCTTAGATCATTCTTATGTTTTTTCTTGACTAACAATCGATTTCTTATAGGTACCTTGCTATTTGTGGAAGTATTTGGACATGCCGTTTATCGATTCTAAATGAAAATCTGGCTTCCTTAGTAACGGCGCGCGTCAACCAGTAATATCTTGTTGTCTTGTTTACAGAAAACACAGTATCATACAATTAAGTGGTTATAAAGATCCTTGTGGAAATAATTAAGCATGGCAAGTAATACATAATGGATTATTTAGAGACTCTACTCTTTACCTATTGTTATTTTTGCCTACTATGTTGTTATTTTATTGAACATGAAGTTATACTTCATTTATGATTTTTAGGAATAGTCTTATATATTTTTGTTGTCACATTATTTGCCTTTGATAGATAAATATTACTTACAGGCATCCACTTACAAGAAGCAGATTGGTTCTGGCACTCGTAAGAAGAGTACTCCAAAATTTGAGCTTACTGAAGAGCAAAAGGCTGACATAAAGGAAGCTTTCGATCTATTCGATCCAGATGGGACAGGCAAAATTGCAACCAAGGAATTGAAGGTTGCCATTCGTGCTTTAGGATTTGAGCCAAAGAAAGAAGAGATTAAGAAATTGATTGCTGATGTAGATCCCGATGGATTGGGCAAGCTCTCGTTTGAAGAATTTACAAATCTAATGTCTGTAAAGATGGCTGAGAAAGATTCAAAGGAAGAGATCCTAAAGGCATTTCGTCTTTTTGATGATGATGATACTGGAAAAATCTCCTTTAGGAATTTGAAAAGAGTCGCTCGAGAGCTTGGAGAAAATCTCACTGATGAGGAACTCCAGGAGATGATTGACGAGGCGGATCGTGATGGTGACGGTGAAATTTCTCAAGAGGAATTCTTACGCATTATGAAGAAAACATGTCTCTATTAGTGTGAATTATTTTTCCTGCCAGATAATCATTTTCAAGTCTTTATCTATTCCATGGATCTCAATGAGGATAAAGAGAAAGGAATTCTTTTGTCCACAAGGTTAAGCTTTATTCTTATACAAATGATTGATATAATCTTACGTGAGTGAGTGTTGGTGTTTCTGCTACAGACTTTGTGTACGTATTCAACGTTTACGGTCAAGTTGATGATATTGCTGTATCTATTAATTTCCTTACGAGTTCTGCCCGTTTCTTTGATTGTGAGAGACTCTTCATAAGGACTTCTTGGGATATTGGGATCCCTCCTATGAAAAATAATACTTTTCGTACTGTCCCTTTAAAGGAGAACTTACAAGTATAGTATTCTACTTGTATTCCTTTCTACTTAGGTGTACTGATTATAACAGACTATTTATTATATTGTATATGTTCTACATAGTAAAGCACTATACAAGGTATATCTAGAATTATAAAAATACTAATAAAATCAAAATTTAAAATAAGTGAGAATATTAATGTACTTACCAGCTTTGTATACACCACATAGTTCTTCTCCATCGATCACTAGAGATAATCTTGCCAATGCAAGACTTTCTTCTTCTTCTGTCGGATCGGGAATTAATAACTGGCTAAAATAGTATATAAGTAATTAAATTACTGTTTTCTAATTCTATAATTAAAAATTATACTTACTCTTCAAATAATGCAAATGTAGTACACACAGGAGCACCTTTTAAGGGAACACTCAATCGTTTTGATGGATGAACAATGATGGCACCAGTATCAGGATTGTGCTCTACTTCAGGAAGAGTAACTAGAAATGTAAGAAATAAAAAATAGTATCTAATCTTAAAATGATTTTAGGAATTATTATAATGGATAAATATCTTACGGGTTTTTAAAGCAGCCATTAGAGCTCCAACACAAGCATCCATAACAGAGCCGTCGTAATCGATACAGATTAAATCACAATAAAGAACCCAGACCAGTTTGTTCTTTGAAATGCATAGATTTCTTGGATCTAATACTCCAGAATTCAAAAATACTGTTTCCACTATCTTTGAGGAAATCTGAGCTTGATCGCTTGGTGGTCCTGGCCGAAATTTTGGAGAACACAGAGGAGGTAGTTCCACATTTGGAATGATATAGCCACAATCTGGAGTTTCAACTTTTGGTTCTGCCAGTTCCTAAGTTATAAAACAGCAATAAGTAAATTGGAGTAAGACATTTTTCATAACTTCCAAAAACGTACTGCTTTGATTCCACAGACAACTGTTGTGTTTCCTATTTTAAAAATTGAGGAACTGTCCGCTTGTGTTATGGAGCGTACATTAACACTCATAGGACGTACTCGTAGAAACTGACGACCATCTGGTCTTATATCGCGCTCCTGTAATAAATATTTTAATTATACAGTGCTAATAATAATTACAAAATAAATATACACTAATCAATTAAAAGAAACTAGATTTAACTCTCACCAGATAGTCTCTCAAATACTTGATAGGATGGATAATTCTGAAAAATATAAAAATTAGCAAATTTTGAGCGTTTATTTAAATTTGTTTCATAACAACCTGTATTGTGAGTCCATTGTTATTATTTACACGCTGAATTTACAGTGTATATTATATACATTATAGCTCAATAGGTTATTTCATTGATGATGAATGTCCTAGATAGTGCTCGTATTCTCATTCCTGTTATATTTCTTACCCTTTTTGATACTTGCTACGTGGCAAATTGCGTCTCATCAGCTTTATGAACACATACTGTGTACAAGTACATCTTTTAGGAACAGCCGGTAAAATTGTCACACGTTGATTGCGCTGACGTTGTGATAGAAAATGGTATTGCGAGTTGTCAGTTGATCCTTGATTAACCAAAAAATCGGCATTTTTCAAATATATTTTTAACAAACTTTCCATAATCGTCAAAGAAAATGCACACCGTTTTAACACGTGCAAATGCCATTTTGGCGTACACCCTGAGCGTATCTGCTTGCCTTACGTTCTGCTGCTTCCTGTCGACAGTTTTCATCGATTATAGAGCGAATGCAACATTAAATACTGTAAAAGTTGTTGTGTAAGTTTTTAATCAATATATATACCATTATTTTTAATTTCTATAACAAAAGTTGGATGATTTCTCAGCATAAACTGTCCAGACTTTAGAATTTTAAATAGGTTATTCTAGCGTCTGTTGGGCATATTAATATTCTTTGAATTAGAATGAAAAAGCTGCGAAAAATCATTGCGATTAAAAATAAAACTTGAAATTTATTAATATATTTTATTTTGCTATTAATTAATAAGTTTCAATATTATTTATATTGGTTTTTGATTTTCAGAAAGAACGTACCAGACTACAGTGCATCTAGAGAGAAGAATGATCTTGGTTTTTTGACCTTTGACTTACAGACTGATATCCTTTTCTACTAAATTATCAAATTAGATCATATTCTTTTTAGATAATATATACACTTATAATACACGTTTGATAATTTCCTTACAAAAGCATACATCTCAGTCCACTATTCAACTGGAATGTAAAACAACTGTTCCTGTACCTGACTGCAGAGTACAGAACAGAAACAAATGAAATAAATCAAGTAGTACTATGGGATAAAATTGTATTACGTGGTGACAATGCAGTGCTTGATTTCAAGAATATGAATACGAAGTATTACTTCTGGGATGACGGCAATGGTCTCAGGTTGGTTAACCATTTTAATAAAATGTAAGGATGTAGCACTTCTTTGATACTTATATTAACCTGCTTTTTATTTTTTAGGGGGAATAAAAATGTGACGTTAACACTCTCTTGGAACATAATTCCCAATGCAGGATTTCTACCAAGTGTCAGTGCTCATGGCTCACATACTTTCTCCTTTCCAGCAGAGTATACCACGTCTCGCGTGTGATTCAACAAGAACATTTTAAACGTGTCAATCGTTTTTTAAGTTTTCATTGTGTACGAAGTATAAAATTTCATGGAGAAAGTGATAATGCAGCTCTCTTATATCTACCGTTCATTTTTATATATTTTTGCAACATTTCATCAAACAGAACCTTACACCAAATATCCCTGAATGATATCCAACAGTGAGAATGGTGATCTGGACTTTTTTGTGTTAAACTTTTATGAAGTTTTAATATCTTTTTCTTCAGTAGAACTCTCCTCATCTTCTTCGTCAGAGCTCTCATCCTCTTCTTCATCGTCGTCGTCATCATCATCTGCCGCTTCTGCTCCATAACTACTGCCCACATTACCTAATTGAATAACAATAAAATAATAGTAAAATATACATATCTTTTAATTTATATTAAAAATTTCTTATAAAATTTACCATAATAACTATAGCCATCAGTTTCTTCGTCTGATTCGTAGGGACCACCTTGATTTTGTCTACCAAACTTGTGATTTCTTGCTGTCAAATACAAGATTAAATTAACTAATGTCTAAAAAAAGATTATAACATATATCATCGTTTTATTTATAAAACTCTAACTCACTGGACATGCTGAGATCCTTCGTCTGAGAAGTTTCATAGCCACACTTAGGACATGGAATAGGTTTATTTTTTTCATATTTGAAGCCCTTTCTACGCACATGATCTTCACAATAACATGTCTTGCAACGTAGGCAGGAATACTGGCCAAGTCTGTTGCATGATTGGCCTAAATAGAAAATTATGATTATCTGCTAGGTTAAAAACTATATCTAATATTCTGATAACTTACACTTGAAACTCTCTGATTCCAATACTTGACAAGAAGCTTGATGCTCAAACTGATCATCTTCACAAAGGAAACAATCACAGAAGGAACATTTAAATATTCTTCCTCCATGGTCCCAAACACCTCGTTCACATTCCTGACAAACTGCATCCATCAAAGGACAGGTACATGCATGGCCTGTCAAACATCTACGACCATGACATATCCAAGCTTCACAATGATCACATATGGCACCCTAGATTGGAAAAATAATTTAATGAATTTAAAATGCTTTAGGCATGCATAAATATCAAAGTATTCTGAAATATATAAGAAAATATAACAAAATGAATATACTTACCACCATACCAAGACCAGTTGTAAAAACTCCAGCATGTCTCACAACACAATCTCCTGTCTTCAGCATGCATTTAACTTTCCCACAATGAGCACAAATTGGTAGACGCTGTACACTTTGACAGAAATAACAGAAGGCTCTACTTTTTTGTTTCTTGTTGCACTTATCACATTCCTGAAGGAAAATACACATACATAATATAACCATATAAATTAAAAGGTCAAATATCTCACCATCACTGCATTACAAGGAAACTTTGCAAGATCCAGTTGTTCCTTCGCAGTACGAATTTCCTTCTGCCTGAGCTTCTGTTTCTCAGCTTTACGTCTTTGTCCTGTCTTCTTCTTCGGCATCCTGCTAAATTATGCTCAAAACTCCTCTAAAATATATATATTAAGGATATCAAAATTATTACACATTAAATATACATATGTATACGGTCATTCCGCGCCGTGGTTATATCATTTGTATTAACACGATTCATAGAACATATAGAAATAAACTGTCTTTTGATATGAAAATTGTCCAACAAATGCAACAAATCCTATCCTCTATAATCAGGCTACGAAGACATAAAGATGTTGCTCGTCTAGTAGGAATTGGCATACATGTTTCGTGGTCCAATGCAGTCGGTGAGATCTCGAAGACGTATATTTTCGTCACTGATTGGCGTTAACGGAGATAATTGTCGTCTTGTTGACATTCGTTTTATCCTCAAGGCCCAATATTCTTCAACCACAGTTACGCTGGAAAGTCTGAGCATTCGTCCGATGCAATCAGGTCGATTTTATTCACTTCGTCATATTTAAGTTCATCTCCGGCTTTTAGTTGCCTTAAGACGTGGATGCTCTTTGTCGAAATTTGATTGTCAGCTTTGATTGAAATAATGGGTGTTGGTCTCAAACCACTCGAGTTCACTGACTGCCTCACGGATAGTCCATACTTCCGCGAGAATCTGCATTATCACGAACGAGAACTTGAAAAGACTAGCCAGCAGATCAAACGACTTATCAAGGAGGTCAAGGATCTCCTTCTTGCTGCCAAAAGTAAGTTTAATTCTAGAGATTCCTTGTGTCATTTTCTATGGTTTGCTGCACAATGCTCCAAAAGGATCAGTATATATTGCAGAAACATATTTTTGGAGTGTGCGATGAAAGATTTATATATACATTTTTTGGAGCACTTCCTTTTCTCACAAGCATTTGAAGTACTTCAAAAAATTTCTCTGGTTATTATATGATTTAATTAAAAATTCTCTTAGACCTACATTACGTTTTATATCGCAGAAGTTTTGAGCTTCCTTTATCATTTCTGGAATTATATATTATAATTTTATTATCTCAGTACTCTTATGTTCATATTGATGTGTCAGATTCTAAAGATATTTTTAACATTATTGTTTTAGATTTGTCCAGAGCTCAGAGGACTTTTTCAAAGACGTTACAAAATTTTAGCTTTGAATGCATTGGGGAAACACAAACTGAGGAGGAAACTGACATATCGCAAAGTCTTAAGGAATTTGGTAAACTTATTGCAGCCATCGAGGACGAACGTGATAGGATGGTAAAGCATCTTCCTAATCACAATCTCTTTTGAATCTCTGCAGTGGTATTTCTTTAAAAGAGGTTACATTCTACAAATTCATATAAAACGTAATACACATTTAAGATGTGAAATATTCATTCCTATTAAAAGGGTACAGAATCTTAATCTAAATTTGATCGACTGTTCCACGTTTTCTCTATTCGGAAAATTCTGAATATATGGTAATGCTATTTTTTTTGTAGCGGGCCTACTAGGACGCGCAAGTATTACAGTTTTTGCATGCGAGTTCGTTTATAATTAAGAATTTATAAAAGGTTTTCATACTTCTCCGTATATCAGTAATTTCCTTAGAGAATTAAATTTCAAATAAAATGCTCCATAAGTATTCTTTGTAAATAGTTTATAAATAATCATAAATAGCAAAAGAATATGTTACTGGTATATTTTTACATTGAATTATTAATATATCCAATAAGAATTAGGAGCACGTTACACACACACACACACACAAAATAATTAAACATAAATTTATAGACTATCCTAGTTTTGAAATTTTTTAAAGATAACATTTACCTTAACATACGAAAATATTAGCATAGAGAATTTTGTCTGTATAAAATTTATCTTAGCACTTATTCTCACGCGTGAAGTTCTATTAGTTTCACAGATTTTGACAATCTTGTGTGAAATTTTTTCAAAAAAGTTTTCTCTCTTTCAGCTTGAACGTGCTTACGATCAGATTATATTGCCGCTAGAGAATTTTCGCAAAGAACATATCGGAGGTGTAAAGGTAAGAATCAGTACAATATAAAATTTGTGACATTTATATGTTGTTTGAATTTTTTCAGGAGGGTAAAAAAAAATTTGAGAAACAGACAATTAAATTTTGTCAGACACAAGAGCGACACTTGAATTTATCTACGAAGAAGCAAGACAATGTTCTTCATGAGGTCAATTTTCTTTTTATTACAGTTGTAAAATTTTTATAAAATTTTATACTAAATTACTTTTTTTTAGGCCGATGCCACTTTGGAAATGGCTGAGCGGTTTTTTTGTCAAGCCAGTTTGGAGTATGTCTTTTTACTGCAAGAGGTACAGGAACGCAAGAAATTCGAATTCGTCGAAACGGTATGGGTTTTCTATTTGTACAGTAAATTAATATTATCCTGAAACAATCGTGAGTTATTCATATGCAAATTAATATTTCTGTTTACACTATTAATTTTCAGTTACTGGGCTTTATGTTTGGTTGGTTGACTTTCTACCACCAGGGCCACGAAGTAGCCAAGGACTTCAAACCATACATGACGGAATTGCAGTTAAAAATACAAAAAGTTAGTATGCTCACAGACAACAATCTATTTGAAACATAATTACATATATCTAAGATAAAAAGACTTGTCCGCTGATCCAATGATTTTATCCACTGACTTTGTTCTACATTTTCATCTATTTTGAAAAACAAAAGTTCTGTGATTTGGACATCAATTACTAATCGCGTTCAGTTTTTACTGACCCATTCGATTATTTCAAAGTAATGATGAATTAATGATTGATTGCTGTGATTAATCGAATAGTAGACGATAACACCAGCATGACAATATGTGATGCTTGACTAATTCTCGACTTTTTTTTTATTCCTCTTTGTCTCTACCGTGTGTGTGTGTGTTCGCAAGACTAGAGAGAATTTTCTTGCCACGCGGGATAAAACCGAGTCGCTTATGAATAAAATGAAGGACATGAAGAAGGTACGTCTTTTTTTATCAGCCTTTCTCTTAATTTTTTCAATTTAATTGGACAGTTTTAACTTTTCATTATTATACTGCAATACTTTATTTTTTTTATTTCTCCTTCTCTAATACCTAGCTGAGCATCAGCAGCTAATCATCAATAAAAATAAAAATTGAGGCTAGTAGCAGAGCTTTGAATAGTTATTTTAGTATCTTTTTGATCCATTGGAAATAACTCATACTCGTTAACTCTAATATTTTTCACTTATCACAATAATAATAAGTAACTGTCAATAATTTAATTTAATTTTACTTGTATGAATGTTTAGTCCGCTGTGGAGACTGGAATAAACAAGTCAAATACTTGTGAGGGATATTTGTTTTTAATGGAAAAGAGTAAGTTTGTCATATTTTGTCATTGTTGAAATTGTAATATTATTATTACTATAATTTTATAGTTTGTGTATTTCTTGATTTCATTGCTATGTATGTTTTTTTTTTTTACATTTAAATTGCAGAAGCCTTTGGTACAACATGGAACAAGCAATATTGTACATATCAAAAAGACAAAAAGGAATTTACAATGATACCTTACAATCAATTGACAGGAAAATTCGTAAGTATAAAATCTAATTTCAATTATAAATAGTTATTTAATTGTCATTATAGAATTATTCTATTTCCTTTTATAGAGTAGTAAAGAAACGTTACGACTTGCATCATGCGTTAGACGAATGTCTGATACTATTGAGAAAAGATTCTGCTTTGATATCACGGCAGTGGATAAGTATGTGCACAGTTTGTATAGCTAACAAACTTTTTATAAGTTATTGAATATTCTTATCAATTAGTTTACTTGAATTTTACAGGCCAGGTATCACTTATACATTCCAAGCGCTGTCTGATAAGGATCGTAAACTTTGGATGGATGCTATGGACGGAAAAGAGCCAGTAAGTCGAAATTTGTATAAATAATTAATAATTATTAATTTTTACAACAATTTTCATATCTACCCGGTAGACCTACGCCATGCAAGGTCCTTCTGTGAAATCTGAGGAAACGCTTCTCGACGAGACAGGATTTGCATTTGTCTCTAAGTGTATCACAGCACTGGAGGATCGTGGTAGGTTTTTTAATTTACTTATAAATTTAGACAAAGGGATGATCAATTCTATTGATCGTCAAGACTTTTTGAAATTAAATCTGGATTTATGTATTTTTCAGGATTGGAGGAGCAGGGCTTGTATCGTGTGGTAGGCGTGACGTCAAAAGTTAACAAGCTTCTGGCGATGGGCTTAGACCGCAGGAAATTCGAGAAACTCAGCCTGGAGGACCGGTTCGAGTGGGAGAGCAAGACGATTACGAGCGCTTTGAAGACGTACCTCAGGACCCTCACCGAGCCGCTGATGACATTCCGCTTCTACAGCAGCTTCATCGCAGCCGCCAGTGCGTATTGCTATTACCTACTAAGTCCACTGGGATGCGCTTGGAATGGCCGAATTTTACTCCCTGTAGAAGCTCGCCGAGTTGCACGATTAAAAGCGTGTACATGAATGTTGTCTGTCTGAATTCTCACAGAGCAAGAGACTAAGGAGACAAGGATCAGCGATATCCATATGCTCGTCTATCGACTGCCTAAACCGAACTTTAACATGCTTCTTCTGCTCATCAATCATCTTCGCAAGTAAGATCAAGCAAGGATCCAGCCTGTTACGTCCTCTTCAACGATCTTTAATATTGTTTCAAATAATATCAATGCTGCTGTTCCAGCGTGGCCAAGAAGAGCGATAAGAACTTGATGACCGTTGGCAACCTAGCTGTCTGCTTCGGACCAACATTACTACGTCCAGAAGAAGAGACGGTGGCGTCAATAATGGATATCAAGTTCTATAACATCGTCGTTGAGATTCTTATTGATAACTGCGAGAGGATAGCACGCGGACCACCTCCTCCATCGCAACTACTTCCTACGGTTCCTATTTCCACAGTGAAACCTATGAGTAGTGAATTGACAGATGCTACTGGCAATGGCACTAGTCTTATGGCAAGATTTTCATCCCATGGAGCCATTCCAGCCTCCTACGCTCACGTAAGTCTTCTTCCGTTATGCTAGAAGACACAAACAACATTTTTTTAATAAAGCAGAATGAATGTTAACCAATCCTTTTTTTAGCTGGTCACTCGATCTTACCACGATGCACCTGTTTCCGTGGTAGGACCGAGTTCCTTGGACGACAGAAAAAATGGTGACTACAAGGATATGGAGCATTCTTCTCATCGTGCTCCTCACTACGCCGACACTAGAGCGGGTCGGTCGGGAAAGTTAACCAATGCCAATTTTATGTATCATTCCTCAGATAAAGGTAGGCACTCCAATAATCTCCAACCATATGACGGATCTCTTTAAATTGAAATGGTTAATTTGTATCGATTTTTTAATTATAGTTACTGCTGGAGGAGGGAACACCAGCAGTTCCAGCGAATCGGTTGCCTCCGACCCACATCCCTTCACTTCGGATTTGCCGATTAAGCAAAAACGTGGATCTATGATGGGAATACATTATCCATCAGGATATCCTGCCAGAACAAATCCACCGCTATCAATGTAAGTTAAGGATTTTAAGCGTTGATTAAATTTAATATGATAATATATTATTTTCTGTCTTATTTATTATTGAACAGAGTGAACACTTCGCCTAGTAGTGGTAGGTCGAGTCCTGGTCAAATGCCAGGAATCTGGTGAGTAGTATCAATAGTATCATGTTTCAATTGTTATATTAATTAATTAATTATAATCATATATTCTAATATCAGGAGAGTAAGAACTCTCTACGCCTGTATGGCAGAAAATGATGGAGAGCTGTCATTCGAACCAAACCAAATCATAACGAATGGTAAGGAAAATAAAATAAAATATTATTCACCTCAGTGAAGTAAACTAAAGTTATACAGATTCTATTTTTATTGTATTCATCATTGCAGTAAAACCTTCGTTGGAGCCAGGTTGGTTGGAAGGTACATTGAACGGAAAAACCGGACTCGTCCCGAAGAATTACGTAGAACAGTTGCCATAATGGGAATAAACAAAAAACCAAAGAGTGCCTGGGCCAATTGAAACGAAGGTAATGCAAAGACGAGAAATATATTAACGAAAAAGGACAAGCAGAAACAGCAATAAAGAGCCATTTTCCGCTGGGACGCCATTCATTTATTAGAGTAAGAAAGGGGAAAAAGCGATGATTATTTCATTACGAGGAAAATCTTCGGGACGTAAAACGATGCGAATTCCATCGCACCTGAAGTGTGAAGTGAAATAAATATATATACACATAAGGAAAATATATAATATCCACACACGATTATACATATATAACGTATCGTCCGGCGGGAGCAACATTTCGCATAGTCAATTATTATTGTATACAATATTTATTTATTGATATATTAGGGATCAGATCCTTGGAAAGGTAACTTGAATGATTGCTTATATATATTATATATATGTATATCAGCTCGAAGGTCTTTATATATATATATATACAAATATTGAATTCATATACATAGGATTAATATATACGATATTTAACCTTAAGTGAAACTCGCTAGGGCAATTCATTGTTGGCAATATTATTATTATTAATACATTACGTGTCATCGGTGATCCGATATAATCGTGGCAATATACATACAATATATTATATGATTACTATTATAATTATTATTACAGTATTGTATAAAGACGCACTCGTTTTAGCAATTTTCAATTGTTGTAATTGTTCGCTCTTAGTGTACGTACGTTCAATTATTATAATAATCACCGCGTTTAAGCACAGCGAAGCGGAAATATGCTCCTCTTATCTTATATATCACTTTTTCCTGGCTCATGAAAATTCTACGGATTTTACAAATCTACATTACACGATGAAAAAATATTTCAGACTTCTGGTTTCTTTAGATATACATATATACATATATATATATGTGTGTATATACACATATATATATATATATTCTTGTTTTCTATTTTCCCGTTAAGCTGATCTTTTCTTTTTGTTTTCTCATTCCTCCTTGAGCTGTATACGAAAATGTTTTGTCACTCCTCTTTAATATTTAGAATTTGTGATTTTCTTCATTGGCGCAATGTTATTTGAAAGTGCATCACAGAGGATATAAGTGATCTTATTGTCGAATTGAGCAGAATATTTACAACTATTTCGGAATGAATATTCTGAAGATAATTTAATGTGGAGCAGTGTAGAGAAAAATATACACGAATACTGTTGCTAACGGGAGCTAATATGATTGATTGTAACTTCATGTTACTGGTAACATTGACTCCAAGCTATTATCATAATTAAATTGACGTCCGAATTTTTTACTTTAAGTTTCAAAAAAACAGCTTAGAAATTATTTAATGAGTTGCCGTCTCGTCGAATCATCTGACATTAAGTATTAGAGAGATCGGTCCTGTTGCGTTTAATTGATAATTGGTTTAACTAAGAGTTATGTGTTGGCTAAGTTCCTGTTTAGTTGCACCAGGTGCATTTCCATTGCGAGATAACCCGCTTTCAGTGAATTTTTCTCGACGTTATTCCATATAGAACTCATGAAGAGTGTGTAACAGAGAACAGCAGTTAGGAGAAATCGAAGTACATTCAATGCTATAGTAACGGCTATAGAGTTTTGGTCCAGTAAAAGGTGCAGTAGTAAAGGCAATATGAGCAGTATCAATAAAAATAGACTTAGCAACAAGTACCACATTCGTCGTCGATGTATGCTAACCAGGGCGGCCTCGCAAATTACCAAGGCCTCCTTTAAAGAATCACGGACGTCAACCTCTTGTACCTCGTAGTGTCCTTTGGTCATCTTTAAAGTCGCTGCTATAGCCTCATGATCGGAGTAACTAAAATTCTTCCCAGGAACACGATTTGGAAATGGTTGCTTGAAGTCTGTCACTTCCACCTGAGTTAAAATCAAAATTTGAGGAATTGTTATTTTCATTTATATCGATTTTGGTGATATACCTTGTAGCGAGATGAGCCTAAGTAAAGAATGTGATCTATTCTATGACCCTCAGGCTTCTTTCTGGCAAAATTAGAACCTGTGTAACTGTTCGTAGCACATTCGTTTGTTCCTTGATTGAAGCAAGATGAATTTGTACAGGCATCCGTTAATTCTCCTATACCACATATTATTCTATAAGCGAGATCTTGTGGCTCTGTATTTAAATCTCCTCCTAGAATTACAACATCCGAACCACCCTTGGTCATTCTAATGAACTGAGCTGTGTCGAAAGCCTGAAGGACTCTATGGGCAGTGTACTCATCATTCTCTCTATCGTATTCTGCATGAAGCTGAATGAAAATATTTTGTTAGCTTGATTATGAATATTAAAAAATATAAAGAGAGTATTCATATGAAACATACATGTGCAACATAAATATTAACTTTAATGTTTTTTATTTTAAGTCTGCAGAGCCCTATGCCTTTACCACCAAACCAGTCCCCATGGTGGATTTTGTGGACGTAACCATTAAGTGGCCATCTGTGAAACATTACATCTTGAATTTGATAACGAGAAAGTATACAAATTCCAGAACCTAAAACTCCACTGAAAAGAAATTAATATTTATTAAAATACTTAATATTAAATTCTATGATATTGATATGGATAGTTTGACAATGGATTACCTGTAAAAGTAATGAGAATATGGTAGACACTCTTGTGCTTTGGCTTTTAACATTTTAAAATCATCCACGGACCATACTTCTTGAAGGCATACAATATCATATTCACCATCGGCTAATTTTTCTGCAATAGCATTCATTCTAGCTGATCTATTTTTTGATATGTATGGAATTCCCCTGTGCGAAAATAAAATTTTAAACAATCATATAAGAAATCAACAATTCTTGGTATCAACATTATAAATGGATAGAATTCCTAATTATTTTTACTTACCAACAATTTAATGTTAAGAGTCTAATACTTGTAGCATCCGTCATTTTTACAACAATATTTTATATTAAATGCAAAGGAAGGAACTATCAAACAATATAAATGAATAATAAACTATTTTGGTCCAGCTGGCTAATAACCATTATTGAAAAACTGTCAAACCATTACTGGCTGCATTCAGTAGACACAGTCCTGCAAAAGCAAACACACCTGATACTCTGCGTCCTCGGTTCATTTTCGAACACACCTGTCATCTTCGGACACGTAAAAATGCTTGCACGAACGAACGGATCTATAGGCGTTGCTATAGGTTGCGTTCGGCAGAAACACGGCTTAGAGCCTATTCACACTGGTCCAACGCGCGTTAGTACGCAGACTGTCGACCAATGGTATAACAGGTCCAGAGGAATTCATGCTGTGTTATTAGTCGAGAGTTGCACATGTGACTGGACCCTTATAGCAGCAACTACAAAAATGTCTACCGCCACGTCCCATTGTAGAATGGGCTTTGGAAAAATGGACATTGGTCTAGAGTAGAAAGATAATAATTAAGCTCATATAATTAATTAATAAGTAATAAAAGTCAAACAAAATACAAAATATAATTTAAAGTAAATCTATAACACAACAATTCTCATATAATTAACAGCTGCAACTCTAGTCGATACATGTAAACATGGCTTAAACTTTCCTCTTGTTTCCGATATTGGTGAAAGTCAGAGAAAGCAGACTTGAATTTTGTAAAAGGAAAGCGGGATGGCGGCTAACCTATCTGATGTTCAGTTATCAATAATTTTGTAAATTAATAGGATTCTTATATCCTTATTTTAAGAAATGGAGAAGACAGAACAGAAGTCGTCAGAACCCCTCCTCGCCACAGTGAAAATCGAGCCACCCGATTTAAATGGATCAAAGGAAGTTCAACAGTGTCAACTTCAGACAACCTCGAATGAAGAAGAGCTGGAGCAAAGAATAGAATGTACTACGGATAGCCAGGATACTGAGCTGCGTTCGTTTTTATCTAAATGTGTATTTTGTGGGAAGAATTTCGGTGCTATTGATGATCCTAAACTTTTGGAGTGCCTTCACGCTGCTTGCTCTGGCTGTATTACAAATAAGCTTAGTGATCACAATACTTCAGTTGATGTCGACGTTGTTCGTTAGTATACTGTATATCTTAATATTATTACGATAAAATTGAAGTCTGACCATTTATATAAATTATTTTGATGACAGTTTGTATAGCATATTATTAAGAATGTCTTCCTAAGGTCATTCTGATTTTGTCAATAATGAATTGGAATATTTTTTAAAGGGTTTTATAGTTGTTTAGAGTTCTTAAATGATTTAATATGTTTCCAGTGGAGAGCCATGTTATTGTGTGTCACATTTGCAATGTAACAAGCCATGCAGAGAATCTTATTGAAAATAAGTTCCTTGCAAAACTTGGTGAGGATGAGTTGATTATTGAGGAGGAGAAAGATGAAGATGAGAAGAAATGTACAAGTTGTCATGATGACGCTACTGCCACAAGTTGGTGTGTCGAGTGTGAAGAATTTATATGTCAAAACTGTGTAATGGTAAGACTATATATTTAAACTTGAAAAAAATTATATTTTTTCTGACAAAGTTGCACAGAAACAACTTTTCATCTATCCACTTTTAAAATTGACAGGCTCATCAGAGATTAAAAATAACAAAAGATCACACTATAAAACCTAAGAATGAAGTTGCTGTTGATGAAGAAAATGGAAAGAAAAATCCTAAGAAACAAACTGGCTACTTATTTTGTACCGTTCACCAACAAGAACAATTAACACTGTTCTGTCAAACATGTGATAGATTGACATGTAGAGACTGTCAATTGACAGACCATAGAGATCACAAATACAAATTCATTCATGAAATAGCTTTGGAAACACGCACTTCTGTTTCAACATTATTGAAAGAAGTTAGGTTAAGTATCGTATCAGTATATAAGCTTGAACTCCATGTTTGCTTAAGAAAGACACAGTTTGAGAATAGTTTTCTATTATCTTTAGTTACAAGAGAGTTTTACTAAAAAGCGCTATGAAAGTGATTGAGGATCGGCAGATTTTGATTTTGGAAAAAAAGAAAAGCCTTGTTCAAGATATTACACAAATGGTGGTTCAGTAAGTATTTTTAATACTGGTTAAAAGTTACAATGACGTAATCATTTATTTATCTGCCACAGATTAACAAATGCAATTAATACAAGAGGTAAACAATTAGTAATGAGATTGAATGAGGTTTGTGATCAAAAACAGAATACGCTGAATGAAAAAAAAGTAGCTCTTGATCAGTTGTCTAAATTAACAGATCATTGCATACAATTTGTAACCAATGCTTTAGAGAAGGGGTCAGACATGGCGTTACTTTATAGTAAAAAGTAAGTGAAGTCCATATAAATTCATTAACACTAGATTTACCATCTATTTATTCATTTTGACTGGTACTGGTATAAATTTCAATAACAAAAATTATATTTGTTACTAATGTATATAAAATAACATTAAGTTTATAAAATGTATTCTCTACTTATAGCTACAAAAGTCATAACATCATTTCTGAAATCAAATGATATATGTAGTAGGAATTTTGAATTGAAATTGCACGACCAGTCAAAATGACTGGTCTGGTAAATCTAGTGTTAAATTCTATTCTATTATTCTAATATACATGTAAATGACTGACATTTCCAAATTTAGATCTGTTACAGGACATTTGCAACGAATAAAAAGTAGAAGAGCTGATATTCCAAATCCTGAGATTCCTGTTAGAATACATTTGTGCTTAGAAAAAGTGCCGGATTTAATAAAAGGTAAAGACCTAAGACTTATTAAAAATGAATTGCATTGATTTATATTAATATATTTTTCAGTCGTTTCATCCATCGGAGCAGTTGTAGTTGATGGAAGGGTATATCCTTCTGTATCACCTTCATCTGGACCAAATACTTCATCAATTTCATTCAATGATCAGGATCCGAAGTCTTCTTTACCCACGCCAGTTACTGATACAATTCCAGCTCTTGTTCCAACGACACAGCAAGGAACCCTTCCACAATATCAGCATCCTCTCTACATTCAGCAGCAACCACATATGGGTCATTACTCCCAGCATGGACTCCCATCAAGATCATCCCCACAAACCCAAACTCAACGAGTACCATACACCTTAAACATGAGTCGTTCGCAGCAGCAGCAACAGCCTCTTCAGTTACGAGGCATGCCAGGATGCCAGCAACAAGTGACATCCTCTACGCATCCTCATCAACAACTTCACCTAGACCATCTTTCGCAGAATGCTAGTCTTCGCGGACTCCTGGCACACAATCCTACACCGTTCCGTGCAGGGGTACCATCTCTACCGTACAGACCACCTCCTAGTTATAGGTATCCTGCATCAAATCCACAGCGGGCACCGTCTTATCAACCAGGAGTCCGGATGCAGTCAGCACCAGGTTCATCATTCACACAACATCCTAGTTTCTCAATACAGCAGCAACAAGCGCGATGGCATATACCGCAGAACCCTTGTGTACCATCGTATTATTCTATAAGACCCACAGCACCGGCTACTACAACCATGGCAGCCCCAGCTAACGACGCATATAAGATAACTCTAAAAAATCAGAACCACACGCAAAAGGCACCAGGAAATCCCACGGAGAATGCTGGCCAGTCTTCGGGTTCCTCTGTAGGTCACACTGTCAGTTCATCTGTACCAAAAACACCAAGTCCTGTTTCTTCGAAAACTGACGACACCGAGAAGAGTTTAGATAAGTTTTGTCAGAAATCATTGAACGATCTCATGCTGACTATTGCGAAATTAGACAGTAATGGAATAGTCGTTATTCCTGAGGCACAAAGGAATCAGCTGGACGGCAGTCAAGTCGACAGCTCAACCGATGAAGGTGTTAATTCTCTAGGTGACAATACCTCCGGTAAGATATTAAGAAATTTTTTATTGTCAACATACTTGTACGCATCTACTGTTGAAAAAGTAAATTGCACTACTCGTGACTTTTTTGGCTATATTCGCAATAGATAATTCAAAGAATCCTGGCGCGTGCATGCCAAAAGATGATCCAAATGAAGATTGGTGTGCAGTCTGTATGGATGGTGGGGATGCAGTATTATGCTGCGATAAGTGTCCTAAGGTCTTCCACTTGTACTGTCATATTCCAAAGCTCAAATCATTCCCAGAGTAAGTCCTTATGATATGTATGTATATGATGCTAGATATTTTACTTTATGGTAATTTACAGTGAGAGTGAAACTTGGCAGTGCATGCTATGTACAAATGTCCTGGATTGTTCTGAAGATCCTCCTCTTGAAAAAAGGCCAAACTGCATGACTCCTAGAGAACTGAGAATTGCTCAGAGGATTGTTCTAGAACTATATTGTCAATACGAGCAGAGCCTCCCGTTCCGCGAAGTAGTTAGTCCTGATGTAAGTTAATACAAAATTACTAATTTTTAACATTATCTTTCACCTTTCCAAAGTAGGAAGTATTAAATAATTGTGCTATATCTTTGCAGATGGTAGAATACCACCGTATAATCAAGAAACCAATTGCCCTAGATATCATTAGAGATAAATTGACACCAGATCATCCCAATCATTACACAGATTTAAGACAAGTAATGTCCGACATACGTCTCATGTTCAAAAATGCCTTTACGTACAATCCAGTAAGTTTAATCAGCAGTTTAATATAAAAAGTGTTCAACGAAGAAGACCAGAGTTTAAGCATAATTTTATCAAATTCAAGGTGGAGTCACTGGTTTACCAGGAAGCAAGAAACCTGGAGGAGTTCTTCGAAAAACTCCTATTGAAGTGGGCTCCAAGTTACGCCTACGACGATCCATTTTTAACTGCTGAAGGTGATGAAGAGGAGGAAGTTTTTCCTCCAAACCGAAAATATCGTCGCATTATCAACGATTAATCCATTAGTCTTCGTATAAATACACTAAAATAAGAATGTCTCATCGGATATGATTCACAGTTCATTATAAAATCCATAGTCTTTGTATGAGAAGTTTCATAAATTAAGAAACTCTCATTGGTTTTCTATCGAAGACTATTATTATTTGTAAATAATTTAGGACGCAACATAATAATAGGGACTCGTATGTATATGTACCGGTTTTACGATGCATTATTTGATCAATATCCTTGGCTACTTTGATTTCTATTTACTTTTTTCATACTGTGACTATGTATTTAGTATATCAGGAACACATACTTACTCGAAAAATTGTATAATTGAATCTTAGGGGCTGGTGACATTTTTAAATAATAAGTTATTTATTAATTTCATTTATTCAACAGTATACTGTCGAGACTTATTGACGCTGTACTACTTTATTTAGTTTATCATCCTTTTATAAATCAGTTTTCTTGTTATGTGGAGGGTCTATTTGATGTTACTTTGAAGTTAATTAAATTAATTGCTCTTATTATTATTATTTTATCGTTCATACATACATTTTCTGCGAATCCCCGAACTTATAGCAAGCTATTCTTTCCAGTAATAAAGCTAATATAGGTATAACGTCTTCTGCATGTGTTCTCACACCTAAGTTTTGTCATGAAAAACAGTATAGCATACCAAATAATTTAAAGAAATAAAAATATTTAGATATAAATGATATTTTTTGTAAAAGAAAAATAGTAATTCATTCATAATTTACTCGTCTTAATATTTATTTCTAACTCCTCTTTCAATAAAGTTTTGAACTTGCGACTCCAACATAGCTTTTCAGAAGGCTCTCTTATTACAATGCAACGTTTTTCGGATTTTTCGTGGATTCGCTCGATTCCATGCATGTGTTCATAAGGGCCATAAGCAGCCATAAGATAAGCACGCGGTCTGTTCAGTAAAAATGGTTCGTAAGAAAATAGATAACCGTGTAAGGGTTTTAATTGAGAATGGTGTTATCGCCGGTCATAGGACAATGTTTGTCGTCGTGGGAGAAAAAGCGAGAGATCAGGTAAACGAAGACATTTTAAATTTTGACAGAAATTCTAAAATTTGATCGCAGTACAGGTTACGGTGTTTAGGTTATTTTTATATTTATTGCATAAATAGGTATACATTTAATTTGTACTGTATTTAAAAGATTTAATACTTATTAACTAATATTTTGTTAATCTGCAGACGAATACTAATTTGTTTCTACAGTATTGATTGTGGCAATTACAGTGGGCACGAAGTTAATTAGTATAAAGTCTTGCTTACTATTTATTAACTTGTTCTTTCATATTGACAGGTTGTTATACTACATCACATGCTTTCAAAGTCTGTGGTAAAGGCTCGTCCATCAGTTCTCTGGTGCTATAAAAAGGAGCTGGGCTTCAGCAGTCACCGTAAAAAGAAAATGAAGTCGCTCCAGCGAAAAGTAAAGTCTGGTAAATTAGACGTTAACGAGGACGATCCATTTGAGTTATTCGTTGTTTCTACAAATATTCGTTACTGTTACTACAATGAAACACACAAAATTCTGGGTAATACCTATGGCATGTGTGTACTACAGGTAATAAAGCAAAACTAATAAAGTCATATCATTATATTAAATGCCTTCTCTAACAACTAAATACTTGTCCTGTCAGGATTTTGAAGCACTGACCCCAAATTTACTTGCCAGGACAATAGAGACTGTCGAAGGTGGTGGTCTTGTGATCCTTTTACTCCAATCCATGAACTCTCTTAAACAACTGTACACTATGAGCATGGATGTGCATCAGAGATTCAGAACAGAGGCCCATCGAGATGTAGTGTGTAGATTTAATGAGAGATTCCTCTTATCTCTAGCATCTTGCAATAGGTGTCTTGTAGTAGACGATCAGTTGAGAGTTTTACCATTGTCATCACAAAATTTGAAAATTGAACCTCTTCCTAAAGCTGGTGCTACTGAGGAGCAGCAAGAACTTATCTCTCTGAAGGAGAGTCTACGGGATACCCAACCGGTTTCTGCCCTTATCAATTGTTGCAAAACCGTCGACCAGGTATGCACTTAAGAAGCATCTAATATAAAACCCAAATCAAACGAATTGTTATTTTACTATAGGCAAAAGCTCTCCTCAAATTTATTGAAACTATCTCAGAGAAGACTTTAAGGTCTACAGTATCCTTAACTGCTGCTCGAGGTAGAGGAAAATCAGCAACTATGGGGCTTGCTGTTGCTGCGGCGGTGGCTTTTGGATATTCAAATATTTATATATCGAGTCCAAGTCCTGAAAATCTTAACACATTCTTTGAGTTTGTTTTTAAAGGTAATATTTGAATACACTATATTACTATTCTTTGCACTGCTCACATAAATTGTATACAATCTTTTCTTTTCGAATTTAGGGTTTGATGCTTTGGCTTATCAGGAACATTTGGATTATGGATTAGTACAGTCTACTAATCCCGAATTTAATAAAGCTACTGTTCGTGTAAATATCTTTAGGGATCACAGACAAACTATTCAGGTACTCATACAATTTTATGCTTATTACATTTTTTGGTTTATCTCTTCTTACATAAGTAATAAAGAAACAAATAAATATTCCTTGTTTCTAATTTCAAGTATATTCATCCTACTGATGTACATAAACTAAGTCAAGCGGAGTTGTTAGTTATTGATGAAGCAGCTGCAATTCCTTTGCCATATGTTAAGGCAATGCTCGGCCCCTATTTAGTCTTCCTTGCTTCTACAATTAATGGGTGAGCAGTTTGTTTAATATTCGGAATATTTACATTTCAATTGGAAGTAATTAATCGAGCATGAAACGTTTTTAAAGATACGAAGGTACCGGCCGATCGCTTTCATTAAAATTACTCCAGCAATTGCGCTCGCAGACGTCACCTGGAAATACTCATGAAAAATCGAGTAAGAACAGTGAAAAAAATGCAGTCGTGGGACGGCAGCTGCACGAATTGACACTTGAGGAATCAATCCGTTATAAATCAGGCGATTCGGTAGAGCAATGGCTGTGCGATTTGCTTTGCTTAAATGCAGCTACGCAGGCTCCAATATTGTCTGGTTGTCCACCGCCTGACACTTGTCAATTATACTACATAAACCGGTAAATATTTTTTTACAAAAATTATACAATGATTATTGTGGTCAATAACAAATAAATTGTTTACCAAAATATTTTGTAGAGACACGTTATTCTCTTATCACAAGGCATCCGAATTATTCTTGCAAAGGCTTGTGGCTCTGTACGTCGCCTCTCACTATAAAGTAAGACCAAATTTATTAAACTATAATCATTTTGATAATAAATATTGGTAAAGTATTATGTAATTGGTTACAGAACACTCCAAATGACTTGCAAATGATGTCTGACGCTCCGGCACATCATCTGTTTTGTTTACTTGGACCAGTCGATCCGAACAGGAAGTCACTACCTGAGATATTAGTAGTCATTCAAGTAAGTAAATCTATCATCTATTATTTCGTGCTCTAAAACTATTCTAATTTGTTATTTAATTCTGAAAAATTATTTTCTTTAGGTTTGTCTTGAGGGAGAGATCAGTAAGGCCACCATTGTCGATGGACTTGGTCGAGGTCGACGTGCAGCTGGTGATTTGATACCCTGGACAATGGCCCAACAATATCAGGATCAAGATTTTCCTACTCTTGCTGGTGCAAGAATTGTTCGTATTGCTACTCATCCAGATTACCATGGAGTACGTTAATCATCCACTAATTAATATTTAAATAAGAAATCTTAACATTTGATAATTTATTACTTATAAATGTATCTCTCACTAAATTTATTTAGATGGGATACGGAAGCCGTGCTCTGGAATTGCTAAGACAGTATTATGAATTAAATATTCCCAACATTGAAGAGACATCTGAGGAAATCTCAGTAAACCCTGAGATTACAAACGTCCAGGATGAGGACATTGGACTATTGGAAGAGACTATTGGTAAGTTTACCTATTATTTACGACCAAGTTTAATTAAGCAATTAAACAAATAATAATATTGCAGAACCGAGGGCTTCATTACCACCGTTACTTTCAAAACTAAGTGAACGGAAACCAGAGCACTTGGATTACATTGGAGTCTCATTCGGCTTGACGGAATCTCTGTTAAAGTTTTGGAAAAAAGCAAAATTCATTCCTGTCTATTTAAGGTACACTATGAACGTTCTACCCAAAATATGTACTATTATCGTTTTACCATTCCTCATTTTCAATTATTTAGACAAACAACGAATGACATAACAGGAGAACATTCCTGCATAATGCTCAGTAAACTTAATCCAGAAAAGGATGAGTCCGATTGGCTCGAATCATATTGGCGAGATTTCCGTCGGCGTTTCATCAGCTTATTATCTTATTCCTTCAATTCATTCTCACCATCATTGGCTCTCAGTGTACTTGTTAATCGTACAATCAATACAGTACCAACAAGTAAGTATTCAAAACCATTGCCCAAGTAATCTGCAGCATTAGTAAGTATCTGTGTAAATATTCTAGCTCTGACGAAGGATACTCTGGACGTTTACTTTACCTCGTACGACTTGAAACGATTGGAAATGTATAGCAACAACATGGCAGATTATCATTTAATAATGGACTTATTACCGAGTCTTGGTAAATTATATTTCTTAAACCTAATGGGAGATTCGCACTTCTCACCTGTACAGGCTGTAAGTCTTATAATTCGTGATTCAGACTGTCTGTTATATTTCTTTTAATAAGTAATATAAACAAATATTTCTTTTGTCGTTAGGCTATTCTCTTGGGACTAGGTCTTCAGCACAAGACAGTAGACAAGCTCAGCGAAGAGCTAGGCCTACCCTCTTCCCAATTGCTCGGTCTCTTTAATAAAATTATTCGCAAATCTGTGAAATATCTGAATGACATAGCGGAAGCGTTTGTGGAAAGTAAAATGTTGCTGCCGGATAGAAAGAACGACATTACTTTGGATCCATCAAAGGGTCGCGGTTTACAAGAGGAATTGGAAGAGGCTGCCAAGGTATAGATTTTTCCGTAGTAACATTGATTTCTTGTTTCTGTAATATTCTGATCTCTTGCACGTTGTAATCAATTCTCTTTCAGGCATTAAAAGTCAAGCAGAAAGCTGAGCTCGAAAGACTCAAGAAAGAGAATCTCGATCAATACGCCATAAAAGGTACGGATACTGAATGGAGCAAAGCCCTTTCCGGTAAGAAAAATAAAAGTTTAATATCCGTAAAGATCGGCGAGAAGAGGGCGACCAACGAGACGGACGAAACTCCACTAGAATTTCCACAGAAGGAGAAGAAGAAGAAGAAACGATTCTCTAAATAGTTATTAATCGTTCGAATATATTTTCATCTACGTTTAACGTTAACATTGTAAAATAAATATGGATATTTAAAAAGTAATCGTTTCTTTTTCGTACCTGAAATTTCTCTACAAATCTTTATCGATTCGACGGGATTTTTCATTCATTGAATGGGTAAAATAATGACTGTGATTATTTATTGTAAAAGTTATATCACCATTTGTATTCTCATAAAATATTTTCAAAATACACTTTTAGTAACAAGTAAATAGTCTCTCGTGATTTGAATTGACTGTGTATACTATATGTAAAATAACATATGTATACGTACATATATATATGTATATATTTATATAATTTATATATATTTATTTCATATAAATTACTGGAACGTTTCTGCACAATACCTTGTACTTATCGAATCGCCTAACTAAACAGTAGTAAATAAGTACCGAGCATTTGCAAGCGTTAAATAGAAAGTAGTATTTTTAATATTAACATAGCGCAAGACGATTAACCAATTAAACGAATGAAGAAAGCGTTTAATTAATTAATCAAAGAAAAACGTAACCTAACAATTTTATAATAAATTCCATAGCTCGCCTGGCAGACCATTGTCACGATACGCTCGAGTTTTTAAATAAGAGAATCAGGTAATTATTTAAAATAGCTTATCGGCCACGCGTTATTAACCTCTATATTAACAATAAATACAAAATGTATATATATACACATATACATATATATGGCAAGATTAATCAAGAGTGGCTGCAAAACAATTTTTCTTTTTTCTTCGTTATCCCGGTATAATATGTATACATACTTCTTTTTCTACCTCATCCACTCGTCTCGTTAATACTTAAACGCCGTCTCTTTTCATATTGCCAGGCGAATTTTAGGCGCAGTCGAATAATTTCACGACGTATTTCCATTGTTTTTCGGTCAATATAATTAATTGCAATTCTCAGTTTAATATGCGCAGGTAGAAGCTTTAAGGAATTCTTAGTAACTTAGTGTTATTTGTATTACACAAGTCCCCGCGATAGTACCAGCTTCACATTAGTTCGTGTCTCCCTTATATAAATGCATTTCTATTGCTCTTTATATACTTCTTACTTATTACATCACATTGAAAACCATTCTATGGGAATCACCTCAACTAAGCTTCCTTTAGAGAGACAAGAGAAACAATAAGTTAACGATCAAATAAATATTCAACTACGTAGTTAGTAATATGACTCGCGAAAGCTTTTCAATGCTGCAAACATTGTGCTTAATTATAGGTAACTACTTAATAATTAAATTATAATAATTAGTGCCTAGAGATTTGAAAAAAGAGGCAATCCTTATTCATTGATTTTTAATTGATTTTACTTGACAGCAGAAACACAGTGAAATCATAGAATAATAGGGGAGAGAGAGAGAGAAAGAATAGAGAGGAAGAAAGCATTAAAACTAATCAAGATAATTAAATTAATATATGGCATCATTGTACTGTGCGAAATGCAACTGAAAACATCATGCTAGTACCTTGAGGAATGATAATAAGGTTAAATAAAACCGATAAGCAATTGCATACTTTTTCAAGCTCGAGGGAATATCCACATTTTTATCTCACAGCGGAGCATCTTAGAGATCTCGTAATAATGACTGAAATCGAGGAGGACCTCTACAAAGAGGTAAAAGAAGGTTGGCATTCTTTTTTAAATCTCCAGTGTCTTTTCCAGGAGACGCCGAAGATAACTTCTTAAGAAAAATTATTATCGAACCGAGCACCGAAGTGAATTGACTCAATGATATTTCATCGTCAAACACGTATCTGTTAAATTACCAATTAGTAAGCTGTTTCGTAATTCCTTATGAACTGACAAGCGACGGCTGATCGACCTCAGGTCGACTGTCTGGTGTCGTCACATTCACTGGAGTTAAAAGTTCATGTGGCTTATCCATCCCCCATTCGCTTTCCGGATCGGAAAATATATTGGAACCGTCCAAGACATCATCCTCCAAGGATATATCTGACAAATCGTCCATGCTTCTCTGATGATCGTCAGTGTATAGGGACTCCGTGACAACTACGAATAATATGTATTTTCTTATTGTTCATAAGAGGATATTAAAATCCTATAAGTTATATTTAAAAAAGAACTAACCATCGGCAAATGTATGCTGAGAAAGCCACGTTGGCTCGTCCCAATCATCAAACTGAAGCTTCATGTTGGTCTCGACTTCCTCAGGCGAAAATAGCGCGTGCTTTTCAGTGTCTGTCACATCGAATATCTCCGTAACCTGTACTTTGTTATTATCGTCCATGTAATAATAAGCCATCAGAGCTTCGTGATCAGACGTGACCTGCACACAGAATGGAAACAGATGATTATCAGGACGAAAAGCTTTGCGAATTAGACATTTGAAGATATAAGTACCTTAAGTATATTTTCAAATGTATCGTCCACAGATGGTAAATCTGACATATTTATTACGCAGTTCGATTCCTTTCTGTATTTTTGTCTGAAAAAAAAGAATATAGGAAAATATAAACGCTATTAATTGATGCAACAATTGGGGTTTGTCCTCCTTGAATTTATACACTCACAATTCGTTATACTGAAGGGTCAAATTAAGGTTCGTCTTCTGCTTTCTGTATGGATCCTCAGTGGCTTCGATATTGTATATATCTGTAAAGGGAATAAATCAATAGTCATAAAGATATTAAGGTTTAATTAATTAATCAAATATGAAGTGGTTATCGCACTTCAATTAAGAATTTGAAGGACTTACTGGAGCCATACTCGGTGATGGCCAATTGACACTTGATCGTTTGCGGCATCGGCTGATAATAAACGTTAATACCAGGGAAAAGTACAGACAGCTGTTCCAGAAAGTATCGGCTTATCTCCAAAAAGTTCTTTCGCAACTTAGGAGCATTCAATATGCACCTGAACACAATCAAAATGCAAAATAAAAATTGAATTAATATTTCATTAATTTATGACTGTTGTAAATCGCTTATACTTATGGACATTGGCAATAACGATACACCCCCAGCAGGTACAATAACAAAAAGGATGTATAATTTAATTATGAAAGTGAGGGATAGATGAAAAGATAACAAAGCACAGCAAATGATAGAAGCAAATTCGCCTTGCTAAACAATAATAACAATCAAACCATTTAAACTTGATCAAAGTATGCAACATACAGTGAAATAAAAAAAAATTGGAATAAAGACAATAAGAAGAAGTCAATACAGTCCAAAAAATGTGTAGTAATAATCTAATCAGTTTTTTCAAACTGTTGGACAAAAAAAATTGTTCACTGCACTGGCGTATTGCTATGCTTTTAATGCCCTTGAAAATTCCGTTAAATGCATAATCAATATCAGCCTCTTATCAAATTATACGAGTCATCTGTCTCAGTCTGGAAGATAAAGTTGAAGATGAAACGTAGCGAGTAAAAAAGTCAATGTATAATTTTAGAATCGTTCAGTCATATGCGCCGCCAATATAATATAATAAAAATAAATGCAATCGACCCGGTGTACATTCAACAAATATATATATAACGACTGCGCAGACTAAAAAGAAGAAAAAAAAAGAAAATAGGAATAAAAAGAGAGTATAAAATTTAAAGAAAAGAAAGATACTGCAATGTATCCACAGAGCTTTGCTTACCCCGAGGGTGATGCCAAGTGCTTAGCGCAAGCGATCGCCTGCTGGGGAGTACGAAGAGCATTTCCAATTACTTTGTATTCCAAGGTACGCGTCTCTACCTTGTTATCAATCAAGCTACACCAACCACATGCTCGAAGTTAGATATAAAAGTATTTAGTGCGAAGATGAAGCAAATAAAACTAAGTCTTTGCAATGATAGAGAAACAAAATCACCACGACATAAGAAAGTAGAATCAAGTTAATCGTTAAAAGCTTATTTAACAACGTCGAACAGAGTGTAATTTGAGCTCATAAGAATCGACATTGTCTATCCCGATAACATAGATTTCTTAGTATGCAAATAGTAAACAGATAATTTCTAATGTTTCGATTTTCTAATGTGTTTCTTTAGTACACAGTGCCAGTAATGGCAAATAAGATTTTTCATGGGGTTACATGAGTTGTGACTGCCGTGGTGATTCGTCTGTGCGCCATGGAAAACGCATAATTAGTACAAGATTATTAAATAAATGTTTACGGTGAGACTGTATACACATGCGAGCGAAAGAAAGAAGTTATATTAGTAATGCATGCACGTGTCGAGTTTTGTGAGGTTGAAAACCTGCAATGTCATTTTGTACGATCAAATGTTTAAATAAGATTACTTTTCAATCTCGCAAAAGTCACTTGTGCTGTGTTAATTGCAAGCTGCTGTTAAGGAGTATCGAAGCCATGGCGCCAAGTAGAATAATAAAAGGGGAAAAAAAAGAAACAGAAATCTATTTCTAGCAGAAACTACTTACTTCGTAAATGTGGCGTACACTACATCGGCAGGCAGTGTATACGGCAGACTGAGAAGTGAAAGAAGCTTTACACTTTTATGTTTAAAGAGCCAATTGATAAGGCCTTTATTTGCTGAGTCAATGGCATCCTGAAATATTGTCATGACAGTCTCTGGTAAGTTGGCCACCAGTGCTTCCTGAAAGAAAAAGATTAATGAAATTCTGTTTTCTAATAAAGAGTGAGGGGGATACCATTTTTGTAAAATCGCGTTATTTACCTGTCTGTGAATTTTACACTCAAGACACTCAGGATCATACTCCATACTGTCGTCAAGAGTCTCGGATACAACGAAGGTTGACTGTACTGCGAGACATCTTGTGCAATTAATAAGGTTGTTTCTGTGTAGAAATCTAAGAGCATCGTCAAACCCTTGTTTGCACATGTTTGACAGTATCTGAAAGATAAGACATAAGAAAATTCAGTTAAGAAAAAAACAAGTGCTTACTAAAAAGAAATAAGCATTTGAGGAAGCGTACCTCAGGATTTGGAGGAAACAGTATTCTAACGAATCTGTAGATATTTTGTTTAGAAAGCTCTATACTGGTATTCGCAAAATTAACCTGGAAAGAATAATGAGAGAAAACATAATTCAATATACTCCAAAATCATTTTTAGCATGGTAAAATCATTTCTGTTTATTAGCTTCTACGTTAAATACTCACGTGAAAGAGTTGCGAAGAAACGTCTCTTGGGCAGATATCGCTCTCACCACAAAAAGGACTAACTGTTACTGTATTCTCATCGAGAGTCGGTAGATTGTCGCTAAATCCGCCATCCATGTAGCGAATTCCATGAAATCTGGGCGGCAGTAAACCCGAGAATATTGGAATAAACGAACTGGCCAGAAGTGCCTTCACAGAATTTAAAAGAATATAACTTTCAAATAAGAATATTTAATATGTGCTATTGTTTCAACAGTAAAATTATTATAATGCATATTCATTTGGTACCTGCAACAGGTCTTCCTTCGAGGTAAACTGAGATACAATAACATTTTTTCCATCGTACACTCTTGTGAGTGATACGTGAAGTTTACCATTGACTCGAAGATGTGCATCCTCCGGAAGGAACTGTAATATAATTAATGATAGTACTCTCAAGTATTAATTAATTACATTCAAGATACTCGACGAATGTAATGAAAGATTATGTGAATTACTTGTTCTAAGCCCTCCAAAAGTACTTTTTGAACGTTGAATGATGGACTAAAAGGTCCCAATGTTCTTTGACGTGCTTCCTTGGCGACTCTCAAAACGTTGCTGGTGATTTCACCTGTAATTTAAAAAAGAAAATCTTACTAACAATAAGATTCATGTATGTATGATTGATAGTCAATGTTATCTAGCAGTACATTTCACTCATTAGCTATAGAATTTTATTGCGTTCAACCATTCAATTCCTGTCAAACATCTATCAATAAGATTATTTAACAAAGACTAGACTGACAGTTGCTAATTGACATAACCAGCTATTACGCACGAGTCAAGGTACAAGAATACAAAGTCTAAGTGTACCTGCTACGTATAATACAAAAAAAGAAATACTACAAGTGAATCCGTCATCGCTGAAACGATGGCATCTTTCTTTAAGACTATAGGCTTTACGAATTTACGACAGATACCACATTACTATATCCTTATAAAAGTCAATTAATCTTATCGGTCGATTATATCAATTGTAAAGTGATCAATTAAATAACTATAAAAACGTGAATGATCTTTTAACTCTTTAGTACAATGACTGAACAGTCGGGTGTATTAATTTAATTAATTTTTTTAACTACGTCATATAATTTTTCATTGTTCTTGAATGTAGAATTTGTGTTTGTTGGCATAAATAGGGAAATAATAAAATAGAAATAAAGAAGCAGAATATGATAACAAAATGCTATTATAAGCTGTCATAAAAGAGTGTGTGCCCGCACCTGCTTCACACTTGAAAACAAAAGATTTATTCTTTTTCAGACTTTAGACATTAATCTAAAAATGATAAGCGTTAGTCAAGTGACTCAAGGATTGACTCAACGAAGCTTAATAAATAATAGAAATTTGCTCGTATCTCGGTCACTCAAATAGTTAATAGAGATCACGCAAATCATTAAAAATCTTTTTACTTTGTCCGAGAAATACTCTTTGTCTGCAAATGAAACGATTTCCTGTTGCTCAGCCTTAATATATATAAACTACCATCTACGTCAACGTAGATTATAATTCCGGATGCAGTACAAAGAATTTAGACGATTATTAAAAAAGGAAATCCAATGTACTGTAGTCTAACAGTTTTCAGAATGACAACTATTGTCCTGAAAATAAGGTAATAGTAACTGTTGTCACAAACAGATAAAGAAATCCCTTATCAGTTAAGGCTAATCAATTCGTTATCACGTAAGGGGTCACGAAGGAAGACAATTGCAAGCGCGTAGAGAGATATAAATTTATAAGTGGGTGATAGAGAATACAAAAAAAAAGAGGAAAAGTTTGAAAATGCGTGTTCAATCCTCAATACAAATTTTCGCCTTGCGTAAACATAGTTCCAACATAAAAGCACTTTCGTAATAAAGTAAATAAACATTGAGTAATATCCATTAAGCAGAATTACATAATGAGTAGCATTCACTAATGAGTAGCTTAAGTTGTATAATTAGCGTTTCATTGTATAAAAATGAAATTAATGATTAACGGTAAGTGAAATAACGTTTAGCGGTTCAAACTTTTATAAATTTGTGTGCTGAGAAAATAATTTTCATCAGTTTTTGCATGATTTACTAATCACACTCTTAATTACAAACATGATAATTAAGTTGAAGCGTAATTCTTATTGCATGAAAAAGCAGTTCAAAGCCCATAACCAATAAGGAACAATGAAATAAGCTGCTTGGACCATATATGAAAAAAATTAATTTTTGCTCTGGGTGTAGTCAGTATCTACTGATTTTATGACGCTGTGTTGTAATACGTTAATGGTGCTTTATTAAACAAAGTAAACGCGTCAGACGAGGAGCATTCTCGTGCGTCCATTGCAAATTGTTTTTTTTTACTATTTCATTTCCAGGCTGATAAGCGACAAGGAACGACCTTCACGCTTCAACAAAGCTTTGACGTGATTCATTTCCTTATTTAATGTGATGAGATCTCATGCTGTTATGCAAATAGTGCGATTAGCCAGAAAACGGCAAATACTGTAAATAAAGATGATTGCTTAGTTAAGAAATGCATCAAATTTATTAGAATAAATTATAGTATTTATAATATGTTATTAATTGAACTTTCATATATCGTACTGCGTAATCAGCATCAAGGGTTGCAAGGGTTACAGATGCTGTTAGTGCAAACTAGAAGATGGTGGGTGGCCAAGCATTTAAGAAATTCTTCTATACAGTGTATGATTAGTTGTTTCATTGATTTTATCAGAAATATGTGAAAGTAAGTATTCACATGAGGAACAGTGTAAATATTATCTTTAGAAGCAAACTATTTGTGACTTAACGTTCATTAAGTTTTGCATTATATAATATTTTTCTGCAAATGTAAAAAATACTTGCAATATACAGCTACTATAGCCATTTCCTTTCTATGGATAATATGCATTTTAATGTTTGGTTAAAGTCAACATTCGTCAATGCTGTCAGCCTGGCATATTTATGGTAACATCATTGGACTTTTCTTTGCTTCTATTGAACTCGTTGTATGTATACAATTATTAAAGACAGGAAATTCAGGCTACAAATATGCAAAGATATCTAAATAAAAGTATGCAGAATTTTTTTCACATGTGAATATTTTTTTTTTTTAATCTTATTAGGTTTACTGAATGATAATAATCGTGGAAAGGTCAGTATAATAATCAACATGCTCAATGAAACATAAGACACATTGGAATTCACAAGTTTTACTTATCATTATCTGAGCTATAGTAGAACAACTGCAAATGAAAATATCTACTGTATTTAGTTATGTATTAAACCACACATACTTAATACAGTATGAGTAGGCAATGTATGTAAATAAATAAGCTAATACGAGCGACAAGGATAACTCTTCATTCCAAGAATATCAGCAAGCATTTATCTCCTGTGGTCTCATCCTATTTTTTCTCATTCTCTCTCACATACTCAACAAAATTCTGCGTAATCCTTTACGTCGAACGTCGTAAGCCGAGATTGCCTGTATGTAATTGTAAAAGCCTGGTAAACAAAGGAGTTCACTCACCGAGGGGAAGATCGCAAAGAAGGCAACAGGCCGCGATAGCACCGGCTGAAGCTCCAGAGATCTTGTCTAGGAGAAGGTGCGGAGCATATTTCTTGAAGCATACAGCAACACCAACATGATAGATGCCCAGGAAGCCACATCCTGCAAAGGAGAGGTTCATGGTGTTCTCTTTTAGATCCTGAGTAGGGATGAATCTTTTGCACCAAGAAAATCGGTTGATTCGTTTCTTCGTGTTTCAGAAGACTTTGAAATATAGATGAAAAATTTTATTCGTAGGTTAACTTCAATGTAATTGACGAACTGACAGATATTTTTGTCAATTCTTGGTTTTTTCTACGATGTTTACTCCAGCTCACTTGCAGGAACACTGACTCGCAGGGAACAGCTGTTTTTCAATGTGACCACTGGTTTAATCACTATAAAAGCAAATCAAAGCACGTCAAAAACAAAGTGAAATAATAAAACGCTGTGACGTTCAAGAATTAGATAATCTGTTTTATCACCATTGGCTAACTTGAGATGGTGTGGTTCAGGCTCCGCCCACTACGCGTTCGGAAATTCTACACTCGGTGTAAGTGGCACGACGCCCGTGCGACGAATAAGATGGCAGAGGGAAATACTGATTTTACCGGAGCTATTTTACAATGCAATAAGAGAAACATAAGAATTCAAGAAAATCAATGTTAGGAATTTATTTTAAGTTCACAAATATTTAATAATGCCTTATTAGACGACTCATGACTCTTTTTGCATTTATATGTTAACTTTTAGATAGTTTTTACATGACACATTCAAACTTTGCAGCACCATTGAAAAACAATATGGCGATGGGCATTTGCGAGGATTTGTGAATGTTACCTGGTGTCCTTAGTAAAAGAATCTCAAATATTCATTTAATAACCTGCGTATCCTGATACGCAAGATTATGTTTGACTGTTATCCTGCTTCATGGAGAAACATGTTTTGACTTCTTATCTTTTTTTGTGTGATGATGTTTTGAAGCGGGAAAATAGCGAATCGAATATTTTGACGTTTTGGAACGCGTGTCGAGCGCGGCATGACATTTTGACAGTTTAAAAACGTCTATAAAGGACAATGTTGTAAACTGAAGTTGATATTGTTTCGTAATTAACTTTTGAGTAATTGCGCGAGGAGCACAGTTATAGTGAACTTACAAATAGTTGTGTAGTAGAATCAGAAAACAAAAAATGAGTCAAACAGATAATTCTCTGATCCAAACACCCTCAATTAATTATAACCTAGATTCTCAACGAGAACCCGTTTTTCATGCTGTTTATATACCAAGAGATGAAGAGAACAAATCTGTTGAAGGTAACGATAAGTATTTTATGATTCATAAGAAAATGTAAGCGTACAATGTATGTAATTTTGTAAATCTACAGACTCTTATCATATACTTCTCCTGTTCTATATTTGCCTCGACAATGCAATATGTAGTAAATGGGATTACTGGGTTTTCAGGAAGCTTACACGTTTATGTGGATAAGGTTGCAGCTTTGAAAATAATAAATGAGCATAAAAAAGGACGCCTAAAAACATTTAAGACGAGGGCTGAAGCTGAGAGTTTTGCACGTAATGGAAATCAACAAATATTGTCACGGTCCCAAACTGTTCCATTGCTTCCATTACCTGAAGAGAAGACAAATACATTTAAAGGTCCAAAGCCACAGGATTTAGTTGTATTTCGCAAGTTAATAGAAAGTGGAGATATTGAAGCAGTGCGTAAGATTGCATGGGAGAATCCAAGATATTTAGTCAGCAGTGCAGATACCCCAGCCATTCTTCAGGTATATCTTGGTAATTTATTACCTTCTCCTGCCTGACAGAAAGTTATTTAATTTAATTTTAAAAATATTTATAGGAAGGTTGCCGCTACAATGCATTGCATGTGGCAGCAAAGGTATCTAAGACACCTCAGATGTGTGAACTGATTCTAAACATAGTGGGTGATCCAAAATTTGTAAAACTATTTTATGGTGAAGATGAAAGTAAAAATTATTTAAACAGAGCACAAATTCTTCTGGATTTGTATTTAAACACCCCAGATAAATTTCTCAATGAAACCCCATTACACTTCGCCGCGAAATTCGGCTTGAAGGAAGTCGTTCGTGTACTGGTTTCATATCCTCAATGCGTAAAAACACTGCGTAACAAATATCAACAAACACCAGCAGAAGTAAGCATTTCCACACCAATTTTATATCTTCACTAAAATACTGGCCCATAAATGAGTTTTTCTGTTACTTGTTAAAAAAAAAATTAATTTTAGTGATTTGATGCTTAAAAACTTTTGTCAAAGCATATTGCAAGCTTATTATTTATATTGGTTGAAATGACCAGTGAATTCGAATATTGAGAAATAGAGCAGATTAGATATCTATTACGCTAGGCCTCCAGTAAACAGGTCAACTTATCTTATTTTTTTTAATGATCCCCCACGATGGTATAATGAAGAAAGACGTTTCTCACAAGAAATTATAACTAGACTTAAAACTTTTTCATTCTCTTTTAGATTACTTGCAGCCGTAGATTTTCCGAGGACGAAACGTTGAAGAGAGAAATACGTAATTTACTAGAGGACCAATATTATGTTCCTGTATTACGTTCTGAGGACAATACCTTACAGCCTTCCATAGGAGAACCATTCTCACCAACGAGTCCACCAGTGAGTTAGGTTTCGAGAATCAATGATTAAGTCACAGCTACAGTACATCTAAAAGATGATTGACCTCCAATAACTACCATGAATCTTATATCACAGCAATTTAAACTGGACCCAATAAGTCCCATACTCGAAGTGAAGGCGTTCGCTGGACCTATGACTAAAAGTCAGGCAATGGAATTTCGTAGGAAATGGAAAACGCCACCGCGAATCATCTGTAATGGTCCAAATCGTCGTGAAAATTGTTCAGGTGAACCATTTATGCATAGTCCTGTGGCTGCGCTCAGACTTCAGGATACAGAAAAAGGACTGGAACGCGTTGGCAGGTATAATTCATTATATGAAATCATTGTAAGATAACTTGATACTGACGATTTTCTTCTGGGATACTCTAGGGATCTGGCCAGCGAGTATAAAGTTCCTTGGAAAGAATATTGGCCGTTTATAAATGATTTTGCGGATATGCGTTGTAATGAAGGCTTGAAAATGCTTGAAAAATATTTGGAAAACAGGTTTAAAGAATCCATAATGATTGCCGAGGTAGGTATCTGATAACGTGTAAATTTAGGAAAGCATGTATGAATTTCCACCTTCTTTAGGAGCTAAAACGTGATCAAGAACTATTAAAGTATGATAAAAACTTTCAAGGACAATTAGAAGATCATATGGCAGATCCATTCAATGAAACAGATCTATGTAAACAATTAGAATCTCTGAATGTAGACGATGATTCAGGTAAGGATGCCTGATGTGAATTACACAACATTTTCAAATTGTAGTTAGAAAGTGAAAATCATCTTCATTTGCAATAAAGTCTAAAATTTTATAATTTCAGAGGAATTCTTCACACCGCCATCTTCCCCTATTCTGGATCCTTTTAGTGATACTGAGGACTCCGAAGATGAAGACATGTATCTTGCCGAGGAAGGATTGGCTACATATATTGACGGGTATTTCATTCATTAATTTAATCATCAGAACACATAAATATTATCCTCCATTTCAGGAATGAACCAACGAAACTCGATTATGCTGTTTACAATGCAATCTCGACTGATATTAACCAAAAAATATATCCAAATATTTATCGATGGCTACACGAGATGAAAGTAATCATGGACCATGACGAAAGACGGTAATTTCACATATTGATGTACATATAAGCGTCTTCATTCTCCATAAATCGAAACTCTAAATTATCGAGCTTTGTTTTGTAGATTTAACAAGGGAACGCTCGTGAGGAGAAGATTACTTTTGACACCGGATAAACCTCGCTTTCAACATTTCGAAAAATCCTAAGATTCTAATAAGCTGTCAATAATGACAATTGCACAACGGAATGGCTCTTGGTCATCGCATATACAAGTCGAAAGATAGCTGAGAAAACAGAGAACGAGAGAGAAAAGGAAAGAAAGAGTATAGAGGTATATATTTTCATACAGATTTTTTTATATATGTTGAAACACGGCTATGTAATTTTATGAATGAAACCTCTTGACTGCTCTCTACTCGAAAATGTAATTTCGAGTCTCCAGTAATGAGTACAGGATACATTAAAAAATAAAGAAAATTATATTTATCTTATCTAACCAATTTGATTCCCAGGGTAATTAATTATCATCCTACGATATTGCGTGTTTTGTATTTGAGGGTAAACTTTATTCTCAATAACCTCCAGTTTTATATTCTTCGTTCTTTAACGGAATACATATGTATACACTTTTATTAATATTTATATTATCTAATGATTTACCCAAGAGTAAATCCTTGGTACTAAACACATTAAGCGTTAATAGAAGTGGGAGGAGTTTGCTTTAACTGAAGAATTATTGATCGCATCCTGGAAACGTCCTTGGAGGTCCTAGATGACTTGGGATTGAAGTCGCAGAGTTTTGCTATGCGTTCCCATTCGGTTCCTGGCTCGACCTCGTCTGCCTCGGCGACAAATTGTTTCTCAGCGTTTCTATGGAACGTAAATTAATGTCGTCAGGGTGATTGAAAGTCATTAAAATTTAGGAATGAATAACAATGAAAGTAGAAATGAAGTTTAGCGTCTGTGAGTGCATGAAGCAACGTAGACAACATATTCATGCAAATTGAGAGACTTTAAGTTTTTTTTGTATTAACACTTACTTGGCAGATTCCCTAAGAAGCGTAGCAAGCCAACAAATACGTTCTGTATTAATTCAAATGTTAGAAGTACGTCATAGAATTTTAGCTAAGCAATGTCAGTTCACGCTAAGCGATACGCGCACGCGACTTAGATAACTTTTAATTATATAAACAGCATTGTTTCAGTACATGATTTATTTTTTTGATATATCCGCTGCTAAGCAATTATTTTTCGACGTAAAAGCATGACATGTTATTTTGATATTTTAGATTGCAGAATTATCAGTCTGCAGAACTGCAGTTTAAAATATTACACATATTTTCCACTGTATAGTCGCCAGTAGAGATTACTAATATATTTACAGCTCTGTTTTGTTACCTGTTTGTAGCCTTTGTCTTGCTGATAGTCTCAGTGTGATGCTTGTACCACTCCTCCAATTCTTTTTTTGCAGCTTCTCGCCACTCTTCCTTTTTCTTTTCTTCTTCTGCATCTGAAAAATAGCATGCCATATGTTGCAATATCTATTGTTTATACAAATTCTTTAAAACCTTTCTATATTTATATTACCAAATATAGTGTTCCATACCTTTTTGTTCAAGACGAGTTTTTTGTTCTTCTCTCCACTTTTTTATCTTCTCTGGCTCTTCCTTAATTTGCTGTATAACTGGTGCCACATCTTGGAAACAAATTATTATATATCAACAGAAAATTTGACAGTCCAACATTGAAAAATCCATGTCATTTTTAAATCACACACAGTATAAACCAAGGCTTACATTAGGAAACATAACACTGGGACACATAAAAAAAGCACAAAAATCAACAAGAAATCAATCTTTAACATGCTCACCATCGAGTGATAGAGGGTCTTCAAAGAAATCTTGGAAATAAAAAAGGAGTTCTCAATATAGGTAAATATAACAAATTTAAATCATTTAAACTGCTTAATAAATAATGAAATACTAAGTATAACAATTAATCAAATAAATTTAATCTTGTATACTGAAAATGATGCATAATAAAATACAATAATCTATATTTACCAGGAACTGCTGGTGCTTGTGGCTCACTCGGTGGTTGTCCAATTGTGTTAATCATTTCAAAGCTGCCTTCAGCGTCTCCCCCAGGACCCACTTTCATGTTCCCAAAATTTCCAGCAAGATCATCTGTACAAAATCTTATCTATATCTACACCTTTTATTGGAGAATCTCAATAAAAATATGCAACAAAAAAGGTACCATCCGCAACTGAGGTAGCCTGCGCAGCGATGCCGACGGTAGAAATTTCATCCTCTAGTCCTGCCAGCTCATCCTGTTCACGAGCCAGAAATTCAGCCGCAGGATCGACTTCAGGTTCGCCAACAAAATTATCACCAAACGCATCCATTCTAAAATGAAATAATAATTTAATAATTGCAATAAATATCAAATATGCGTTATGATATTATGTGAATATCTCAAATTAACTTCATACAAAATTTTTCAGGTTACGACACAAAAACAATGAACGTTAAAGTACCGAAATCCAAGAGGCAAACAATTATCAAATAATGCAAACAATTTACCTATAATTACTGATTACTCTCGAAAAGATTTGATCTGATTTAACGGCAACACCCCCTTTCTGTGACTTTCGGTTAAAAAGTCAACGACGAATTGTCAACGTCAATAACGTGACCACAGAGTAAACGCAATTGAATAGAAAGTGGACCATGCTTAAGATTTCTTATTTGTGAATCATGGCTCAGCAAAGCTAGGGATAAATGCAGAATGACCAACGTTATGAAAAAAAATTAATAAAATCCCTTCGTAACGGAAAAAAAATTTGGATTTGAAATTCGATTATCCGTTAACGAACGCTGACTTTACGGCTTCTTTTGCATCCGTTAAAATCACTGTTTATTAAATCATTCAACCTAATTACGTACAGTCATTAATACCAACAATAGGAAATACATGCTAGCGCAGTACGTTTATTTATATGAAATAATAACTTATTACATCGTCAGGATTTATTTTGTCTAGTAAAAGAATTGGCAGCATGGGTGGGTCGCTGTTATCTTTAAAAGATTTATCATGAAATTGAAGAGCGATCCGTTAGGAAAACGAGATTGTATGTTGTAAAAGGAAGGCACGTCGATAGAAAAAAATATATGTATATATATATATATACCTGTAAGGGAGAAGAAAAAGAAAAAGAATACAACAACGTCACAAGGTGGCAAGAAGTGATTAATCCGACTTTATCACATCTGACGTACGAAATTTCATGTTGCGAACAACATAGTGCAAATTCCGAAATTCTGAGAAACAATTCACGTGAGAAAGAAAAAAAATACAGTACGTTCAAAGGATGAGAGTAATAATTAATATATGTATGTATGTATATATACGTATATATAGGGAGACGGCGAGATATATATAGCAAAATTCAGGATACTATATAGAAACTTGTAAAAAATAAATTAAACTGTACAAGTGAATTCCGGCATGTTTTGTTCTATTCTCTTGTTTCTCCTTTTTCTTTTTTCTCTCTAAAAAAAATAGAGGCGCAGACGTCTCTGTGAGTATAAGTAAAATTTCGAAGCGACCGTTACATCGAACATTAAAAGGCATGTGAAAATTTTGATTCTCTTGAAAATATAAAAAAAAAAAACCACAAAGGACAAGCAAAAAGCGGATATTAATGTGTGAACCTCTGAGACGATGCACAATATATAGACAAGATATTTAAGAAAAAAAATCTGACAAGTACGTGTCGCGAATAACAACACGGCGCGCATGTTACTTGGACGTTCCTAATTTCGTGTCTTTAAAAGAGAAAAAAAACAATGAGTCGACAAATAAATACAGATCGTCTCGTTGAGAAATAATTATTATTGGGCGTTTTATCGCACCTAGCATTCCGTCATTGAACTGTCATTTTTCTACGTATGTCACTGGCGCACGAGATACTTTGCATTGAACTTTCCCAGAGGAAATTATTTATCTCTTTAATTAAGGAATATGAATATTAAGACTAAGGAGGCACAAATTAATTGAGTAACTTTGGCCAACCGGACCGTTAATGTAACGACCTGTAATACGGCGGACCTCTAACGTCCTGTACGTTATCACATTCGGATCATACCGGCCGATAAGATTCAAAATACCCACTAGCATATTTTTAAAAGGGTTTTCTCTCTCTCTCCTCCCTCTCTCTGTTTCTCACTTTCTTCTTTTCCGTCTCTAGATTTTTCTCACACATGCACTGATGCCACACTTATTCTTCTTTCTTCTCTTTTCTCATCACATCATGTTGGCCCTATATATTTTTTTTATTTTCAGTTCATTCCTTTTCTATTCATCTTCATTGATACCGCTTAGGATCATTTACCGCCTCACATTTTAGCAGATTATGTTGTCAGTCTTGGCCTGATCCCCTCCCGACCCCACTTGACGCTGCTCAACATTCACAGCTGTCGGGAAGTTCGTTAATCGTTTCGTGTTCTCGCAGTGTCCTGATAAGAGTTTTCTGTTAGTAAAAACTCAGGGTCATCAGCGTTTTCATTTAGAATAGAACACTAGTCACTGCGAGACACACTACAAATTTCCGTAACTGCGCTAGGCACTCTCCGTGTCCTCCTCGGAAGACAGAACGTCCGTGCTACGTGGTAGTAGCAGTGCTACATGGCCGTACCTAATGTTTTAAGAAATACACATATATATATATACACAATATATATACAAATTTTGTTATATATTCAATTATTAAAAATCCGCCATATTGCCCATAGAATACTAATATGACGGTATAAGGTGCATAAATAATGTCTTCGTTCTATTCAGATTATACAGGAATTTTTAAAAGTTGTACAACTTACTTGCTGCTCTTATATTTCTCTTGTATTGCCTGTTGCTGTATATTGGCGGCGTTACTAAATGTCTTGCTCAGACAGGATAAGCATCCTCTGAGATCATGAAAACTATATCCTGTGGAGAGTTCTAACTCGTGGGGCCATACTTCTTCGTGGAGTGTATGTCGCGCCAGAGCGACAGCTGATGCAGCCAAATGGCTAGGAAGATATTGAAGGTAGGGATCGGCTTCCAGTAAAGACAGTTCACACAAGTACTGCAACAAGAAAATAAAAATAAAATGAATATTACATTGTAAATTAAGCTAGCTGAAACTTGTAATATTGTATTCAAAGATACTCACCATCGCTAAGTACTGAACCTTATCAGACTGGTTATTGCTTATACAATAATACATTAAAAAAGCCAATGGCGTTGGCACAGTAAGGTCGAACGAGAGTACCCGGAGAATCAAATGTTCCATTCTGAGGACTTGTTTCTTCGTGTACGTGTCGTCTGTGATATAGACGAATTCACCTACATCAGGGGGATAGATCTCCTCGTATTTCCTTGAGGGATAGAACATGTTAACTATTAATCCGAGTCACTATGTACGACACAGTGACATTAGATTTAATTAAAAGCAACTCACGCCGCAATAAACATTGCCGCAGTTCCTACAAGCTGAAGCTTAGCCCTCACGACACTCATATATGATAGAAAACGATCTATGTAAGAGACAGCTAAGTAGAGAGTCTCACTGTGTAATCGATACTCTTCAGCTACCTCAACAAGCCAATCAACAAGTATCGATCTCATAGAATATGTTATGTCAGGCTGTTTTTTCATATAACCAGGTTTGGGTCTATGTTGCCTCTGCAGAGATAAATGAAGAAATTTATATATATTTAAAAAAATAGTTGAGGTAGTTTTTATTTTACTCGATTATTCATTTTTACCTCGGCCACTCGTAGATAATTATAAATATCCGCCCTGTATTCGTCCACGTCAAAGAAATTGACACGCATTGATTTACTGGCTTCACGTTTAGCTCGAAGATCTTTTCTAGGGTCAGAGGATGTCGAATGCGACTTTTCTACGGATTTCTCTAGAGACATAGGCATTTCACCAGGGAATAGATCCTCATTCTTCTTTTGATCAATCTCCTGTAGAACCGCCCTGATCGACGGCTGAATGCTCACCGTCGTTGGATTCACTTCAAGGATCGGTTTATCGCGTTCTGTCTTTAGCTCAGCCTTTAGAGCTAGAGGTTTGGACTCCTTGGCAATATCTTTACTCTCACGGAGAGCAACTGATGTCTCCTGTTCAAGTTTGTCTTCATAGACCTTGAACAGTCCATCATCTTTTTTCCCATCGTCATAGATTTTGAATGGCTCATATTGTGGCGGTACAAATGGTTTTGGCTTCGGATACTTCTCATCTTTACCACATAAATCCTAAACAAGCACAGAATAATTAAATTTATCTGTGATATCTGGAATATTAAACAAATACAACCAAAGGCAAGCTAAAATTATGTAGATCCTAAAAACTTTAATACACGTTTTTGTCCACTCTAGCTGAAAATGAGTATTAAAGCACTTACAAATAGCATATATCAATCGTATTATAATTTGGAGCAATATTACAAAGCGATACAAATAATCAAATATATGATAATAAAACAGTAAATAATAGAAAAAACAAAGTAGTAGAAGATCCTAGCAAACCTGGGAAAGATCATAATAAAGCCAAAAAAAAAGTCGTTAAAAATTTATAACATTTTGAAAGCTTTAAAAAATCAGTCAAACAAAAATGAAAGCAAATATTTAAGGTATAAAAGCAAAATGCTTAAGAATGCATTCAAAATTGAGAAAACACAGAAAAACGGGTACATTGCAAATTGAATGAATCAGTTGAGGACGCACCGGTTTGCCATTGCGGTGGCAATTATTGTGTATAACTCCAAGAACAGCACGCTTGTTATTCAGTGGCTGTTGCTGCCCATTGTTAAGGTTGACCGTGGTATTCTCCTTTCCGCGCCTGATGTCCGCAGCAATACGATTTTCCTGATCCTCGTGTACCCTGATCGTAGCCATTGTGTTCAATCCCGGTGGGCCTTCTTGCAGCTTCCAAGTTATTTACAAAAACTATCGGGACTCTTCCTCAATTTCGTTTAGTTCTCACCCAATATTGCTTAGTCGGAATCCTCTGGGCCCTACGTTCTCTAGTAAAACGGCCACAATCAGACTCAACTCGATATTAGAATCGGCCGGGCATCGCAGAGGACTCCGGCTCTCCCGATCCTTCACCAACAAACTTCTGTTGCCGTTTGATTTTAAACAAACGTAACTCCAACAGCTGGCGATACGTTACGAGCGTTGCTTGAAACTGACCAATCACGTAGCTTCATTCGGCATGCGTTCAATCGAAACGTACGTTTGGAGTTTGCGTTCGCAAAACTACAAGGCTCATTCGAATAATTGGGAATGCGAAAAACGGGTAAAATTTGTAGTGGGATAGAAATGGCGCTAGGTGTTGAGAAGAAATGGCGGTAAAAAAATCTAGGAATAACACTAGGGAGAAATTGAGTGTTCGTAAATGCAATGCTCCTTACTTCATGAAGATTTAAGGTTAAATTAATATAGATGGAGAAATCTATTTAAAATTCCTTCACTGAGATTGACGTTTCCCATATGGATTCTTGAGGACTTTAAATTTTGATAAGAGAAAAAGTATCGCAAAAGGTTTTTTAAATAAAATGGCACCGAAGCTTAAGATATCCTCATCTGTCATACAAGTACGCTTATTTCAACTCTCAACGTAAATCTCCTGTCTTAGTTTATAACTTTGTTGTGTTCACTTGTGTCATCAATACTCTAGATGTAACCTGTTTTATAAATATTTCAAGTGTCATGATAAACTAATGTTTTGTATACTAAATTATTTTATATTTTATTATATATTTTTTGTTTCAGCGACTAGGGAAACTGAAAAATCCATCAACCTGTCGATTATATGGTGTTATTTTTGATGATTCACTGTTGGTTTTATCATTCTCACTTGATGTATCAAATACTTATAATAGTAGAATATTTCAACTCAGCCTTCCTGCAGAAATATACCTTTGTGGAGTTTTAATTGTTGATGGAGAAGAAGAAGATATTTATAAAGCCTTTAAGGTTGCGTATGATACATTTGAGATTATATAGTGCTAGTGTGGAGCATGAATTTTTAATATTGATTCAATCATAAATTTTGAAATACCACTTAATTTCAGGATGTAGATGTTACGGATAATCCGCTACTTTTAAAATATTCAACCAAAATCACTGAATGTAACATAGAGACATTCTTTTACATTCATCAAAAACTTGAAATTGCCTCTTTCGAGATTCTATCTGAATATGATATCTGGCAAAAATTTACGTACATTAGACTTGAGGCAAATCTTTCGTTGAATTCCCAGAGATGGAATATCTTAGAAACGATAGAAGAAGCTCGAAAAAATGTATGTATTTAATATAATTGTTTCTGAAGCTTACACAAAAACACTACTAAAATATATTTTTACACAATAGATAGCCGCAGGTAAGGCAGGATTTTATTTACCCAAAGGAAATGTCTATCTACTTGGAGAAGATGCTGTTGACACTGGCAATAGTGAACTCCTTAATCTCTCTATTAACTACGAAGGCATAGGTCATTCCAAACATGATGTAAAAACTCCTCCAAGAGTCGTGGTATGATTTACAAACAGTTTCTTATCACTTCAATTTTTTCTAAAATATAAATTTATACAGATGTAATTTTCACAGGATGCTTTTTCGGTCTCAATGTATCTAAAAGTCTCAAAGGATAGATTATCTGATGAGGGAGTAAAGTATGCTCCAGTGATACAACATGTAAAACGTAATAACAAAGTCTTCTATAATTTATTTAACCTCATAGATATTCAATTTTCTTATTATATCCTCACTTTTTGCAGGGGAATTTGATTGTCTGGAATTTCAAGTAAAGATTGATGCCTTGGCTTTTGTCAGACGAGACATTTTAACCACTACACTCTACTCAACTTTAGTTGAATCAGCATGTAGAAATCTACGACTTCTTGAAAGAGCTGTACAGCATGAGCTGTCTGTACATAAGATGGACTCATTTAAAATTCCAGATATCGTGCATTTCAGACCCCAAAACATAGGGCATCTTTTAACTTTTATTTTTCCCACCAATGAGGAAACAGCGCGTAAGTTTATTATTTTTTCCAAAAAATGTCATGACGCATTTGCTTGTTGATTCTTTAAAAATTTACATAATATAATCCATTTCGATTTAGTTGAATTTCGACGAACTTTACACGACTTTCTGGCTCTGCCACGAAATCAACCGTATTTTCGGAATGGAAATATCGTCAAATTTCAAGGGGATATGCGAAAGAATGAACCACTAATCAATCCTCACGAATCAGTACCATCACCCGGAAGTAAATAATGACTTAGCTGATAGAATTTTGTTATCAATAATGTTGTAATTAAAAAAGCATAATATTTTCTTTCAGTAGTAGATGCAAAAGTGGCTTTAGTGGATGGGCTCTATGCCTATTATCATTACATGCAGGACAATTTTGATGATAATGGATGGGGCTGTGCTTACAGATCATTACAAACAATAATTTCGTGGTTCAGGTAATTACTAAATGTGTACATACAGGTAGATGCTATATCTGACAAATTTTTTGTTACATGTTTAGACTCCAAGGATATACTGAAAAGTCTGTGCCGACACATAATACTATTCAAAAGTGTCTAGTTGATATTGGGGATAAGCCATATGATTTTATTGGCAGTAAGCAGTGGATTGGGTCTATGGAAGTGGGCTTTGTCTTAGAGACTCTTCTAGGTATTACAATAAAAATTAACAGAGTATCTGTAGGTGAAGAAATGGCTTCTTTAGGACCAATGCTAGAGTCGCATTTTGCAACGCAAGGAACTCCAATAATGATTGGTATGCATTTCAGTATATTTGATAAAAGAAAATTTCTTTGACAATTATTTTTTCATGTTTTACAGGAGGTGGTGTATTGGCTCATACGATTCTCGGCGTAGCTTATAACGAAACGACTGGTGATATAAAATTCCTGATTCTTGATCCACATTATACTGGTGTAGAAATTCTACCTACTATACTGTCCAAAGGATGGTGTGGATGGAAGACTAAGGATTTTTGGAAGAAGGATGCTTTTTATAATTTATGTCTACCACAGCGTCCTGTTTCGCGGATTTAAACACGAATTCTCCTTTTATACATGGTTAATGAAACTGATGTGTCTAAACATAATTGAGTTATTTATATTTAATTTTGGTAATTTGTCAAAGGACTTGTGAAGTTTTTAGATGTACATCATTACAGTTATGCCATTGGTAAATAGAATGTTGATATATTTATACATAATGACGATTAAGTAGTTATTGCTTGGCACTGTAAAACCTCATAATCCTATCAATAATAATACGAGTACAGTACTTCCTGACAACTATTTGTTCCAAATGCAGAAAAACTTAAACTTAACATCCATGTGTATTAAAAAATATTAAATAATAAGACTCAATAAAACAGTCACATATTTGTATTTAACAGAAGATCTTTCAAGCGTTACTTTCTTTTCAGAAAAAATGAAAGTCTACAAAACAAATATTTGGTACCGAATGCAATAAGACATCTAGGAAAATTCTATCACATTCCACCAGCAGATTTCTGTAGAAGTTGAGTAAACCTATTTGTGATGAATAAAGATACGTCAATAAATCGGTCCACGCAATTATTGAGACATGTTTCAGTTCGACTGTCTAATTTGTTGCCAGGCTTTTCAACACACTTGTCCCAACAAAAGTCATTGAATTCGTGAATCTGATAAAGAATAGTGCAATGTAAAAACTTTTAAGTAATTTAATATATATTAATTTATTTTAATAAATGAATAACTCATAAGGTTATATTACCTGAGCATTAAATTGAGCTTTTTGCTTCTCAATCATTAGAAATTCTTGTAATTCCGAATCAACACCTTTGGATTTACTCGAGTCGTCATCGTAGCTCGTACTGGAATTAAATAAATCAGACATATTGCTACTTTCCTCTAAACGATTTAATAAACTTTTGTTTCAGATCGACTTTCCTCCACTAGCAGAATGGAAAGTCCAAAAGTACCAACACGAGACTTTATATTATTATTGCGTTCCTAAAGTCATTTATCGCGATACTCGTCTTATAGAGAAATACTAAGCTTCAAACATAGTGTGCGCTTGAACCACTTGACATCACACAATTTTATGTTCTATGCATGTAATCAAAGCTTTTATATGTATAGTTGGACAATATAACCTAACTTACCAATTTATACTTAAATTAATAAATAAATTTTTAAAAATTTTTGAAAAATGAGAGAAGTTATATTATCACATTGTGAAAAAAATTTCGTGAATAAGGCAATCGACAAAGAAACGGTAATTAACATCCATGCCATAAACGAAACAGAAAGTTATTAAATTATTTTATATTAAACAATCGTTTTTTTTAGAGACTCGATGGCCGGCAATTATTGGAAGCTAGGCCTGTCAATATACATTTTGGATCTAATTGGGGATGCTGTATTGTTTCCTTGGGTCGAACAAAGTTAGCATTAAATAAACCTTACATAAAATCCTACAAGATTACATCATTTAGTAACTAAATGTATTACATCATGGAATGAATGATTCATTTATGATTTTTCAGAGCTATTGCGCAAGTATCTTGTGATATTCAAAAACCAAAAGCTTCAAGACCAAATGAAGGAATGTTACATATAAATGTGGAATTAAATCCAATGGCTGCACCTTTTTTTGAAGCAGGACGCCAATCAGATCCATCTGTTCAAATAAATCGTCAGCTTGAGCGTTGTCTTAAAGATTCAAAATGCATTGATTTGGAATCCCTCTGCATCGTAGCAGATAAAAAAGTAAGCTGTATAGTGTGTAATAAAATTTAATTACATGTAACAACATTCAATTTACACTGTCAGGCTTGGAATCTGCGTGTGGATATCAATATTATAAATCATGATGGAAATCTTGTAGACTGTGCATCTATAGCTGCATTAGCTGCATTAATGCACTTTCACAGGCCAGATGTGAGCTCCAGCGAAGAGGAAATTATTATCCATTCGTTTGCTGAGAAAGATCCTTTACCATTAACTATATATCATCACCCAGTATGCATCTCCTTTTTAGTATTTGAAAAGTGAGTTGACGCACTGGTTAATTAAAGTAAGCGTAAGTCCATGTTTATTAGCACTGATTAATTATGTTTACAGTGGCAACACCATCATGGATCCGACTTATCTTGAGGAAAAGGTCGGCGTAGCACAGTTAACAATGGGAATAAATTCATATAGAGAATTGTGTAGCTTGGATTTTAATTATTTAACCAGAACTTCAGTAGCTGATGTTATACCAACTATTTCAAATCAAGCTGCCAATTATGCAGCTGAACTCGTGAGCCTCATCAAGGAATCCGTTCGACAGGATGTTGAAGCTCGGTACGACTTTGCCCATTCATACAATTTTCTTTAAAAGAGTATCATTTATATTATTGTCAATATTTAGATATAAGAAGGAAGTGAAGAACTTTGGACGCTTTGAGAATTGCATAGCAACAGATAAGTTGACAGCAATGTTCACAGATAAAATTCCAATAAAATTATCATCATGGGGGAAAATGGATGACAGAGAAGACGGTAAGAAAATAGTTTTTATTAAACTTCAAATATCTCGGAAAAGAGCAAAACTGATGAAAATTCCGTGTAAACGTTTTCAGAAATAATGGAGGATCAAAAGGAAAATGAACAAATCATCAAGATAAACAAAAATTCAGCTGAGCTGCTACTCTTAAAAGTATGGCAAAAAGTATATACAAGGGTTGTCCAAATGAAATACATTACTTATATACTTCAATTGGATTACCTTGTATATGTTTTTTTTTATTTGGTTATTATAATTGAAAGAAAAAACTATGGATGTACACATTCAAAATTTCATAAATTCATTAGGGAGATTTGTTTGGAAATGGGGGAGTGAACACCTGGCAAAATGATTCATCGTCAGATGATGAAGAGGAATCTTCCGATGAAGTAGTAATGGTGGAAGAAACTAAAACAAAATGCCATGTCTTGGATGATATAGGTAATAATATCTATATTTAATCAATACTAATTTGAATATAAGGTCATATCTTAGGGCACTACTTACCTTTTAAACTCTATTTGTGATCATGATGTGTCGTTAATAAGCTGTAAGTTCAAGATGAGCATGGTCTTCCGCTTTGTAACTAACGACCTGCTCTTGTTACAGAACTCAGTGAGGACAGTGAAGAAGAGGAGACGCAAAATATGACTAAGGATGATATCCAGACGTGAAGAATGAAAACAATAAAGGTGTTTGCTTAAATAAATTATAATGTACATGTAATTTCATTTTGCCACATTCCCATTACACATAGACTCTCATAGTATATCTATGAAAGTAGGAGAATGCAATAGCATTTCATATCAGGGATTTTTTTTCAAGTTCCATAAGTTCTGTTAGACATTATATATAATGTAACTACCACAATATCTGTTCACATGATTTCTTATGACAGGCTAAGCTTAGTATAATAACTGTAAAAAGCTGTAAATATATGTTAAATTAAGAGAATTGATGCATTCTCACAGAAGGCTACGTAGCTTCACTGCTCAGTCCATTCTTCTGATCCAGTTTATTTGCATTTGTTTTTACAGTATAAAAGAAAAAGCTCAAAGCTTCCTTCTCCACTACTTGGATAGTTTTAAAGTGTTTCATGAGAGTCTGTAAATTGTTTCATATTTTTGTTCCAATCATGCCCCAAATACAATTACATGTTAAATATTAAGAAAACGTTCTCTGAAAAGTGTACTTACATCAGCCAGTTGAGCTTTGTTAAGTCCAGGCCTTGTTGAAACCTTAAAGTGTCTTTTGTATCGCCTCAAAGTGCCAACCTGCAACTGGAAGAGGTCAACTTCAGGAAGATCATTATCTGTCTCTCCAGAGTCTTCTTCAGAGTCCTTTCTTCTCCGCTGCTGCTGTTGCTGCTTGGATCTAGCACACTGAATAACTTGCTTGTGATAATCACAAATATAAATATGTCGAGCCTAAAACAAAAAACCATTGATACATTAAATATTTTATTTGTTTTATCAATGTTATATAATTTAGTTTTCATTTGAACCATATTCATGACATACCATATTGTCCAAATTTAGTTTGAGACGCCTCTGAGTGACAGTCTTCTGAATTTTTTTGCTGTAGGAAGCATTGCCTGCTGGTCTGGAGCATCTTTCTCCCTCATCAACGAGACAACAAATTTGATCAGCTGCTCCACGTGAGTCTTCTTCACCAGTGCTAAACCCGTTCATTGTATGTGTCAAAGATGAATAACTGTAGTAATTAAAAAATCAAAAGAAATTTGCGTCAGGCCTTAAAACGACCTTCTATGTCTTTTTGAGTATTGTTAGTCATCTTTCTTCTAAGAAATATTTTTGGATTCCAAAGCCCCTGTCAGCAAAGTATCAGCAATCTGTAACCAGAAAAATATTCTCTTTATAAATACTTTTAAAGAAAACTATAACATAATTAAGCATGAGGAAAAAAGTTATGTAAAAGAATAGATAAAAGTAATATTAAATAAAAGTCAAATCTTACCAGACGGTACAGACAGGAAAGGATGCAGAAAATTCGCGAAACAATATGATTGCACAAATTTGTAGTACATTAACAGTTTTACAATATTACTTAAAAAGATCACAGTAAAAAGTCATCTGGATGATTACATTCAGATAAAAATGATTTTTCGGCGTTCTAAAAAGATGATATTCGTATTGCATTCAACTCCGGAGACACTTTGTTATTTACATGGTAGCCTTTTCACGAGTCGGGCAAAAGACCCCAAACAAACAACTGACAGAACAGCCAACTTAATATGACCGATTTTTCATGTAATAAGAAAAAATAGACTAATTATTATTTTAAAAACGTTAATATTCCTAATAGAAATATCCAGGGAAATCGAATAGAGTTCAACGGCACCTGATTATCGCTCATTTTCCATTATTTCACTTGATATTTCACCATCTTGTTTCAAGGTACATTTACATTAAACTTCTAGAAAAATAATATTATATTCAGCCAATTCCAAGTATAAAGAGACGTGCTCATTGGTAGCCATTCTATGGCGAACTGGAAAGATGCCCAGGCACACTGCGGGAAATAGCGCTATCTGGAGCCAGTTATGAAAAACGGTTAGAAATGCAGCGATTGGTGGATTTCGAGATAGTCGTATGCTTTTAGCCAATTGAATTCTAGGACGGTGGTAAGTTGAGGTTCGAAGAAGAGTCGGTTCCCAGTCGCGGTAATCCGTGTTTACGCGTCGTGGAGATATTTACGAGGCGAGAAATCGGAATTTCCCAGAGACCTACGTGACTTTTGGTAGAAGTTGAGGAGAGTTGAAAATTTCATTTTAAGAGTTCTTCAATCAGCAATCCTGGAGAATTTCGGCAATACTAGTTGGAGCGGGTTTGGTGTAAGTAATTTATTTGTTTACTCGATTTCCCAGCTATGGAATTTTCATCTCGCTTGATTACCCGACGGTGATGTCGGCCATTTTTTTTCAGTAGAAGATTTCAAGATTTTAATGTTTCACTCTTATCAGAGTGTTTTTTCTTACTGGGAAGAACGATTTATCGTTATTAAACATTATAAAACATCCTTTGAATCTGCATCATTTTGTGGTTAGGTTGGTGTCATTGCCATTTGCTTACTGCTCTTGTTCTGTGCGCTACTGCCATCTATTCTTGTTCACCTAACCTCGAAACGTTACTTATTATATTAGACATTGCGTGAGTCAGCTAAGAATATCTAATGATTGCAGTAAATGAAATTTCTTCTTATTCCGTCGTAATTCGTTACGTTAGCAGATAAGTGTTTCATTTCTGACATGTTGGTGGGAATGTTCTATGCATATTGCTCCATTCCCGTACGCCAGCGCCGCCAGCACTTTTGAACCTAACCTTGTACATTACTCGAAGGCATATAACGAATTTTCTGAATTCCACTTGAAGAATATGGTAAACAATTATGCAATCGACCGTCTGGAACTCTGAGCTATAGATAAAAATCACATTTTGTTTCATATTATTTAAATGTATCGAAGGTTTAAACGAACGATTACTTCCCGCCTTTTTCAATCGCCGATAGATCCACGCGTCGTCATTGGTGCGTTGTGGTGGGGGGCGGTGACGATGCCCGTAGAGGATTGGTGGGGATCGTAGGACGAAAAAGAAACGCTCGAAAACGTAAAAGGTCCGCGCTGATTGGCTTACTTTTTGCGGCTTATCTGAAATGCGCCAATGGTAATGTCGATTTTCCCCGGGTGCACGTCCATATGCCGCGTAAGTGGCGTGGGGTCGCGTATATTCGAAGCTCCGTGAAGCCTTTTAAGCCGCGGAGAGGGCCGTCAGCAGGTAAGAAAAACGTTAAATATCTAAGACGTGTCTCGTTGACAGATCGTGGCGTCGCGACGCCGCGTTAGAGATGCGTCGCGGCCACCGTGTACTCCATAAAACGAACGTGAAACAACCGTCGCCCATCGTGACAGACGCCTGAACCATTCCGTACATAATATCAACGCACAGTCCACCCAAGCAAATGGCTGCCAAGCCTATCTCGTATCGTTCATTTCACTGGTGACTTAAATTATCGTGTTCCTCCTTAATTTCTTGTGTTTCCTCGATCCGTATCCATTTAAAATATTCCCGTGCTGTCTGCCATTGCCTTCTGCGACGGACATTTTATTTTTTTTTCTTTCCTCTTGCGTGCCAACATTTCGTAAACCTCGCCGTCTCTGTCGCCGTCCACATCCTGTGACTGTCGTCGTGTATTTATCAATTCTATCATATCTATGAACTTTTGTGTGCATCGCGATACTTAGAAATACGTAGAAGACACAGATTCAGCATTGGACGAGACAATTTCTCGCGTCGCATTGATGTACCTAGCGGAAATAACCGAAAATTCACGAGGAGGCGAGCATGTCGTATACGTGGGACGACTCGATGACTGACGTAGTGTTATAAGCAGTTTATTGTACTTAGATGGCTTGAATTTCATCTTGTGAACGATATAATCTGTTTGAAAATATTAAATAAAAATATTCAGTTTTCAAGTTCAGTGTTTATGCGTAAGCGTCTCTCTCTGTTGCTCGCTTACTCTATCTCACGGTTTTTATTCTGATGCGCCGCCATAATATTCGTCACGCGGTCGAGTGTCATGGCGCCAAAAGATAGATTTCTTAGTTATTTCTAGTTCCCTATTCTTTCTATGGGGTCTTCGTGACTATCGCTCACCTCGTGCCTTACTTATTTGCTACTACTTATTTTTTTTTATAGTTTAGTGACTAGCATAACTCGCACTGGTGCAATTTCCGACTAGATTTTATTTTCATTTTTATTCTACTTTGTTTTGTATGTCTATTTCGTAATTTTCGTTCTCTCTCTCTCTCCCCCTCTCTGTCTCTTTTTCTCTCTCTTTCTCTCTCTCTGTAACTTCGTACACTCTCGCTTTACGTCTCAGTCTCCCACCATCAATTTATTTAACCTGTTTAACTAGACTGCTGTACGCACGAGTGGTGGACAATCAATGATTTCGCTGACATAACCTGCAAGCCTCGCTTCTCACGTTTCTCATGTACAAGTTTTTATAATCGTTTTTTTTTTAATTAATCACGAGTATATAACGTTTACAGAATTCGATATTCTATTGAAAAATTATTTTTATTGAATTTAATTTTGATTGTTTTTCGAGTATAACCTAAAAGCTGTATGTTGCTGTATCACTTTTACTATTACTCCATATATCCGGCTGCTTTCTTTACCACGTATTTTAACATAACCACCACTTCCGCTTCCGGTGACTTGACTCAACCAAGAGCCAGTTTAGTAACATTTCTTTTAATCTCCTATCCTACTCTTACCATACTTTAAATGATTTTCCCTAATCCACAGCTGTATTTCTTTTTTTTACTCGTATTAATTGATGGGCATGATCGCAGACATGCTCTGTTTCTTCGTGATAGCAGCTCCACTATTCAAAATTGAACCCGCCATGATCCTTCAAATCTTGGCGGGCTTTTCTCTCTTGGGATATTTATAGCAAATAAATATCGTTGAAGCACCACGCATTTATATTTTTCGTAGCAGTTACTTGTTCTTCAAGCCATAGTCATTGTACCACGAGATTCCAATTGTCTTAGAGTCATTTACTAGAGAAGAACTAGCAAGTCCTGTAGTAAAAATCAGATGGTCCATTAAATTTATTGCTAAATTATATCTCCGTGCAAAATTTTTTTTTTCTTAGGACAAATAATAAATGGTCAATTGCAATAGTATCTATTTTATAGTATTTTAAAAATTACTTTGATTAGTCCCTAGAGAATCGTGTTACTTCACAAATAAATGAGTTACGGTTTGAACAATAATAAAAATTGTTGTTTTGGACTTACAAGTAGTCGGATCATAGTTATAATTTTAACTGTGCATTATTAGTATTTCGAATTGAAACTCGAATTCTTCGATTGTCCTGAAAGAATTCGTTGCTCTCCTAAATTTTACCGTTGCCCTCGCAAGGCCGGTTTTACGATGTCCGATTTTACGGACAATGTTGCTCGACCTTTTCGTTTTTCTTCTTATTCTGGGTCCTCTTTGGAACTCCTTGGTCCTTTCTGCGTATTGGCCTGACCGAACATGCTTACCTGAACCGTCGGACCCTTATTGACCTTTTAGGACTTAGTACAATCTTTTGAAACTGTTCGTTTACTCATTTTCCATTGTTCTTATAATTTTTCTGGCAAGACTACTCGTTCTCATGGTGCCAGAGTAATTTGGCAACATGTCCAATAAGAAACTTCATTTAGTATACGTGGCCGAATTATGTTTTATCGCTGTGCACAGTATTTTTGTACCCCAACCATCTTGTATACATATGTTCTTTACTTGAAAAATTAAATAAAAATTCCGTACGTTCTCATAAAGTTTACATTTTACACGACCTTGAAAAATACTTGATTCAGTTTCGCGAATCCGTGTATTTTTGTATAATACATTCATCTTTATGAGATCGTCTAGAGTGTACTCAGGCGTTTTTCCCGCCGGTAACGATCGAAGTGAGTCCCGCCATTCCCTTAGAACCAACACGAGAGCGTTAGCCATTGTGAGCGGGATGTATAGCAAAGAAAGCAGAAGAAAAGAGAAACTAGCTAGAAGATCCTGAAATTTCGTTTACAATAATTCAGCAGCGCAGTACGAAACATCGATAATGGTCTATCCGAATGAATGTTTCGTCGAAAACTATCGCAAAATTTTCACGAATCATTCCAAGTATCCTTTCCAGTGACCTAGGATGTACGATTGGCCAATGGGAAGCCGCGTCCTCGCTTATGCAGCAATTTTATTGGCGACTCACGTAACGTGTTTCGTTTCGACTGGAGCTTCGTGTTGGACCGGGTTTGGTGTAAGTAATTTGTTTGTTTACTCGATTTCGACTGGAGCTTCGATAGTCCAAGGGTATGGCTCCGGGGTAGTTCGGCTATATTCGGGGTAGGATAACGCGGTTCGCGTTAGTTCGTACTTATTCGTGAATATTCGGCTCTCTCGTGCAGGACGCTAAAGAGAGAATTTCGAGTTTCCCTACAATATCCCGTGCCATGTTTTCTCTGGTCGGGCAGCTCCACGTTCCACGGCGTTCCTCGTATCCCGACCCTGGGAATGCGCTGTTCCTTCTCTCTGTCTCAGTTTCTCTCTCCCTACATACCCCTCCCACGCCTTCTCATTCTCACTCCCTCTTACGATCTCTCCCTCTTTCTCTGGCCCTCTCGCGTCTTATTGACCCGGACCCGGTTCTCTTCTCTCTCTCTTTCTCTTCGATTTGCCGTGTTACCTCGAACTCTCTTGCTCCACGACTTAACTGCCTGACACGGAGAAGGATGAAAAGCGAGAATGAGAGAGAGAGAGAGAGAGAGAGAGAGTAAAGCAATATATTTCCAAGGCGTCCGCTCGTCGGACTTCTTTTTCGAAATTTGCTGGTTACTATTGGGAACGCACAAAATTTTCAAGATGGCCACTTGGCCGTCGGGGATGTTAAATCGCAATTAACGTTTCGTTGCGTCATCCCTACCAATCGGGTTCTCAATAGTCCTTGAATTCCAATGGAATTCCAGCTTGATACAGTCATTGGACACCGCGGAAGATAATCCTTTCGTTTCTCCTTACACGCCGTAAGTTTATTTATGCCAGAGAATTTCGAAAATGGTCGATGAATTAAGAGGTTTAGAAATTTAACATACAACAGAACGTCTCTTATAAAATAAACCATAGACTGATCACACCTGTTAAAAGTTTCAGTACAGGTTCTTTAACGGGAAAGATGGCGTCTTCGTGTTAATGTACGTATTTGAATATTCACCTAGCAATGAGTCAATTCGATGTCACACTTAAGAAATGGGCAAAGAACGAAATTTATTCTTAGGGTTGAAACACACTTCCGGAATCGTTGAACAGAATTTTGGAATCGAATCCGCGCCAATCCGCAGGTGCGTCTGCTGTACCGGCGAACATGTCAACATCAGTCGGTAACGTAGTGCAATCGCGATAGGATTACTCGTATAAAGAGCAAAAAGACCAAGAAGAAACCCTACAGAGAAAAAGCGTGTGAAGTCCGCCTGGGTTCCGATTAGCCTCTAGTCAAAACTTGTCAGTAAGAACGCGAGTGAGCATGAGTATATATGATGATATCAGGAGAGAATGAGACAGAGAAAGAAGCAAGACGCGAGTAGCAGCAATAGAAGCAAGGAAATCTCAGCCTAAAAGCTGACCTCGAGTTTCAAGGGTAGAGAAGGGCTCGGCTTGCCTCTCTGTCCAAGTCACAGCAATCGGGCTATCAAGCAGGCAGGCAGACAGAGGCTAGCATAGGCAGAGTCAGGGTACGCGCTGTTAGCTGGCTGGGATGGAGGAAGAAGGCAGCGTTGCCTTGGTGGTGGTGGCATCCCTTCTCTAGAAATAACGTAACGCGATTGGAGGAACGAGCCGGGTTCCTTTGTGAGCGGTCGGGTGAAAGCGTAGCTTGGCAACGTTGCATCGTCGGCAAGGGGATCGGGTGGAGAGACTGTGTTGGTTGGTTTTGCGTGAGCAGAAGTGAGAGGGAGACAGAGAGATACCCGTCAGGCAAGTTAAGAGAGTGTATGAGTAAATCCATGTGGCCCGGCTGCCTTCTCTTCTACATCCGTGTAGGTCTCCTAGCGTCGGATAAACGTCCTGCTTCGTTCGCCTTCGCCACGGGCAGAAGCCGTTACGGAAACTCACGAGCCCCACCCCACCACTCTCGATCGACTTCGCCTGTATTCGTGAGCAACCGACATTACTCGTACCTATTCGTCTTTCTTCGGCTTGGTATGAAAAACCATACACTACGGGCTCTCATATTTGTATATACACACGAGCGCTTGTTACCCCGTGTTAGGTCTATTTCGTACTCCCACTCTTAAACCAATATAGACGCAATTCCTCATCAGGCCTGTTTTTAATCCTGTACGTACTGGCGTATCAGAGTGTTGAACCGAATCCATATGTATCACCACGTATAGTTCGCATATAAACCGTGTGCAAGTGTGCCACCGGCTTGACACTAGTGTGTGAATCACGTCGGCGCAGTAGTTCTCGCGTGGGGGCGAGAGGTCGCTAGTGACGTGTGCGGTCCAAGGAGTGGGGACGGAGAGACGGCGATTGGTGGTTGCTGGATGGTGGGAGAGAGACGGAATGGGAGTGAGACAAAGAGAGAAGTAGTAAGACACTCTTAGCCGATCGTGGGGTCGTGAGAGTGCAAGCGAGAAGGCGAGAATAACCGAGGGAGAGACTGCGTAGTAGCGGCGACCGCGAGCAGCAGCGCGAGAGAGTGAGGGGAGGAAGGTGTCTCCCTTGCACCGTATACCCCTCAGCCGCCCACCAAACGAGCTAACGAACGTCGAGCGTAGCGTCGAGTACACCGCATCCCAAGCAACGCACGTATCACGGGCAACGTAAGCCAGAAGCAACGTGCATGAAGCCCCGCACGGAACGTACCGCCGTGTCGTAGGTTCGTTCGTGCTCGCCGGCCCTGACAGACAAGCCGGTGTCCTTTTGTATACGGGCCGTAAAGAAAGCGACGGCATCATCGTGAGCCAACGGGCCGTTGTGCGTCGTCGTCGTCGTCGTCATCGTCGTCCCTCTGTCGTTGTTACAAATTCCCAAGCCGTGTCGTGTCGCCTTCTTCTCTTCAGTGTATCGTCGAGAAAAGATATATATTACCAAACGGACTGAGCGTACTCGTGTCGCGTATTGTGCTGTGATTCAGTGACAGGCCGGACAGAACAGGAACGCCGTGAGAGAAACGGTTTGGAAAATATTCGAAGAGAGAAAGAGAGAGAGAGGAAGAGTGAGTGTGATCCGATATTGAAGAAACGTTTATTATCCGCACACGCAGACACGCTCTCCTCGTGTGCGCGCTTCTGAGAGAGTGAGAAAGAAGGGCAGGGTTAGAAGAAAAGAGTAAGAGAGAGACTACACGTACTCTCTCCCTCTCTTCCCCCCTGTATATAAAATACCTTACTCCGACCGTAGCCTTCCCTTCGGTGTCTCTATCCGTTCGTATCTTTTTTTTTCAATTCTCTATCTCACTTCTTGTAGCCCTTTCTCAACATCGCGTCCCTGTGCGTGGTTGTCGTCCTCCTCCTCCTCCACGAGAAAGAGACGGGAGATTACGTTTTCGGAGAAACGTGAGAATCGACAGGAGGCCGCGAAAACATTTCCGAATAGAAGGACAATGTTCGTGAGGTAGAAGAAGTAATAGCAGAAGAAGCACGACGCACGCACGAGGTTGTAGCGCCTTGTCGGACATACGATTCTTCGATTTTAAAGCCGGCGAACGAGAGAGAGAATTTTCTCTCTAGGCACACAGACGCACACGCACACACTCTCTTACCCTCTGAGAGTTATATCGCGTCCTACCGCGTCACGCACACTCTCTACTCTGTGTGTGCAGTGTGTGGCTATAGGCACACATATATGCATATATATGTATATTAAATATATACACGCGTTCCCGTGCTCGAGAAGCGGGTAGTTTTCTTCTTCATCCTCGAGTGCTTGGTGTGTAAACGTGTGTGTAAATATACATATGTAACGTGGATGGTGTTATATATATATATATATATATATATATTACATGTAATTAAGTACGTTCGTGCCTGTTAATGTGTATCGGTGAGAAACGGTGCCCGCGGATTTTCCATCAATCCACCATTGAAAAATTAGTGGTTTACCCCACAATAATAATACGGGATCCAGGGACATCGTCGACGTCGTCCACGAGGGAGGCAAAAAATTGGAGAAATAAGAGAGGGCAAACCGGTGATTGCTTGACCGAGGATAAATAACTCGATATAGAAAGTGTCAAGAGGCGAAAATTATAGAGACTACAATAAAACTGTCGGCTAGTTTGTATAAAGACGAGCCCGTGTAACATAGAACGTACAGAGAAAGAAAGATAAGTGTGAAGAAGGATAATAAGAGGCAAGTGTGATCCTGACAGAAGGAACTCCAGAGGATCCAGTGACATGTCGGAACATCATCGCGTAGCCGGTGGCTGGGGTACCGCCAGTCCCGGTAACAGAGACGAGAATTCCACCGGTCCCGTCTGGTGGCCGGGTGGAATGTCCGAGCAACAACAGCAACAACAACAGCAACAAAATCTTCATCAGCACCTTCTGAATCAACAGCAGCAGCAACAGCAACAGCAGCTAACCCATCAGCAGCACCAGGAGATCGTGCGGAGCACTGCTGCCGCCACGCAGCAACTATTCTCCTACAAGATGGCCTCCAGCTTCCAAAATCCGTCGACCACGGGCACCCAGTCGAGCGTGTCCACGTCCTCGCCGGTTGGCTCGTGCATGAGGGCGGCACCTGGTGGCGGAAATGGCGGCGGAACAGGCGGCGGAGGAGGAGGCGGAGGCGGCGGAGGAGGCGGTGGCGGTGGTCCCACGGGATACGATTATCGGCTACCTGGCAATCCAGGTGGCGGCGGTGGCGGCGGCCCCGGGGCCCCTGGCGCCGGGCAAACATCGGCACCACCACCTGGCGTCCAATGGTGGTATCCGGGCAGCGTAATGGACGCCGCGCAGCAGCAGCAGAACAACCTTCATCAGCAACAGATGCAACAGCAACACCTATCGCCCATTACCACACAAGCGTCCACGCCCCCTATTATGTCCCCGGTACGTTCTTCGAGCCCTCATCACGGTGTCTACGAATCTTATATTTATTTCATATATTTTCATTCTATCCGCATAGTCATTCTCTACGCCGCGAGACTCTTCCGTTCTAGTACATTCCACCCCCGTGTAACGTACGTACAATTGCCCGATCGACGAAATCCAGCAACTCTTAGAACATTGTGTCAAGTCATTCCGTTCATATCGTATTTGATTCTCATTGTCAGTAGAGATTTTCTCTTTTTTTTTCATTCTCAGAATTTAAGAAATTTCTAGAAGGGGAAATACTTTTCGTGCGCACCAACTGTACAACTCTGAATTTTCTATCTTGCGTTAATGGCTTCTTGTTCTCTGTCCTCCTCTAACGACGTTTTCCATTACCTGTCTCTCTCACTCTCGCATTCCCTTGCTCCTGACTTCACTGACGCTCTCTCTTTCTTTCTCCCTCTGCTAGCCCTCTAGACTCCCTTCTAACAGGACCCTAGGCTCGCCTTCTATGTGTCCCCCTTTTTTACTCCTACTTCGCCGTACCTCGGTATAGCGTCCTTCCATTGGTGAAAAGGATACTCAGTTACCGACCGCGCTGCCTGCTCGCCCTCGCGATCTCTGTATCGGTTAGGATCGGTCAGAGTCGGACGCGTTAGGACTCAAGTCTGCTTTATCGATTGAATTTCGCGCGATACCTACTCTGAATATTGGCTGGCGCCTAGGAGGTAGGTGTACGTGCGTAGTAACAGCGTGGTGAGCGTGCGTGTGTATATGCGTATTATTATACACAGAGTAATTTTCCAAAGGAAGAATGGCAAAGTTAGAAAAAAAAAATTGTCTATTATTTCTTCGTATCCTCCGGTCTGATGCCGATACATTTCACGTCTGCGTATCGTGCTATCTTGAATTTTTGTTTTCTCAGAATATCGCGTTACGTTTATACGAATCTTCAATAATACAGACCTCTCTCCCGTCACAGGTTTATCCGGTCTCGAATAACCACCCTCCGTCACACGACGTGTATGTTTCATTTAATTCGCATCGAAGCTTTCTTTTTCATCCTGAAAAGTGTACCGTGGCAGGACGGATTGAATTTCCGATGGGGCTGTACCCGTGGCATTCTGGGAAACTCCTGGAACTCCTGATCCTCTGTAGCGTGGTCACTGTCCAAGAATCAGAGTTCACGCGCACATTCACGTGATCCTCGGTTCGACTTATAATAATTTATTGAGAATTCTCGGCGTGACGGCGTCTTTCTCGATTCCTCTGCGAGCGTCGCCACGAATATTGTGCGTTTCGGATTTACGTTTTGAGACCTCGCACATCACTGACTCCTTCCGTTATGCAAGTAAATATGGTTCGTAAATCCATATTATTAATTTCTTTGTCGAAGCGTGTCTCTTACTTACACGAATGGATATTTTCGCTTGTGAAAATATTCTCTATTTTCTGCAACGATCGCTGTTCAACTTTTGCTCGCGTAAGCTCTTCTCGGACGTCCATCTTTATACTGCTTTGAGAATTGAAATATTTTCTTCAAACGAATCGTAACCTTTCTACTGCCTTCGCTCGCCTGTCATTCTCGAGCAGCTCGTGAATCGTAGAGAAAATACATACATTTAGGTAAAAATTTTTACCGATCCTTAGACACTCTGATACTCTTTCATGCAAATGCGTGAAACTAAGTGATACCTGCCCTAACAGTCTAGAACTATTATTACTTGCAACATTGTCGTTTGGGTACAGCCTTTAATGGACGGTCTTCTCTGATTTCAGCATCAGATACAGCAGCTACCACAGCAGAACAATCTTCAGCATAATAACGCGGCAACTCTACAGCGAGACAAAATGCCCAGAGGAAAGGCAACCGACACAAAACCGCGCGGCAGGATGACTGCATACGCCTTTTTCGTACAGACGTGCCGCCAGGAGCACAAGAAGAAACATCCCGAAGAGAACATCGTCTTCCAGGAGTTCTCCAAAAAATGCGCCATGAGGTGGAAGGTAAGAGAAGCATTGAATTATATTTGATTAATTTATTAACGAATAACGTAGCGATGGAGAAATTTAATCACGAAATTAACGTCCTTTTCAGTTTATTTTCTAGAGGTTAGATTGGTAATGCTTTCCTGTAAAAAATTAGGTTAGGTTAGGCTGCCCGCGCCTCCGCTTCTAACTATCGACCAACTCCGCGCGTACCACCCCTTTAGCTCTCTCCCCAATCCCAGCTGCGGAGCCACCCTTTTCGTCCGTTACGAGTCCTCTCCATCTTGCTTCTGCATCCTTCCAAAACTCCCGGCCATGTTGGAAGCCTTGTGCGTCGTAGGGTATATTTTTTTTTTTTCAATTTAAATTCCATTACACGAAATTGGAACCCGATGGACGTGTATTTGTATGCGAGAGGAAGTCGTAGACAATGTTTTCTATTAATCATTCAGTTAACGTAGGTTTATTTTGTATGTTATATTTATCGATTTTCTCCGTACATATTTAATTGTTCTAAAGGGCGGCCATATTGGACGCTGTACAGAAACAAGGATCGATGCTTCTTATTTGAATTAAATAAGAAAAGACTGTGGAAATTATTATTGCAAAGTGTCACATCTCATCCGAACGTATAATGCTGTTGTACTTTTAATATGGTTTCGTAAGATTATGATACGCAAACGTGTCTTTCTCTATCGTTTGGTCAGCCATCTTGAATATCTCATACGCAGTCTTATCGGAGAACGAAAAGCCTTTACAGTGAAGAAAAAAGACGTATTCCTTATTTATGTACGTGTTACCGTTAATGCCATTTTGCGTAGATTGCTTATTCATCGTTTACTTGATTCACGTTGTACGGCGCATGCGCGTGCGCCTTCTTAATTTTTAATAAGTCGCGTGTCCGTGCCCTTCCTAAACTTGGCCGAACTGACGTTCAATCGATTTTACAGGCCGTCATTTTCCCTTGCCAATTAGACGAGGGGGAAAGTAAATGTTTCCCATAAGGGAAAATTTGCTCGAATATAGGATATACGCGAGCCATTCGTAGTGATTTCGTTCATTGCGTAATGGGTAGGTTAAATGAGATTTTATTTTTTTTTTTACGAAAAAAAGAAGAGAGCGAAGAACCGCCATTGCGGGCATATAAACTGTTAATGAGGCCACTGTAGTCGCGGCAGCGATACTGTAAAGTGAATCGATAAAAATCATCTCGTTATCTCCCTGTTGCAGACAATGTCCGACAAGGAGAAGAAGCGTTTCCATGAAATGGCTGAGAAGGACAAGAAGAGATACGATACTGAAATGCAGAATTATACACCGCCCAAAGGAGAGAAGACAACGGGCAGAGGCAAAAAGCGCAAACACTTGAAAGATCCCAATGCGCCCAAAAGGTCACTGTAAGTATATCGTTCTGAGCTTCGTTTAAAATGACTTTTTTTTCTTGTTGTATGAATTGAGAATGCCTGTACTTAAAAGTGGTAGGATGAAATGACGCAACGAGGCGATACTACTGGAAATATTTGTCTCTGACTCAGGTCGGCATTCTTCTGGTTCTGCAATGACGAGCGTGGAAAGGTGAAGAGTTTAAATCCAGAATACGGCGTGGGTGACATCGCCAAGGAACTTGGCAAAAAGTGGTCTGACGCAGAGCCCGAAACCAAATCCAAGTACGAGGCTATGGCAGAGAAAGACAAAGCACGATACGAGAGGGTATGTATTGACCTTCATACGTTATATGACACATCACTTAGCCGCGATACCGTTTGGATTTTCTGGAAACGAAGGAAAAAGTATTGTTTAAGAGTCGATTCTATAGTCCGTGTCACGTTGAATCCTTTCGATCGGTCTCTCGATCATGTGCTTTTGGATTTCATATGTAAAGTCACAGTAGAATTTATTGATTCTGTACTTGTTAATAAACAATCAGGAATTAATGTGTCAGCTTCTGTTTACTGGTTTGGGTATTTCATTTACTTTCAAGCATCTTTATAGCTCATCGATGCATTATTATGTGTTGTAAAGTTTGAATGTTTTTTTAACGTTTTTTTTTTTGCATATCTCGAGTCTTTGTATTATCCAAGTCAACAGGATCGTTGTTTTATTTTCCTTTATTATCGTCGATTAATTTCATTAAGTTGTACAAACAAAAAAAAGACTACCTACAGCCAAACCTAGAATTAAGGACGCAAAAACGGCGTCCGTGTGGGTTCGGCGTAGCAGCAAAAAAAAAAGAGCCAAAAGCTGGTGTTTCTTCGTGGTGAAAGCAAAAAAAAATCCAAAAGCAATGCTTAAAAAGTAAAGGAAACAAAATTGATCGGAGCCGGAGGATATCTCGAGGGATTCTGTCTGTGTATGCAAAAGAAAAATGAAAGCGAAGGGAGACAAAGAAAGGCAATAGAGAGAGAGGGTCGAAAGATGGAAAAACGAGAAAATCCAAAAAGAACTCCGAAAACGAGTCAGGTATATCGGCCTCTGGGGCTTCTGCCGCCTAAGTATCCGAGTATCGAGTGTACGCGTGTATTGTACGGTGCGTACGCGTACCCCGGTGGGGGGTTACCCATACTGGCGGTAGGTACTCGGTGATAATTAAGCGCGGAGTGCTTGCTGTGTCTGTACTAATATCGTCCATTCCCCATTGGGCAACCCCCTACTTCCTATTTTTTAGGAGATGACAGCGTACAAGAAGAAGGCGAAGGACGACGGTCCAGGAGTCGGAGCACCACCGAAAATTCTGAAGCACGATAGCGAGGAGGACGTAGAGGAAGAGGATGGCGAAGAGGACGACGAATAGCCAACGACGAATAGATCAGCGAGTTCTACGCCGTGTCCTCAAGCGATCCAGAAGCATACCTCACCTACTGTACATACCATTGACCTTAGCGTGAGCGTACTTACACCACCAGCACACCACAACCACAACAACCACCATAACAACCACTACCACCACCAATAACACCATTAGGAGAACAAATAACTAATCCTAATCAACGATCATTGAACTCCTCCCCTTTCCCCCACCCCCCGTCTTTACTTCCCCTTCTTCGCATTAACGAAGACGTTCCTAACCTAATCTATCCGTAATACCGCCTCCCCCCCCAACCTCTTTTGCCAATAAAACCATGTGGAGTACGTATGCTGCTGCTGCTGCTACACTACTAT